CTGCCAAGCCGCCTTCGGCAGTCCGGCCTCGGCATGTGATTGGTATTCGAGACCGCATCAGATGATGTCTACTTTGGGTAGCCTGCCGGCCGATCATTTGCTTGCTTCATCTTGACTCGGCTTATTCATCGCTCGGGATCGGCGCCCGTTCGCATCCTCGTCATGGGTATCTCAACGTTTTCATTGCAGAGCAACAGAACTATCTATACTAGAACTCCGTAGTTCGAACACACTTTTCAGACGGATGCAGTCATTACAGTCGAATTCGTCTTTTCCTTGAATTGTCCGAGCGTCATCGGTCCCCTCCTCAATCCTCATCCATCGACTCCCAGCCATCCGCACCTTGCGCGGCTCCAACCTCCGGAGCGCCATCCTCCTCATCAGACTCATCTTGGTCGGGCTGAATACCCACCAGGCGCTCCTGCACCTCGCCCTCCAGGGACGGCACCCGCGACACGAACGCCCGGCGCACGGCCCCGTTGGTAGAGGTATCCAGATCTGGACCACGCCCTTGCTGCCGGCCACGGCCAGGCGGAAGCTCACATCGGCATCCGGGGCAAAGGTGGTCGAGAAGATCTTGCCGACCTCCATCTTGCGGGAGACAACCATGCTAGGCTTGTTGTTCTCGACGTTCCACAGCTTCACGGACTTGTCCGTCGATCCGGTCACCAGGAAGCCAGGGACGACCGAGTTGATATCGAACGACGACACCGACGAGTCGTGAGCCTGCAGAGACCACACGGGCTTGGACTGCTTGGGCGATGCAGGGACATTACGGATATCGTAGCGGTAGACCATACCGGCGTCGGTGGTCACGTAGAAGAAGTTAGGGTCGTGCACGTCCCAGCGCACGTTCTCGACATCCGCATCCACACCCCAGCGGGCCTTGGAGTCGGGGGCTCTCATGTCAGCCGCCACCACAGTCCGGTCGTAACTACCGCTCAGCAGGACGGTCGATTCCGTGGGGTGCCACTCCAGCGCACACACCTTGTCGGTATGGTGAGAGTAAGACTTGGCGCACTTGGTAGTCTGGAGATCCCAGAGCTTCACCGTGCGATCGGCAGAACCGGAGGCCAGCAGGTTGCGGTGCTGCCGGTTAGCGGCCAGTGCGAGGATCGAATCAATGTGGTATTCATCGTTGGCCTTGACCTTCTTCTTCTTGGACTTCTTCGGGCCGTTCTCCGCATCAGCGCCACCCTGACCCAGAATAGCATTGGGGTACATGCAGTCAACGACGTCGAGGTCCCAGATCTCAATATCGGGCTCCATAGTTCCGACAGCGACAAAGTTGCCAGTAGTGCGACCCTCGGCGGCCTTGCCAACGGGGATATCCAACCACTCCAGCGCCAAGGGAATTCCCGGCAGCATGATATCGTGGTGCACATAGAGATTGTCGGCCGCATCCTCGTAGACATAAACCTCCAGATGAGCAACCTCATCCTCCACCTTACCCGCCAGCAGCAAGTTATCCGTGGGCATGATCTGCAACTCCTCTCTCTCCTCATCCTCCTCCTCCGGCGGCATAACCAGGTACGGGTCCTCCTCGTTAGGCTGATGATAAGCAAGCGACTTGACATTGCCGAACATGGTGATCTTTTCGCCGTCCTCATCGACCTCGTCGCTGTCATAGTGATCCAGATCGTATTCCTTCAGGTCGTCATCACTTCATAGATCGTCAGCAAAAGCTCCAACCCAATCCAATCCAATCCAACAACTTACTCCGTAGCCCCATCCTTCTTCTTCTCATCCTTCTCATCATCCTCCATAGCATCATCCCCACCCTCCTTCTTATCATCACCATCCTCCTCCATAGCCTCATCCTGAGCGGCCTTCAAATCCCCCTGCGCATCCTCAAGCTGCATCCTCGCCATCTTCGATATGCGATCCATCTCCTCCTCATTGATCTCATATTTAGTCGGAAACTGGGCAGCGACTCCGCGCCGCACCCAAGCGGAAGTGGTAATCATAGACATCGTGACTCAAGCCGTTAAGGGAAAAAAGAAAGAAAAAGAAATCGTAAATTCAGAAGCGGTACTTCAAGAGAAGAAAAAAAATCCCCTCCTCCGCAGTTTAGTCAGACGGCAGCAAACTCGAAATGACAATCCCTCACTGTCCAAAAATCAGAAGAATGAACGATCAACAGCCCGTCACACCTAGGCCTGTCGAACACAAAAAAATAATAGATTGAAGAACAAATCCGGTGCTGTCTTTTTTTTTTTTTTTTTTTTTGCCCTTGTGGTTGATTTTCTTTCCCCGCCCGGCAGAATCACACCCGTCCGATAAGTCCTCACCGCCTGCTGACTGCTCCCCCGGCATTTGCTCGGAATGATTTTCTTCCATCATCTCTCTTACTAGTAGTGACCAATAAGTGATGTGATCAGATGATCTGAATAGCATTGAAAAGACATTAATTGACCCTCTCTACTATACTCAAAGCTACATATCGATTGTTATATTTTTGTCAAGATGCATTCCCATCTCCACACCCCTTACAACGCAAGTACGTTCCCATAAACAACCACTCACAGACCTCTTAAGAGCTAACAACGCAACCCCTCTAGACTGCGAAGAAATCATGACCGCCCTGGACGAATGCCACGCGCGGGGTTTCCTCCACAAAGCCCTCGGAAACTGCAATGATATCAAGCGCGATGTGAACAAGTGTCTGGCGGCCGAGCGGTATCAGCGCGCAAAGCGGAATCGCGATCAGGCGAGGGAGAACCGGAAGAAGATTGAGAAGATTTGGGCGGATGAGAGGGCATTGGAGCAGGGGGTTCCGGCTGCGACTGCTTCTGCTGCGGCGGAGAAATAAAATGTGTTTTATCGTGGGTGCTGGGGAGGTGTGGGGGAGGGGAAGAAGGGTGATGGATGTACACTGTAGGATTATGTATGATTGATTGATCGGGTGCATGTGGGATTGGCGTTTGGCGGGGAATCTCTATTCTTTACTTTGTCTTTGATAGGGTATATATTACTTTCTTGTCTCACTCTGTTCTTTCAGTTGCGGTGAGACTGTACAATGTGACGCTCGATGTGTTCTGATATACATGCTACTGTCCTTGGATGTGGTGCTGAATGTTGGAATATCGTTCTATCGATATCAGAGTAACTACCTATACACAGTTCATATATGGACACTTTTATATCGATCCGCCGAACGCCGTACCATGACATGTCGAGCCAACAAATCAAACAGAATAAAACCCTAGCGAAGCAAGCAGTCAATCAATCAATCAATCATCCATGACATCGGCCGGCGCCTCAGCACCCTCCCCATCTCCATCCGGCTTCGCGCGGCGATTATGATGACGACGTCTGCGCTTCGCTTTCGGTGCCGCCTCTCCATCTCCGTCTCCCTCCGCCTCCTTCTCAGTCGGCTTCTCCTCATTCTCCTCCCTCTTCGGCTTCCCCGCCTTCACCCCAGGCTCCTGCACCCTCTTCTTCGGCTTCTTCATACTCAACGGATTCGGTGCCTTCGCCTTCTTCAGGTCCTTTTTCTTCTTTTTCTCCCCCTCCGCAGCGCCGCCCGCAGCAGCAGCAGCACGCTCCGTCTTCGTCGCCTTGTCAGTCAGCCCAACCCGGAACTTGCCCTGCTCCACGCCCTCGCGAATTGCATCCGACGGGTCACTCATAGGCTCCAACACCATGACCGACCGCTTCACATAGATGATCGGCACACCGGGAATGGACCGCGCCTGGCGGCGCAAATCCCTCGCCTTCCGCAGCGCAGCCTCAGCCTTATCCTCCACATCGCGCTTGCGCTTCCGCCCCGCGGCCGAAGACTCCGCAGCCTTATCCTTCTTCTCGGCGGGGTGGGGATCCGCCGTTGCGAGGATATAGTGCTCCTTGTTCTTTTTCGTGTCGGTAGAGGGAGAAAGTAAGGAGAGCAGACAGGCGACTTCGTCAATGGGCGAAGAGTCGGCGTTGTGCGAGCAGTGGCGGAGCGGGAGGATGGTGGGCGGGGGAAGGTGGTCGGGGCGGTAGGGGTTGTTGGTTCGTGGATTGATGGGTTGGGAGGCCATGATGGCGGCGAGGGAGCATTTGGTGAGGACTGTTGTTTGGTTCATTTTATTAGTTGGGTAATTCGTTATGGGTTGAGCGATTGGGATCCCGGGGGTGGGTAAGACATACGCGGCTTGGGTTTTCCTTGAAGGGTGCGCTCCAAGGCAGGAATCAGTTCCATTTTGAAGTTGTGGACGGCGCGGAGGAAGTTGGAGTCCACTGGTTCATGAGCATGGTTAGTATTTACCGCCGACGAGGTAGTATGGAAGTGAGTATGGTTGCATACCTAGGACCTGATATGGCTCGCGGAATCCGAACGTAAGCTCATACTGGTGCATGAGCTTGCGGTACTTCTTGGATCGCTTGGCCCTCATTTTGAATGTCCGGTCGGTTAAGGGGGGTGATGAGAAATATCTCGGGGGAACTGAGGTTATGAGATGTTTCGCTGATGGGGGGGAGGTGTCTTGGACTTTTTTTCTGCGGCCCTCGTTTTTTGCCGGGCGGACGAAGAGCTCGGGATGTGGTCTGTGCGAGGGGCACTGAGACTCGCATTATGAAGTCAAAAACGGAGTCGAGATTTAACAAGAAGCCCTTATGGCTCAGTGGTAGAGCGCATCACTAGTAATGATGAGGTCCACGGTTCGATCCCGTGTGAGGGCAAATCATTTTTGTCTTTTTGATTTTTTGCCCTTTCCATGTTCATATATCTAAGATATGAAGGTTGTATAGAAGGTGTGTATGAGAGTTGTGGGAGTTGTGTGTGCATTCCACTGTATTTGATTTTGCCCCCTAATTGATGCTGAGTGTGGACGGCTAGGCAATGGGATGGAATGAAATGTCTCCGATAAGCAGTGGTCTATCTCGCTATGCTAGTAAAATTATATATAGATCGAATTACAGGAATAGTGCCATGAACGCTGTCGCTCTCCCCGCCGAACCGGCCCTAAAGTCGGATCAAGGGTTCCAGCATGCAATATATGCGTCACCCATGTGATGCATATGTTGGGGCTATGCAATGCCACCAACTACTTGTCTGATGGCCGACCTGAGACTGATTCAGGAGCCCGGTATTTCAGACAAGCTGCTTTCCCGTTTTTCCTGTGATGCAGGAAGCGTGCCGAAGGTCCACATCGACTGGCCAGTTATGCAATTTAGCTCCGTGAGGAGCATGGGCCCTGAAACCCTGGTCCTGGCTTTTATGATAAAGATCGTAATCGGTGAATGGTGCCTGGATAACGCCGGGTCTAATGGTCCTTCTTCTTGCAACAGCCGACCACGACGCTGATGTCGTCCATTTTCCCTGCCCCAAGGTTAGCCAATTGCATTCAACAGCCATGCAGATAACTTACCACCCTGCATAGCCAGGCCCTCATCAACCGCCTTCTCCATGTACGGACTCTCCGCAAAGGGATCCTGAGCAATGGCCAAAGCAGATTTGAGTAGCTCCCTGGCCACGAATACCATTTGCTCGTCAGCCAACACAGCTGGTGGCGCCCAGTCCATGTCCTTATCGTCATGCCGTCCTTGGTCCCACTTCTCCAGGCTCTCCAAGATGACAGTCAGAATCTCATGCTCCCAGAGGTTATCCAGGATGCCGTCCGACACGGCCACCACGAGGTCATCCTCTTGCACGTCAATGAGGGAGAGCACTGCATCCTTCCGGGGTGTATCGACGCTGTTTGTGCCCAGTTGCATAGGGCAGTCGAACCAATGCCATTGTTCCTGGGTCCGGAAGAGGATCTTCTTCTCTCTGGGGCGGATGACAAAGACCTTGCAGTCTCCCAGATTGGTTATATATAGCAACGGTCGTACATGTCCCGTATCGTCGTGCTTCCAATGTAACAAAGCTGTGACGGACGTGGTGGTCCCGAACCATTCACCCGGGGAGGTCGTGGCTCGGATTGTTTCTTCGTAGGCTCGTTGCAGATAGCCGATGGGATCTAACTCGGAGTGTCCATTGGGATCTCGCTCAATTTCCAGCGCCCAGAAATGGAGAAGAAGTCTAGACCACAGGCTGGAACGAGACGAAGAAGGCAAACAGTCAGCAGGGGAGGAAGAGAAAGGGCGGGAGGGCGGAATCAGGCAAACACATACGCGGCATGGCCTCGCGGCCGGGTTGCCCACGCCCCAACGCCATCATTGACGGCGAGGTAATTCTCCGCCACTAGAACGGCATCGTCGCCGTTGTTCAGGCCGCGGACCAGATCCCCCCGGACGGATAATCTCTTATCCTGACTGAGGTAGTGGGTGGTCAGCGGATCGGAAAAGGAGGAGGATGGCGGAGACAGGAACGGTGGGGGGAAGGGGCGCGAGGGCCGTTTGGCGCAGAGGGCATAGCCCGTCTGAAAGCAGAAGGGCGATCGGGAGATGGGGAACTGTGGGTTAGGATGCGGGATCGGGGTGGTGATGCCGTAGGAAGGCCAGACGGCGCGATATCGTCGCACCCAGGTCCTGGGGGCCCCGGAATGAGCGCTCCACAGTGGGCTGCGTCTAATTACCGGCGGGCTGAGCCTGACAGGCTGGCAACAGGGCGAGGAAGCGAGGGCAGAGAGTATTAAACCAGTCGGGCTAGCAACGATCTTGGGCACCATGCCCGCTAAAAGTTTCCCAGAGATGCTGTGCCGGTCCCAGGCCAGGAGAGTCGGTCACTCAGACTGGATTTTGGCAACGCCAGAAAATCTTGCCCGGCTGCGAACCACGGCCTGCTCCTCTTCCTCCGCCGCGCGGTTGGTTGGCCCATCCCGAGTCACCTGCGCCCCACCTGACTTGGTCTGGCTCAACGGCCTCATCTCTGTTGATGTCTCAACTTTGCTACTATCAACCTACCTAGATATATCAGGGACTAGATGGGTGTGCTACTTACTAGATATTCCCAGGGCAATGATCCACCTCCCTCAATATGGATTTTCAAGGATGCTAGCGCTGAGAAACACTAGGTCAACGATATCGACCCACTGTGCAAGACATAAATATTTCATCATTATTTCATAAATTCATAAAGTCATGTACCATCACCATAACCGTGCAAGCCCCCCATCGATAGACTCAATATTCCCCCTCGAATCCCGGAGTCCCAACATAGTTAATGCACGTAACGTAAAATCTCACTTCGTCAGAGGTAAGAAAAGAAACCCAACGAAACCCGAGCGAAAAAAAAAGCAATTCCCAAAGCCTCCTTAACTCCCATGCCGTAACACCAGTCTTGCAAGCATTGCTGTCTATCTAGGCCTCAGCGACCGGTTTCTTCTGGATCTCGTCAGCAAAGAGCATGAAAGCTCGGTCCAAGGCCGCTGCGATCTCGAACGTATCAACATCGTCCCGGAAGGAAGCAATCTCTAGAAACACAGCCTTTGATAGGACGGTGCATCGATCACGGAGACCCAGAGGGCCCTGGCCAGAGCGACTCTGCGCAAGCATCATGGTCATTCTCCACTCTGCACAGGGGCAAGGTCTCTCCGGCTCCCGAGTGCAAATCATGCTACAACTGCAGGCAGATTGGCAAATGCACTTTCTTTCTTTGACGTAATTCATCATCCGGGACATGGTATTCTCATTTCGAAGATCTCCCAGAGTCTTGCCTTCGAGCATGGCGAGTGCAGCCTGGCGGTGGTCCTGAATGAATTCTCTCTCCAAGCGTTCCGGGTCGATGGTGTGCCGCTCAACGAAGGGGAGGATCTGGTCGGGAATCAAGAGGCGGTGCGTCTCCCTCGGAGTGAAAGCCATGTATCTCTCGGCCTGAATGGCAAGAAGCTCCGCGGGCGGCAACTGATACACCAGGCCACTTCCACTCCATTTTTTGCGGAACGGAGACTCGCGGTTGTCAACAATAGGAAGGACAAAGCGACGGAACCCGATGAGATCATCAAGATCAAATCCGACGTCAAGGAGATTCTGCAAAGAGCGACGGATGAACCCACTCTGGTAGTCTTCGACAACCTTTCGATTAAAGGCAGTGCAGACAGTCGGACTGTCGAGAAACCCCTTGCAAGCCAGGAAGATGTTGAACAAGTGACGTGGCTCCGGGAGTATAAAATTGTTATGCGAAGAGACACGCGCAACCCCGAAATTGAAGCAGGAGCACAAATCAACATTGGCAAGTTCCATAATCAGCCTCGCATAGAGGGCATGGTACAGGTTCTCGATGCTATTGACCAGATCGGTGATCCTGTCGGAGGTGACAGCCTCCTCTGCATTTCTGATGCAGGTCATCAAGCCATCAGGAATGTCATCCAACTAAGATCAGATATGCCAAACAGTTAGCGCTTGTCTCACTGTGTCCGAAGCCATGAAGTATCTTTACTTACATCAAGTCCATAATGGAGGAAAGCCATGAAAACCACTTTGGCAACAGCGTACACTCTGGTATACACGAACAGGACGCTGTTACGCCAGGCCGAGGTATCATCATCATCACAGACGTGGTCCAAATACTTGACAGTACCGTAGGTGGTATTCCATTCAGGGGAACCAATGGTGTAGGGAAGACTGGGCCGTCCGATAGGAACCATCGACTGTCATTTTCATCAGTTACCAGTTTCGTGAGAGGTAAGCAACGTGACAAGAGGCAGACTCAACATACAGCAGACGCATAAGACGCCTCGGTGCTATCTGAAGAACGAATTCCCATGTTTTCGATCACCTTTCTGTAGACCATATCACTTTTCTCAAGAACTTCCTGCGAGTATTTGTAAAATCCGTCGGTGTGCTCACTGAGAGAAGAAGTGTCTGCAGAGCCAGAAGATCGGTGTTGGGAGTCATAATCTTGATCATAGGACCCACGCCTGGAAAAGAGCTTGCGGCGAGCAATAGCCCACAACTGAGAAGCAGATCTGTGGCTTGGAGTCATTCTGTTTACTTTGCAATGTGATCCTTTGGATGTCTCCGCTCGGCGGGTCTCAAGCTCAGTATGAGTGGAGAGGGCGCCGACGAATGAAAAGGTGAAGGGACGAACAAAAAGTGTTTGTCATGGGAAGAGCCAATAGACTTATACTGACACCTGTAGTTAACTGTTTAGGGAGACAGTGAATGGTCATATTAAGAGTGAATGGCATAAAGGTGGGCGGTATGTTGCTTGGTTGCATCCAAGGTTCAGGGGAAGAAAACGAGAAGGTGCTTGCCAGTCTACAATTTGTTAGTAGACTTGTACCTGCTGCACAGTCAGTCTTGTTACTCACATAATATCCAGATATCACTGCTGGGACGGAAACTTGACATTTTCTTCTGTAATCGATGTCAATGTCATCTATTACTCTCTTGGCCCTCTTGTTTGGGGCTCCCTCAGTCACCCAGTCAGTGAAATCCTGGGGTAGTGTGGAATATGCCAGGCTCTTATGTACATAACCAACGGGTCTTGTAGATCTGGTGTGACATGATACACAAAAATGATTCAACACTTCATGTCTACTAACACCACACTATTGGCTCCAATTACATGTAGAAATCACCCTGAAGTGACCAATATTTCCGGCACAGACATGATGATGAAAATGACGATAATGCATAGCATAGATAGTCTATTAGAAACATAGTGAGGCAACAAGAAAAAAAGGCACAGATATACCACCCCAATGCACCACACAAATGCAGCACACAACAAAAAACAAACAAACAAACAAACAAAGAAAAAACAATCAATGACTGCAAGCTACAGAAGTTCCGGGTCAACTTCAATGGGAGCCTTATCCCCATGGCAAGAGTATGGGGGGATGACCTCTGGTATTTTCCAAAGCATTCTATTTGCTCGGTCAACGTATTCAGGGGGAAGATTCGAACTCTCGCAGAAAGAGAGAGACTGTCAATATTTACCTGTTAGTTGGTTGCCGTAGGTGCCACAAAAGCATGAGACTCAACCAACTTACCTGCAAGCTTGTGAGACCTCTAACCCATTCAAGACCAAAGTCGCAATGTCGGCCAGGTAGCTTTTCATAATCTTCAACAGGATGGGCTAGTACTTCATGGCAGTTTTCCAACCAGAGCACTTTCAGCTTTCGACCAGGAGCTAGAGCATTCCCCTCTGTTGCTGGCTCATCAGGGTCCTGCGCAATGCCGCCTAACCAGTTCAGAAACTCGGGGTGAGCACCGCGACACGTCCTCAGCTTGAGGACAGTTAACTTCGGGTTCTTCTTCACCAGCATCGTCAACTGCCACGGAGTGATTCCTGTCCGCTCCAGAATCAGAGTTTGCAGGCCGCAAAGACCGAGCTGTTGATATCGTCCTATACCAATCAAGAAATTCCACGCCGTGCTCCCTGGTGCAGGGTTCTGCCAAGTACTTGGTCTGATCGGGCCTTCTCGAATATGTGGATGCTCGAAGCGCAACGCTAGATGATGCAGGATGTTTTGGCAACCAGCAGCTAGCGCCATGGCGCCCTCGCTGTCAAGATCATATGCCATAAACTCCAGCTTCCTCAGCCCCCGGCCATACCGAGTCACCACTTGAGCAAAGATCTTGTTTTGTTCCCGGATCATCTGCTCCATCGTCCGGGATTTCTCCAGTAGTACAGGGCCCTGTCTTTTTGAGTCTCTGATTTTCAGTAGAGGCTTGCCGGCTGCATCGCTAACCAGGCGATTTATTGCAGGTTGAACAATTGATATGGTATAGTCATTCTCTCGTTTGTCGAGTCTGGCGATCTGAGCCATTTGATCGGGCGTGGTCCAGCCAGCCTGGAGCAAAGATATCACGGAATGAATGCGCTTCTCAAAGACCCCTAGCCGTAAGCAGCTGAGACAGAGGGTATGAGACTCATAGTTGGCACGAGACGTCTCGCCAAAGGCAAGCAATGACTCGAAAGGAAGGTAGGAGAGTATATGAAGGATAAGCTCCAAAGGTAGTAGGCTGATCTTGTCGGACATCGTGTAGATTTGGCTGGATGTTTCAAATCATTCCAGAGGGATTTCCAACCGCCAGTAAATAATCGCTCGTCTTTCGAGCGCTGCCTAGTCGCCACGCCGTTCCCACGCAAATAAATTATGGTTCGCGCAGAGACATGACCAGCCCAGAACAGAAGCGAGAGTTAACTACAACAAGCTGGTAGAGGTACAAGTCCGGGAAGAACTCGTCAAAATGAACTGAAGCAGGTACCGTTACTCTCTGGAATCAATCATCGGTGTCTGAACTGACGACTAGCTGAAGGAGATGTTGGGGGAGGCAGATGAGCAAAAAGACGACCAACAAGAAGCAGCAGCGCAATGATGGATGGCAGACCAGGACCGTGGCAGAGAGATGGGCGAGCCACGCATACTTTCCGCACGAGAACAAAGAAGCTACGATATATAGCATGCAGGGTAGGGAGGGCCAGAAGGGCTGAGCTGCGCCGCCTCGCAGGGGTAGGTAAGTAGTAGCTTGCAGGCGGGGTCCCCCGATTCTTTTAGCACTTAGTAGCTCTCACCGTTGCGACTGTTCCTGTAGCCTGGGGGGCTGTCGCATTCTCATTGGAACAAAGCGGCGCGAGAGGGTCCCATATTGAAGATTTCGGAAATAGCTCATCATCAAAGAAAGTAAAACGCCATGAGAAGGAGGGGCTGGCTTCGAAATGCGGTAAGGGAGATAAATTGTTAGAAAATGGGAAAATAAAAATAAAAACAACATAAGGGTTTACTCGGGCTTCGATCATTGCTGACGCTTTTAGTCGGGTGGAAAGAAATAAACAGACATCTGACCTGGCATGATCACGGCGAATGACCGCCATCTTTTCCAACACACCATCGGCCAAGGCAGTATGCTGTTGAGTGCACAAATCAAATCCCATGGTACCCATGCCTACTCGGTACTCCGTTTGCATCCCAATTGTTTGCTCCTGTCACGTACCGTGGTGGTATTTGTCGGGGCAGGTTGGACCAACTAATCAACTATGGCGTACTAAGACACACCCGCTGCACCGCTACGCAGAAACGGGTGTCTAGCACTCCGTCCTACAAATGTCCTCCCCACTGAGTACGTGCCTACTGCCTAGAATAGACTAGGAGGCCTGACATCTACAGATTTCGCATGAATCGGGGTCGGTTTTGCCCCTTCTTGGTCACTGCGCATTTTATGGAGACGCCAATGCAGCCTGAACCCCTGGTGTCGGATCACAAAAGAAATTATGCGGCAATCGCACCAAGGTTGCATCAAGCGGTTATCCGACCTGTACCCCGTATGATGCACACCGTACGGAGTACAGTAGGCTGGGATGGTCGCCGCAGATTCCCCCTCAGCCAGCCAGGGTGGATAGCAATGTCGAATCAGAGATGGTGGAGACTTCGGCGGCGCTCGTGGGATGGAGTCAGTGGACATCAGCTCAACTGTCAAAGCTGGGAACACAACCCCCCCGTTTGTCCGATCGAGGCTGGCTAAGCAGCGACACCCCCACGGAATCTCAACAAGCAATCAATACCAGGAGAATTCCCTTGCAGTCAATGTGTGACACCGAACCGGTCCCCTGGGATTCATTGCCCAATTGTACGCCGTCGTTCGGGTGATTCGAATCATCTGTGACGATCAGGTGCTTTGATAGGCCGGTTCGGATGGTTCACACGCTTAAATCTGGTCATCCGGTTCCTTTCTTGTCGGGCTGAGAATGTGGCTGCAGCTAGAAGACCGCCACGGGAACAGGTCGGACTGCTTCGGCCGACCTGAGGCTCGATTTCGAGCCAGTGCGTCCTCCTCCATTAGCGTAGTAGCGTCGTGGCTAGACCCACGCCAGTGTGCTAAACGTGCAGGTAGGGGGTTGGGGGGCAGTAGATAGGTAGGCTAACCAGGACATGGCTCGAGAGAAAGCCGTTGAAACAGGAAAACAGTTATTAAGGATGCTTTGAGAAAAAGCATCCATTCCGTACCGTACCTTTGCTCCGTCGAAGGTGGTCAAGCACTGACAGGGATGGTAGGGGTTGATAGAGCGAGAAGTAGATACTCCGTACTTATGGCAGAGATCCATAACCAAGCAAGGAAGCTGCACTACTACTTCTAGCCACATGCAGCTGTCATGCGTTCTAAGCAGTACAAGGTACGTAAGTAGGGGAGGAGAAAGAAAAAGAAAATACTTGTGGTGCTCAACAACCTATACATCTTAAAGCAGAAAATCGACCTATGCATGTACGTATGCTTTCCCTCGCCCGCAATTTACAAAGATTATATTCTTGAGCCAGCTCTTTATCCCTGAACCCTGAAAGTACGGCCACTGGCCGTCTTCCGCTCTCGCTCCTCGTTCTCGGGCCGGGCGCGGTTGAGGACTGTCGTTTATTAGTGAAGGGGATACCTCGTCTTAGAGCTTTCCTCTTACCTTGGAGGAAGTCTGCGGTCCTCTTGCGCATTCTAGTGTGAATGTATGCCTGGGGAGTAAGTAAGCAATTGACCTGGTCCTTGCGACTATGGAAATCTACCTTGGAGGCTTTGATGTGGTAATGGAAGTAATCCCGGAAGATCTGGATGTGAGAGATGCTCTCATACCGCCGCTGGGGTGTCAGATGACGAGGGAACAGGACTATGAGCAGTTAGTGACTGCAAAGTCTGGGAGACGCATAACGGCGAATGATTACCAAAGGTGACATAGCTGATCTTGCCGTCGTTGCCGTTCTGGAGGCCTGGAACTCCAGCCAACTCCAGGGGAGGGTCGTTCCGGAAGAGCACTTGAGGGGCGTTTTGCAAGGTCAGGACACGGCGTCGAGCATCCACAAATTCCTGCAGGAAGACCTTGCCAAAGATGCGATCTGTCTCCTCACGGAAGACGGTGCTGAAGATCACCGTGACACGATCATGGCTGGCCTTGATGTAGATGGCCTCCTCCTCTCGATAATGAATTGCCATAACCTCTCCTCCCTCCTGGACTCCCTGGGGTGCTGTCTCGGATGTGTATCTCGACGCTTCTTCTGATAGCTTGGCGAACTCATCGAAAGCTCTCTCGAATGGGGCGGCCATGGCGTTCCGCTTCATCAGCGCCAGACGCATGACGAGTTCATCCTTCGCATCTTGCTCGGCCGGAAGGTTCTCCAAATCGATGAGAATCGAGAAGTCATAGCCAGGCTCCGGGGTAACGATATAGGGGCCGTATTCCCTTTCCAGCACCTCCTGGGCACCGTACTGAACGAGCTCTCGGAAGCATTTCACGTTGATGGAAATGAGGATCTTGGTTTTGGATTCATGCGTGGACAGATGAAAGGTCACTCCATCAAAGTCGGAGACGATTTGATCGATTGACACGGGCGGGGCTCTGTAGGGGGTATCAACGGAGCTGTTAGCTGGTAGCCTGGCATATACCGGAGGAGGCGGGGAGGGGGGAAGCTGTACCCAGAGAACCGCTCCGTTAGGAGGGAGTGGATGAGAACGTTATGGTAGTCTAGCAAAAGCATTTTGACGAGCGGGTCCAATGACAATCAGTGAGCGGTCGGTTTCTCTGCCTGCGATTTTCTTTTCTTCACTTCTGGCTTTCAATCCCACGAGGGTCACTGCCACGATGGGAGTTACGTTGATGGGGGTTTGGGGAACGGCAGGCGGTGGGGGAGGCCCGCAGTGGTCGCTATCGCCCTCCGTAGCCGCCGCCGCCATTTGCGCCTATCGATAGCATTCATTCTCCGAGCTCCCAAATTTTTTTCAGGACGCAAACACCCAACGATGGTGAAGACATATCTGTGAGTAATTCAATCAAGGATTGAGTGGATTCCTTCGGATGGCCCCCGTGTACTGACTGTCAAAGAAAATTCGAGCATTCGAAGACTTTCGGGCTCGTCGCGTCCGCCTCGTCGAATGCGATCTGGGCCCGGGACGATGAACTCGCGGGTTCTGCACGTCGGACAGGCTCCGGACGAGTTTTCGTGGGCGCAAGTGAGGAGGTTCTCTGCTGGGACATCAAAAAGGGTGAACTACTGGGCAGATGGCGCGATACATCCTGCAAGGCCCAGGTGACAGTAATCACGCAAAGCAAGACGGATGAGGATATTTTTGCGGTCGGGTAAGTCGTTCCCGCCGCTGTAGCAGCCTTGCATGCTACCATGCTGACACTAAACGTTTTGTTGTGATACAGTTATGAGGATGGTACCATTCGTATCTGGGATTCGCGGACCGAGACGGTGATTATTTCGTTCAATGGCCACAAGACAGCCATCACCCAACTCGCCTTCGATAGCACCGGCGTCCGTCTTGCAAGTGGTTCGAAAGACACAGACATCATTTTGTGGGACTTGATCGCGGAAGTAGGACTTTTCAAGTTGCGTGGACACACTGATCAGATTACTTCGCTTCATTTCCTCACCCCATCCATTGAACTGCTCAATGCCGCTGGTCTCAGTGAGCATGCGGGTTTCCTATTGACGACCGGAAAAGATGCGCTGATCAAAGTCTGGGACTTGGCTGCGCAACATTGTATTGAAACGCATGTGGCACAATCCAATGGAGAGTGCTGGAGCCTGGGTCTTTCACCCGACCAGAGTGGCTGCATCACGGCAGGAAATGATGGAGAATTGAAGGCTTGGTCGATCGATGAAAGCGCCATGATCCAGATATCCAAAGAAAAAGTCGGCTCGGAGGGAGAAAAGATCCTGACGGATAGAGGAACATTTTACCGTAATGGAAAGGACCGCACAATTGGCATCAGCTTTCACCCCCGAGCGGACTACATCGGAATTCACGGCTCGGAGAAAGCAGTCGAGATTTGGCGCATTCGCTCACAGACCGAGGTGCAAAAGAGCCTAGCAAGAAAGCGCAAGAGGAGAAAGGAGAAGGAAGCGCAGCGTGCGGCTGACAAGGACGGAGCTGCTGTTGAGGCTGACAATGACAAATCTGAGGATGCCTCCTCTGCACCTGTCTCCGAAGTCTTCGTACCTCACACCATCGTCCGAACTGGAGGTAAACTCCGGTCATTTGACTGGATTCGAACGAAATCAAGTGGCAGCTTGCAACTTCTGGCTGCGACCACAAACAACCAGATCGAAGCCTACAGTGTTGTGACCGCCAACAAGAAGAACAAAGATGAGGAGGACTCGGACTACACTCGAAACTTGGCGATTGACATTCCCGGCCACCGCACCGACATCAGATCTGTCGCTTTGAGTTCGGATGATCGAATGCTGGCATCTGCTTCCAATGGCAGCCTCAAGATCTGGAACGTCCGGACCCAGAGCTGTCTGCGGACTCTCGAATGTGGATACGCCCTGTGCTCTGCTTTCCTTCCTGGTGATAAGATTGTTGTCGTCGGAAACAAGGATGGCCACCTTGAGGTTTTCGACATCGCCTCGTCGACTCTTCTGGACACGATCAAGGCGCACGATGGCCCGGTTTGGTCTCTCCATGTCCATCCTGATGGCAAGTCTCTGGTGAGTGGCAGTGCCGACAAATCCGCGAAGTTTTGGAACTTCCAGGTTGTGCAAGAAGAAATTCCTGGTACCAAGAGAACGACACCGCGACTCAAGCTGGTGCACACCAGAACTCTAAAAGTATCGGATGACATTCTCAACGTTCGCTTCTCGCCCGATGCTCGGTTGCTGGCTGTTGCGCTCCTCGACAACACGGTCAAGGTCTTCTTTGTCGACTCCCTCAAACTCTTCCTTAACCTCTATGGTCACAAACTTCCAGTCCTTAGTATGGATATCTCTTGGGATAGCAAACTGATCGTCACTTGTTCCGCTGACAAGACCGCACGTGTTTGGGGCTTGGACTTTGGTGACTGCCACAAGTCCTTCTTGGCCCACGAGGACAGTGTCATGGCGGTTGCCTTTGTTCCCAACAACAAGGAGGGCAATGGTCACAACTTCTTCAGTGCTAGTAAGGACCGAATGATCAAGTACTGGGACGGCGACAAGTTTGAGCACATCCAAAAGTTGACCGGTCACCACGGTGAAATCTGGGCCCTGACAATCAGCCACTCTGGAGAGTTCATCGTCACTGCCAGTCATGACAAGAGCATCCGCACCTGGGAGCAGACCGACGAGCCGTTGTTCCTGGAAGAAGAGAGGGAGAAGGAACTTGAAGAGATGTACGATAACAACCTGACGGCTTCCCTCGAACAAGACGAGGACGGACAGGATGAGGAGAAAGCCGAAGCCGTTGATGCCGGCAAACAAACATCGGAGACGTTGATGGCCGGTGAAAAGATCATGGAAGCGTTGGATCTGGGAATGGAAGACCTGGAGGTTATGCGCGAATGGCGAGCCCTCAAGGCCAAGCAACCAAATGCTGCTCCCCCAGTACGCAATCCCCAGTACATGGCGCTGAACAACATCTCGGCAGAGCAGTACCTCCTGAAGGTCGTGCAGAAGATCCCTGCCGCTGCCCTCCAGGACGCTCTCCTTGTGCTTCCCTTCTCGAAAGTTCCCGCTCTCTTCACGTTCCTCAACATTTGGGCCAGCCGTGAGTGGAACATCCCGCTCACCTGCCGTGTGCTCTTCTTCATCCTCAAGACGCACCACCGCCAAATCATCGCTAGCAAGATGATGAGGCCGATGCTGGATGGTATCCGATCCGAGTTGCGTCGGGTGCTGGCCCGCCAGAAGGACGAGATGGGCTTCAACCTGTCCGCTCTGCAATTTGTCGGCCAGCAGATCCAGGAACAGAGCACGAAGGATTACATTGATGAAGCGGCCTATGACGAGCAGGAGAGGCAGACGGGCACAGGCAAGAAGCGACAGTTCCTCAGCGTTGCTTAATTGCGCCGGCAAGAAATCTATCTGTATACATGCATATGAAAGGCGTTGAGATTTTGTGTTGGTTTCTTTGGTTACAAAAAGTTTTATACCTGGAGTTCTACGTTCACGATCGGTGTCGCTACATGTACATGTAAATCGATATAGAAATATATCAAATTATGAAACGAGCCATCAATTGCTTCATTACTACATCTAAACCTCATCTTAACTCTCCAGAGAACCTATCCCACCCCTCCAGCACAAAACCATCTACACACAAGATCTAAAACATCAAACCGTCAGCACATCAAATCACCGATCAACCACCGACGGCAGCATATACATATATATGTAAAACCACTCGAATCCAGACCCATCCAGACCCAAGCGGCAAGCAAATCCAATCAACCAATACCAATCACAAACCAAAAACACCATTCAGCAGAACCATTATAAGCATCGACGACAGTGAACAACTCTGGTTCCTGACATACCTCTTCCGGCTCTTCCTAATATACCGGTTCAAAGAAAAGTTCTCATCATATTGGTGTGGTTGTGAAGGTATTCATTGATTGGATTGCTTGTTTTTTTCCCCTTGGAGCTGCAGGGGGGATTTGTGGGGGTTGGAAGGGAGATCATGTGCATACCTGAGTGTTATGCTTGTTATATTGACTTGTCGTGGATTTGGGTACGACTCGGCATTGTGAGTCCAGCTTGCTTGCTTGGAAAGCTGATGGTGGGAGAAAGTAAAGCTTGGAAGGGAAAGTGCGGAAAGAAATTGGGGAGCTTTTTTTTTCGGTGAAATTGTTGCGCCGGGATTAGTCAGGGGTTAGTCAGTGGGTGGATTGGGCATTGCCCGATGCGGTATTTAGCTGCTTTATAATGATCTTGGTATGCACACTGACACTCTCGATGAGCCTTGTGCGAAAGAGAATACAAAAACTAGCTCTAATGATTTGGTTAATGGCTCAAGGCTTCTGATAGAGAATGCAGCAAAAAATCGCATCGGGAACAAGCCCTTTATCGAAAGAGGCCTTCATCAAGTCAATTTGCTGTTCGACTGCGACTTGAGCATTACTTTCAGTATCAAATGACCCTCGATCACGACAGGAAATTCGCAGAATCTGCTGAAATATGCAAAGAAACTGGAACCTAATTTCCTCGACTTGCTCAGCGGACGCCGTGGTCGTGCTATACCACGATTTATTGATTAGGTTAAGACCAGCAGTATTGCATGCCTGCTCAATGTTGTCAGGTGCATAGAGACTGAAACCACCCGACACGAAATATCCCCTGAAACTGTTGACGGCGTCTTGCAATCGTGGTGCCTCTTTTTCAATCGCTCGGAAGGATTTGCTGTGGTCTCCTTCCTCCCACTGCAGGTAGCCTCCGGGTTCTGCAAAAGAGCCAACTGATGTATCACTTCATAGATGTCTGGCCTGGAGAATCAAATGGAGCTTACTGATGAGAGAAGCCATGTTTCTGACAACTTGCGTGTACTGGTCTTCTCGAATGCAGGTTACGAAAAATCGGACATGAACAAGATCATATCGGTTGATATGTTCGGGAGGGAATTCATTCAAAACATCATGCACGGACAATTCCAGTATCTCGGAACTTTCTGGGAATTGATCATCGGAAATGTCGAAACCGTGTAGATAAGGAATCGAGTCTTTGGTGAATAACTTTCCGACGTCTTCTAGCCATATTCTTTAAGAAATACCTCTATCAATAAATTGAATGAGGATAAACGGAGAGCGCAACTTACCCAGTGCCTGTACCAATGTCTGCGACGGCTCTCAAGCTATCTTTACTAATTGCAGGATCGATAATGTTATTCTTGATCAGGTTCAGGAACATCCTATGCTGTTGATTTAACCTAGAACGTATCAGCCGCGGCAAGCTATCCTGGAGTGAAATAAGACAAAGACGCTGAATTTGACCTTTTCGATTCTTCTTCGTCCCTGTTGAGTGGGTATATGTCTATAGTATTCTTGGCCATGTTAATGATCTATTATCACCGCAAGCTAAAAAAACTTGTAGACAAAAGTGTGAGGAGTCAGGCGAATAGAATGGTATTCCACTGCCTCTGAGGGCCAACCAATATACGGACATCTTCCAATTTATAGTATAGATTACCATTTGCTACTCGGAGAGTTTATTGCAACTTTGGATTCGTGGTACTTGGTCTGCGTCATATTTGCAAGAATGATACCTTTACAATAGATCGGCCAAAGCTAATCGATACCGGCCCGACCTCGGCCGTTCTACGGCTTCACGTGGGACTTCTATGTATGATTCTCCAGGTTCAGTATAAGTATGCAGAATCTGTAGGAACTGTCTGTGCAGTGGCGATGAGCCAATACCCAGTCTAATTTTTGATGACGCAAAAAGGTGGCGTGCCTGATTCCCCAGGATGGCATCCAACATAAGCTCTAAGTTTAGAGATAGCCAATAGGAACCCGTCATGTTGATCCTGTCAACTATACAGCCTTGTGCTTCCCCTCTCGCCATGTATTTAAACAGGAATTCTCTCTCACCTCGACCATGTCTTGTCTCCACCGCCGTTTTTCTTTTTAAAAAAACCCACCATGCCAACCCCGATATACTTCGACCAATGTCCACCATTCCCCTCTAACATCCCCGTCGCAAACATCCCCATTCTATCCTTCAAAGACCTTCAGAACAACAGTACCGTCGAGTCAGAGAAAGTGTTCAATGCCTGTCAGGAGTTCGGATTCTTCTTGCTGAAGCTCACCGACTCCGGGGCAGGGGAGCAATTGCTCCAAGATGCCGAGAAGATGATGGATCTCACCACCACCACATTGAGTCTAGATCGGCATGTCTTGGATAAATACGCATATAACCCGCCTCGCGATCTCCTAGGGTGTTTTTGCCATCCACCTGACCCCAAAATCACTGCTAATGTGTGAAAAAGATACAAATGCTCCGGGAAACTCCGCACCGACGACGGCAAACTCGACTGCATGGAGATGTACAATCTAGGCCAGGACGATATAGTCGGGAATAGTGCCCCACGCCAGAATCCAGACCCCATTGAAGCACATCGTTCCGACTGTCGGGAGTTCTTCGAGCATGCTCATGCTGCAATCTCAGTCATCTGCGCCAACCTTGACCAGCAACTGGGGCTTCCGCTTGACACGTTGATTCGCCGGAGCTCTATAGACCAACCATCTGAGACCTCTTTGCGGTTACTTCTGAGTTGGCCGCAAACGGGAGACGCAGAGGTTGGAGACAATCGCCAGATAACTCTGGGTGGACATACTGATATTGGCACTCTGACGTTGCTCTTCCACGTCTCGGGCGGTCTCCAAATTTTGCCGGCTGACAAGGATAATGTGGCTGAAAATTGGCGGTATATTCGTCCAGAGCCTGGGTGTGCGTTGATCAATGTGGGTGATACCCTGGTGGAGTGGACGGGTGGCATACTGCGTAGCTCTTTGCACCGGGTGGTCACGGCCCCTGGGGAGCAAGCGCGTGTCGCACGACAGAGCCTGGCGTATCTTGTTCGACCGCGACGGACCGAAACGATGCACCGGATTCAGGGAAGTGATGTGATCCCACCGCTAGGTGAGGGAGAGGAGGAAGACACGCGGTCTGTGAGTGACTGGGCGGCGTGGAGAGCGCGGCAGGTTATGAATGGGGAGTTGAAACCACGGACGACAGGAGGGCGACGGGTAGTTACCCGTGCTTGAGAATAGCATCATACTTTATGAAGCCGTTTAGCATGGGGATGAGTCTGCTATGTTTTTGTATACTTCATACCTCGTACCAGGTCATGAATCATGGAGTAATAAAGTCCTTATCTCGTGCCAAACGCCAACGCTTAAACGTATATATAAGTCAAGACGCACGCTTCATCAAGCCACAATTCGAACATGTCCACCACTCGGTTTCCATAAATGCGCCACAGCTGTCACATAACCATCCGAGGGGTCGCTTGCTCGCATTCTGTTCGAGGGAAGCTAGCGATTCGACAGCACGGGTACGATTCTTGAACCCAGTTTGGCTCGTCACTTGGCCGATTGGACGCTTGTTCTTGTTCGCCGGTTTTGGATTTGGAATACTCGGAGGGCCAGAAACGGACCTTGTGGTCGAGGGCCGCGGCCGCTCCGATGCACATGCGTCACAGCAAAGAAAGTCGGCTGGGTTCTCGAGCGTACAGGTCGGGCACGACCATGGTTGATTGTACAGACTGTCATCGGAGGTTAGATCAATAGGATCTGCGGGCTGCGAGGACACTATCGGCCTGCTATTCTCTGGGACAGGCGGTGGAGACAGCGTTGTTCGAGGACCAGCGGGATTCTCATGGCTTGGGGGAATATAAGAAGGGCCGTATCTCTCGCGCTCTTCCTGCTCGATCAAATCAATATACGCCTCCATGATTGCTCGCTCGTTGGCATCGTCTTCCTCCGCCTTGGTCCGGAATCCATTCCTGAAGGCCTCCTCTGCAAGTTCGGCGCTGTTCTCGGCACCCGAGGCGCAGCCATTCGTCACTTCTGTCCGTCTCTGTGCGGCATCTGCAATGACTCTGCGCATGTCAGTTCCGCGCAACACAGGCGCACCACCGAGACGTCGTCCCGACCCTGCAGATAGAGTTCGTCGTTGCTCCGCAGCTGCTCTGGCCACTCGACGGGCCTCGTCGATGGGCATTTTTCGCCCCCCTAAACGTCTCCCTTCCGAAAGGAACCCCTCTCCCGTATAGCCTTTTATAACCAGCTCCTCGTGTTCATCACGTAGCTGGTTCCAAAGCGCATGAAACTGCTGGTTATGCGGTCCATGCACGATGTGACAGAGCCTGTACCGCCTCTCTATCAACCACCGCTCTGCAAAGGGAAAATATAGCCACTTACTCATGAAGCATAGTATCCACCACCTGCTCAAGGGGCAGGAACTGGTTCTGATCGGAGGGATACCGTAATCTTAGACAAATCTTTTGGCCCATATTGACGTTGAGACCGAGCAAGTTTCTCTGGTGCGGGTAGAATTCACAAAGCGTGCCGACTTTCCAGTCTCGTCGTCGCATGATCGGCTTGACTAGCGAAGCCACCTTTCGGAGGATCAGCAACGCCTCTGATTCCCGTGGTCGGTGCTTCTCATGCTGATATTCGAAGACCAGCGCGTCTATTTCTCGCATCGTGGCGAATATTAGAGAGTAAAAGTTCGCTACAGAAGACAGCTGAAAGAAAGACGGGTCTGAGCGATATCAAAGAAAAGGAAGAGAGAGGCGGCAAGACGGAAATAGAAGGTCAAAAATATTGTACGAAGTACAGATCCAGATCTTGATGCCAATGCGATGCGATGCTTGCTACCGCCTGCGTCAGGGATCTTTCATGTCTGGGTTTGGTTAGTGAAAGAGGAATGCGTCCCAACAGAAAGGCTGCATATAAAGACGGACGAGGGACATGACCCCGGGGGGAAGATGCCCAGGCAGAACTATAGTCTGGATAGAAAGAGACCGAATGCCGAGTGCCACTTCGATGCGATTGCTAATCCGCACCCATCCAGGCACCCAGGCATCAGTCACGTGTAATGTGTATGCCTGAGGCCTCAGTCGATGTATAGTCCTGTTCCCTTGGGGAGAAACTGCAATGAGTTGGAGTAGAAACAGTGGTACTATATAATCAGTCTCTTAGAATGTGTAGCTGCATTTATAATCAGAGGCTAGCCTCTGCTTGAGACTTCCTGAAAGGACTGGAAATGGTTCTGTGTCAAGCTGTGAAGACCTGATGGTGAAGGTGAATGGCCATTACATTATATTAGTAGATGTGACTGGCTCTAAGCTCTATATAAATGCCACTAAGCTGATCATTTGTATCTTAGGAGACTTTAATATCTTATTTTGGAACTGACTCAGGAACTAGAAAGGCACATATAGAAGTAGGCACTCTATACTCCAAGCACTAAGAGAGCATTTACTCCCCTACCAACTGACAACAGAGATGCGCATCCTTGCTTGTTTCCAGCCATACCAGAGACTCATCTACCACCACACCTCTTCAAATCACCTATTATGCCAGATATGAAGACTAACAGCTAAGCAACACTTAGTAGTAGCCATGACCATGTTATACCAAGCACAAGTGAATTCTACCATATCACGACATTATCCCAAGAATACTTCACGGATAACACCAAAGTGATAGATGGGTCCACTTCTAAACACACACTGTCTCACCAGTGTTAACCAGTCTCTCTTTGCTCTCTCTCCCACACCCACCCTCTTACCTCAACTTTCTATTCTCTCATCCTCTCTCCAAGACTCTCCTCTTTCTCATCCTCCAGACTAACCAACTCTCTCTATCTCCTGCTTAACACGCCTCACCTCTCTCCATCCAGCCTTGCACTCACACACATATACCCCATCAAACCATCTCCCATACTGCAAACCAACACCCTCCTCTCAACAAACCAAACCACCAAAATGACCCGCTGGACCGACGAAAACAAAGCCATTGTATGTTCCCAGCACCACAACAACCCCCCAAAACACGCAAACCAAGCTAACCCCCCAGCTCCTCCGGCTCATTTTCGAAACCCAAACATTCACCATCGACCTTGAAAAAATCGTCGAAGCATGGCGTAAGTAACATCCCTCCAAGTCCCAACAGTAACTAACTCCCCCAGCGACCGAAAATGACAGACCAACTGCAAAGGCTCTCAGCGAGCAGCTGAGCAAGTACCGCAAGCCGGGCAGTTCGATCAGCTTCAGTGGCGGGAAGAAGGGTAAGCGGACTGCTGGGGAGGAACCCGCTACTCCTCGGAAGTCGCGGAAGATGAATGCTAAGAAGGTGGATGTGGTGGAGATGTCGTCGCCTCTGGGAGAGGAGGATGGACATGCTTAGGATTATGGATGATAGGGATGAATGGGTGGGTGAGATGTTTGGTATGGGGGTGTTATTTCTGTGGGGTTGAATTTATTTGCCGGGGGATTGGGTCAGGGATTTGGGGGTTATGGTTGGGGATAGTTACTTTTTTCAAGTTTTTTAGCGATGGATAATTGATCAGGTTCAATCAAGATCTTACGGAGCCGGACTCTGAGAATGTCTTTGATCTGAGGACATGTTCCTCTATGAAAGGTCATGGAACCAGGGATGCTGCAGAGCTTCCGTGGCGCTGATGCGCGCCTCCGGAGGCAACTGCAACATGCGTCCCAGCAGGTCAACGCCTAGAGGATCTATAGACGGTATAAAGCTCTGCAGACTCTGTGGAGAGCAAGGCGGAACAGTATTCCTGTATTCGGGCAACTGACTGACGCCAGGCCAGGAGAGCTCGGTTGGTGTGCCCATGATATGGAAGATTTTCAGAAGTTGGTCTTCGTTTGTCGTTCCAGCGAATAAGGGGGTACGCGTATACATCTCAGCCATAATGCATCCGACAGACCAGATATCAATGCTGGTGCTGTAGGTGCGGCTTCCCAGCAGCACATCCGGGGGTCGATACCACAGTGTGACCACGTCAATCGAGAACGTGCTGATGGGGATGCCGAAAGCACGACCCAGTCCAAAATCTGCAAGCTTCAACCGCCCATTCTGATTAATCAACAGGTTCTCGGGCTTCAGGTCCCGATGTAAGATGCCATTTTCATGACAGAAAGAAACCCCATTCAGCAGTTGGTAGACGAACGACTTGATCGTAGCAGCATCAAGCGGGCCGTTCTGAGCGTCAATATAGCCCTTGAGGTCCTTGTCCATATACTCGAACACGAGCACCAGTTTGTTCTCTGTATTCACCACATCATGCAAAGTTAGGATATTCTCATGTGTGAGAAGCTTCAGCAAGGACACCTCCCGGATGGCTGTCGAGGGAGCTCCCTCCTCGGCATCGAGATGGATTTCTTTCAGGGCCACTAATTCGTTCGTCTCGCGGTTGCGTCCTTTGTAAACCTGTAACCCAGGCATTAAGTAATGTCAGAAACCACTGGCTGTACCTCTCACCTACACGATCAGGTTAATAGTAAACCTACCGTTGCATATGTTCCTTGACCCAGCTGCAGTGACCATGGTTAGCGACTGGGGCATCCAAAAACCCTCGATTTATCCTTCCGAATCTGACAGTGAAAAGGCAGTACAAACCTTCTCCAGTTTCTGAAAGGAGCCTTGGTGAGAAGGCGGAAACATGCTCACTGCTGATGTGGTGTCAGTCGAAAGGAATTGCCAACGGTGATGCTCGAAGATGGTAGGGATTGGCGACTAGACTGATAGGTATGCTATGTGTGTAGTTAAGGTTCGAGGACTGCAACCTAACATCGGCAAATGATCGATACGGGTTCTCCGGCCCAGTCGGAAAGCAGGGGCTGTTTGTTGCTTATATGTTGAGGAAATCAATCTAGCATGGACCTTGAGGTGGAGCAAGTGCACTGCCAACCCTGCCATCTAGTTCCCACTCATTTTCCTTTTTCGTGGATCTTTACGTAGCATAAACCTGTTTCTTACTCCTTTTTCTTCTAATCTCCCTTAATGCGGGTCAGCCAAAAGGCCCGGCCTGCGCTTTCGGTAGCTTTGCCTGCCAGTATATTCGCTTTTCGGAAGTCGACGTCGACCTAGGAGTTGCATGATCTGTACGAATTGACATCACCGGCCTGCAATTCCCACGTTAGCGGTATATAGCAAGCCAGCTATTCGAAAAGGGCGTACTTGGCAGGGCGACTAGGCAGATATGGTCTCCGGGGAGGGCATCCAGATAGATCGGGACTTTGTAGCCAAGAGGGGCAATCCCTCGTGTTCTCGCCAAACAGACGCTGATCCAGAACACTGTGGGTGAATCCCACTCTCTGGTTGGCCCTGTGCAACTTTAAGGGGATCATGGATCGGTTTACCCGGCGGCTAGAATAAGCTGAATGACTCCGGATTGGTTGAGGCGCCCCGCAATGACTCGGCCTTGGCTGTACACTGTGTTCACATCCTGGGCCATGGTCCACCCCTCCTCAAAACATCGGTCAATCTTCAGAAAGCAAATGATATTATGCGGACGGGACGGGTCGAAACTGAATTGATCTCGAAGATTAAGCCGACTTAGCCATGTCTTTCATGTCCTTCGATGGGTAGGCGTCGCGTCGCGTCGCGATTCGCCGAATCATGAAGCTTGCGGGCAACGACTTTTACGTCGCCGGCGACAACCCCACGCAGCCGTGATAATTTTCCCCGATCTCCTTGGCTGGAGCTTTCCGAACATGCGTTTGCTGGCGGAACTATGCCCGCGAGGCTAACGCAACTGTCTGTCCCTGACTTCTGTGGCGGTGAAGTGCTCCCGGTTGACCCTATCCTTAACGAACGGACCTTCCTGCTTCCTGGGATGGAACTCTCGTGAAACACGTGAGCCGAGGATTAGAGACTGCGCTAGATCCCTGCAACAAAGATACGAGCGGGATTCCGCTATGAAGGGTGGGCGGCTTTTCGCCTAGGAGCGAAGGAGCACCAGCTACCTCTCGTAGATTGTATCACGGTCGGTCATCCATCACTCTTGACCAGAAAGGATATCGACGAGGTCGCGGTGTCTGTGCAGATCCTTGCCCCCGAGCATGGCCTGTTTATACACATGAGCTCAAAACGTATACTTTCAGACTGTTCTACGTGTTCCGTTCGATTATCTTTGCTACCCTGGGGTTGAGCATAGCTGTTTCACACGTGGTGATAAAAACGATGATGGGGAGCGTGAGGCTATGGCTCGTGGGAAGAAAGCTGCTGTTAGCTGGTTCAGACAATTTTTGTTCACTAGTTGACAACTGACCGGCGGATTGTGCTTGTAGTATTTCCAGAGATAATGCCGATGTCTCATTGCCCATGTAGATAGATCACATTAGATAGATGTAAATCATATTGTTGATCTCGATTGATTGCATGGCCCGGTTTGATTTGAGTCTTTGACATTCCCCACATCTTGAGAGTCTGTGCTAGATGACCGGAAATGGTTTCCCTTCCAGTCATTTCCTTGAAAATTCCAGAATCTTTCGGATTAGGCTGTCTTTCTGTGATGATCATGGATGTGGAGACTGGTACTTATCATGGGAACCGGAGGAGAGTTTTTACCTGACAAGTCCATCCCTTGCTTCACATGACCTGCTGTCTTTCATTCACAGGGGTTTGTCTGAGATTTTAAAATCAAATGCCGACAGATCAAACTGAGTGTTATCTTTTACCTCAGGCCACATAATAACAGCTCGGACCTACAAAGTTTGATCATGGGATGAAGATCAGTTTCCACACTTGGATGTGACAGAACGCTGATACATGAAAGCTAAATGTTAAAGTACTGAGACCATAACTCATCAATGCAAGTCACTGTTAAAGTCAATATCTCAGTCTATCGGGGTATTCATATCTGGATAGAAATACATGGTCCAAACTGCCATATCCGTTTGAAGATTATAAGGTCTCGTTTTGGAGTGTGCCACTATAACCCCTCACCATGGCTCTTCCTTACCATTATATCTAGTCAACTTCCCACTGTGAGTTTCTCGTGTAGAAGCGTCGATTACCTTAACCACACCCGTAACACTTTCTTCCACTGTAATCGCAGCAGTCCGATCAACTCCAAACCAATCAGCCCCGCGCTGGCCAAGATCCGTTTGCACCCAACTATTATGTATTAACTTTCTGTAGTAAACTCCAGAGTCCAGGTGGAATAAGACTTACCCAGGATCAATGGGAAAAGCCGTTAGCCATGGGTCTTCAGCCGAGATAGACCTAGTGTACCAGTGTTGAACCACTTTACTGGGAGCGTATGCCGCGTTTGGGAAAGGTCCAAAGTTCCTAAATACAAACGTTAACATCAATTTGCTATAGTGCAATCACAGTTCTGGAACCCATTCGACTCACTATGCCGTCAAAGTCAGCGTTCTGCCTGGACATCAAGGCCAGATTGTACTTACCGTCAGAAACCCAGCATTTGACCCAATCGTCACCCATTTCGGATCCCTGGCCTCCTGAAGAAGAGGTCGAAAAGCTTGATAGAGACGGATGAACCCGTAAACATTGACATCGACATGCTTCTGAATATCCTCAACCTTCACCTCGGACACCTTGGGCCAGCAAAGAGCGATAGCGGCGTTTGCGATGAGGATGTCGATGTGGGAAATGCCCTGGGCTAATAGCTCCTTCACGGCAGCAGCTGAGTCGGTTGGAGAGGTGGCTTCGTGCTTGACAATTAGTAATGTGGTACCCTCTGCTTTCGGGAGATCCGCGAGAGCCGTGGAAGTCGGGTGGTTGGGGTCTCGGTTTGCCGCAATGACGGTATGGTTGGGCTTCTTCAGGTAGAGCTCCAGTATACCCTTTCCTATACCGCGGTTGGTTCCGGTGATGAAGACAATTGTGGGTGGCATGGCGTGATTGGTCGAATTTGTAATCAATGAAGATTGATGGAGTGATAAGAGAGGAGATAGTGAGTGATGGTGCGGAGGATAGTTCCATTTATACTGGGTGACTTACAGGCATTGGTAAGCTTGATGATGACTGTGAATCGGCTTGATAATAAAGACGCTTTGGTTGCTAATCACTACTATGGCAATCTAGGATTTCCGGGTCTCGGGGACCGAACGAGGGACTATCCAAGCTGAAGGATAGGTGAGGCATCGTCAACTGTACGACCAGATGTAATCGAGATCTAATGCTTTCGGCATACTGTCCGTCCTCGTTTTGTGCTCTCCTTCGACGCCAGAGACAGAACTTTCGATTCCTTGGCTTTGCGGTATGAGCTCTAGGAGCTTGATACTGGGTTAAGGGTAAATAAAGGCGAGGACCACATGGCTAGATCATTTGATCCTGCAGATTGTTGTGGTCAGCCAACCCGCCTTCCTCCTTAGCCTTCAATTTCATCTGGATGAATCCATCCATTTGTTCTCTTTCATCCGGCGTCAAAAGCTTCATTCGATCGTTTAGATCTCCATCACCAAAGAACCTCCGGTCAATATTAGCCCAGTATATCATGTCGAATGCCCAGCTCTTTCTTGCAGCGTAGTTAAGCCAGAAATCACCGCTTTGCCAGCTTTTTAACATATGTCCAGACAGCCGATCGCTCTCCTTCAGAGTCCCTCGGTCAATGGCTGCTTGCTCTTCGTCCTTGAGAACTTTTAGGATTGTCGACAGAACCTTCTCATATTTTGTAGTCCAATCATCCAAGCCCTGCTCCCAGAATTCTGGAAGTTCGAGCAGCAACCAGAACGGGGGGCTGTAGGCAAATCCAGTAGGAGCCGCGTAAGTAAACTCCCAGTCAACCACTCCAGTCATCATGTACTGATCGTTCGCAAGGACGTTCCCAGGTCGAAGGTCGTCACAGAACAGCTTGAAAGGGCCAGACTCATCGTCGCAAAGCTGATAATCCCGGGTAATTTTGCGGAATAGACATCTTGCGATGTACTTTTGTCGACAGTCTTCCGCAGAATCAATGGCATCATTCCTTTGCGAAGACAGATGGATCATATGCATCTCAGCCAGTGCTTGGTAGTAAGATGAGGCTGTTTCGAATGTGCTCTGGGGAAGTAGTTGAGGCGGAACCCCGCCTAGCTGAACGTGTTCGTTCATGTTGAAAGTGAGTGGGAGGTGCTTTACTACCCATTCATCATCGAATTCGTCATCTTCATTAGCTTTGCCGATACAACCAATCTTCATAAAAGAATGCCTCGATACCTGAAGCATGACATCTGCCATCTGGCTGTATACCGACTCAAGTCGTTCTTGTGAGACGTTCGGATTTAAGATTGGTCTGTCATCGCGCGACCGACCAGGGATGTTAATAGCATCAATGAAATCGCCTTCATTGCTAATGTACTCCATGACGATAAATAGACCTAGGCCCTTTGAGCTCTCCTCTGTCGTTCCGTGGTGAAGGATGTGAGGCACGCGCAGATTGGTAAAATATTCGAGGAACTGCATCACTGCAACTTCGCGCTTGACTTTTTCTTCAGGGAACATCGAAGCACCAGGGCAAGGAAATCGAATGATGGCAGAGCTTCCATCTTGGAATAGCATCCGAAGCCAAGCATTGAAGGCCCCGCGCTTGGGAGCAAAAAGCTCATCAGGAACTCCTCCCCTATGTTCGTCGATGAATCGTCCTATTTCCCGGAGAACTTCCCGTTCGAATAGTCGGCTTTTCCAAGAGTCGAATATCTCATCACACCTGGCCCATGCGACATCATCGTAGTCCATGCATTGTGCCGTTATAATGCTAGCAGCGGAAGTCGGAGGCATCATGTGTAGTAGTCGGGTTAATATCCTCGGGATGGACTTAGAACATTGGCCCTTTGCAGGTTAAAGCAAGAAATTCAAATCTAGAGTGGGAAAGCAACAATGATAAAGTAGTAAGGATGATAATGAAGAGTTCATCTGTAAAGGCCATGGACACCTTCTTATGGCCTCGGGGCCGCCTTTGTCACTTAAGCGCTCAACTGCTTCTCCTGAACTGACCAATCACATCAACAACCACATGCGTTGTGATCAGTCAAGTAGCAGTGTGGGAAGAAACCCAAGCCTGGCTTGAACATATTCTGATCGGTAGAGACTATTGATAGCAAAAATAGCCAGGTAGACATTCCGAGATAGCAGCCAGAACGGTAATGGTCCGGGCCATATATAAGGCTTATATTGTGCCGGGCTCGGTTGTGCCATAAGCGATGGTTATGTCAGAATTGCCCATTCAGCGATGGAACTTGTTATTCACACTATACAGATGAAACCCCACCAATTCTATGCATATAAACCCAATACAGCCATCTTGGTCAACCGGTGTAGATGGCTAGAGCTTAGGAAACCCTCAATGCAACGCGGACCGCCAATTAATTAGGAACTCAGCGTAAGTCTCAGGACATGCGAGACGGATTTGAATGGTGTGGATATCCCGGCTACCATAAGCTGTCTAGTTAGGTTCCACCATAATCAAAATGAGACAATGGTCAAGTCAAGATATTGCTGGCGATTATAGATAAGCTTTTGTCTCCATACAAAGCCAGATGCCTCGGTAAGTGCCGCTCGGAGGACCTGCCGCTGGAGGCGATAAGAGCGACACTAAAGGCCTAGGGCTTACATCGGCCCCTCCTGATCCTTTGGAGCAAATTCGGCTAAAGAATCAAGCCAAGGACATCTGTCAGGATCCTGGCGTTGAATGATCTTTATTTGAACGATCAGGATCAACAGCTTTTCTTCCGCATACCATCGTTCTCTCTTCTGGCAGTTAGTCATACTATAATCCATCACACCAAGTCTAACAGCTTCACCTGAGCCATGGAAAGTCAAGATATCTTCGATCTGTATACTTATTGGTGCTCCTCATGCTGCCAGCGGATCATAATTGCTGCTCATCTCAAGGGCATCCCTCTCCAATTCAAATACCTCGATATGGGTACAAGAGCGCACCATGAACAGAAGTACAAGGATGAGCTGAATCCAAGTGCTAGCATTCCGACATTGGTTGTGCATCACCCTGACGGCGAGAAAACCATCATCAGACAGTCCATGACGATCCTAGAGTACTTTGACGAGCGATTCCCGGACCGAAGCCCTCTGCTGCCGCCTGTTTCTGCCTGGCAGGACCGCATCAAAGTCCGCGACTTGGTCAACATCATCGCGATCGATGTACAGCCACCAACGAATTCCCGCATCGCTAAACGCGTCAGGGCTGTACAGGACAATGTGCAGGACCAGATTGCATTTGTCAGGCAGGCCTTCACGGATGGGTTCCAGGCATATGAAGCCTTGATTTCTCCGTCAAGCAAGTATTCTTTCGGCGAGCAGGTGACTATGGCCGATGTTGTGTTGGTCCCCACGGTCGATCAGGCGTTGATGTACAAAATGACCTTGGATTTTGCGCCCAACGTCCTAAGGGTGTATAATTCGCTGAAAGAATTGGAGGCGTTCAAGGCCGGCGATGGGAAAAACCAGGGCGATACCCCAGAGCAGTTCCGGTCAACTTCTCAGTGAAATCCTAAGCTGCTGCGTGTCGGGTGGTTCGTATTTGACCTGTACTATCAGTGTCTATCGAGACACGTTTTTTCTTTGGAGTATATGCCATAGAAAGTCGCCGGTGTTGTAATCAAGCCGACAATGAAAGATGTTGAGCAAAGTGCATACATAATACACAGTTGACAGGTAGTAGCAGATAGTGTAAACTCGGGCGCGATTGGCGCGGCGGACTAGATGTGACCTATCCAAGCGAACATGCCAGACTACATGGTTGTCGCTGCTTGGCATGTGCAACTCAAAGTAAGTGTCCCCTCCTACCACGCACATGGACCTGTAAGCATAGCCCATCCTGCATTAACTTATCATGAGTAGATGAGTAGTTGCTCTTTGGGTCTAAATTGGGCCAGAATTCCGCTGCTCGGTACTTGAGATAAGGCCGGTTGTTCTAGTAAGGTGATTTGACTTGCTCCATGGGCAGGTTGCGTACTTACCTGCGTGCTGTAAGAATACGAAGCATAGCGAAGTGATGCGACATGGAGAAAATGTACCAGTTATTGTCCTACCACTTCTATCACTGATCAGGTAGCTCTAAATGCAAGTAGGAGTAGGCGCTCCAGCTTGTATGCAGCGAGGGGCGCATTGTCTGTCAAAATATTGGACAGATCTTCGCTGAACAAGAGCGATTGCGAATGAGGACCGAGGCCATACATTCCTTCTTGTATCTTCCAGTCGGGCATATGGTTCGTACCCCCACTCCTACGAAGCTGGGGTCTTCAGCATTGATAGACCAGAGAAGTCGTCATCAGTGCAGTAAAAGTAAAGGCGGTGCAGGGTTGTGTAACCCGAGCTATGCGAACATTTAGTGAACTCGTAATCAGACTAGCCAGAAGACTCTTGCTTCATTTCCCCCGAACTCCCGAGGAATATGGCCAGAGTATTCGTGATGGGGTACTTTCATGCACGGAAGTTTGTAGATGATGTTTGTAGTGATGCGTAAGCAAGGTTGGCCACGATATTCTGCAAGCCTCTCGCCTCGGAAAACCCATCTTTATTCCATAAGTCAGATCCGATCGCAAATTTTCGTCCTGTGGCAAGATTGCTTGCTGGATTGAGATGCCTATCGCATGTCCTGGCTCTCCAGTTGTGGGGTATTGTGATCATACTATTATTGCAGAATGGTTTCAGGTGATCTCGTGTGGTATCCTGATGTGAACTGATTTGCTGGTCTTTTGTAAGATATCCTACTTCATAGGCACCAATAGATCAACTCTTTCTTCATTTTGGTGTGGCTTCTCTTTCTGACTCGTCTCTGAAAAAACAATCTTGGGGTGTTGCAAGTGAAAACGCTGTAGTGGACACGTAGTATGCGCTGTTGCCTGTCAGAATTCTTGTGAGTTTTTCATTCCTTGGAGTAATAAAGATGCCCCGCTTCTTTGCCCAAATCCTCCGTTCCTGGATAGAGTGATGCTGATGGAAATTTCGTGGACTAAAGCATATGAGCATGTGAGCTATGGACACAGGACCTCGATGGTGTGGTTCAATTGCACTCGAATCTGGAACTGGTGATTGAGGTCACCATTCTAAACGCAAAGTTAAGAGAGATTGAAAGGTATGCCAGAGTCAGCAATTTTTTTCCCACTTTCATTCCCGAACTCCGACCCCTGAAAAGAAACGCCGAACCAGTGCTCACGACAAAAGACCCATCCAGACGGCTGAGACCTGGCTGGTCCACTGAATGGGTAATGCATCTATCGCGATTGGCAGAGATCCAGCCTGCAGGGTGCTCAAAAAGCTTGCGCACACGCCGGTGGGCACACATGGTGGTCAATCAGAGAGTCAAACCAAGGGACACGGTCAAGTGAAGAGGAGAAAGGGTGGGGATGCCTGGCTGTTAGGGAGCGGGTAAGGCTGAACGGCCTTCCACTCGCTTCGGGTTGCAGGCTCCACAGGGCGCACTATGTACTGACTAGGCAGGCCCCCATTCCCTGAGCCGGTTTGGTTTACAGGCCCATTCTCGCGCTTTCACCCGGAGTGGGTAGAGAGAGCCTTCTAAATCGCGTAGATAAGGAAGCCCCGGTCCTCCATCTGACTCAAACATGCTTCTCCGTCACCTCAGCGTCCATGCTTTTCACTGAACCCTAATCCTCATATTCTCTTCCAAAATGCAAAGCATGAACCAACGTTACCTCTTGCTCAAGAAGCTCACATTCAGGCTGCTCTGTGCTGCGCTGTGTTTCGGCTTCTCGGGCGCTGCTCGGGGTCAGTTGCCCCTCCCCTTCTCCGGCATCCGGAGTCACTAACTCCCCATAATAGGTCTCGATTCTGGTCTCATTGCGAGTACCGTTGCGGAACAATCATTCATCGATCAGTTTCATCTAAAGGCCAGCTACCTCAGTGCATCCCAGAAAGCCAATCGATTGTCCAACATCACGTCAATGGTCCATATTGGCAGCTTGCCTGGTGCCATAGTCGCATTCATTTGCAGCGAGCGCATCGGAATATTGTGGACAATCCGACAATGTTGCCTGCTCTGGATCATAGGCTCCTTGGTCTTCATGACTTCACGAAACCTTGGTCAGGTATACGCAGGTCGTTTTATCATGGGCCTCGGTATTGGACAGTTTGGTGTTGTTGCTCCCATCTACCTCGGTGAAGTGGCTCCCAGGGAGATTCGCGGGATGCTCGTGGGTACCTACGGCATGTCAGAATACCTGGGAATTATGATCGGTGTAAGGTTTGCGGGATCTGACATATATGAATTGAAATGTTGACATGATGCAGTACTTCTCCATATGGGGGGCATCTATCCACATCCCTAGCTCGAGTGCCAAACAGTGGATCATCCCGCAGAGCGTACAGATCATGTGGGCAGGCTTGCTTCTTATCTCATCCCTGTTTTGTGAGGAGAGTCCGCGATTTTTATGTCGACAGGGCCGTCCAAAAGCAGCACTCCATTCCCTTGCACGATTGTGGAACCTGTCGCCGTTGGATCCAGGAATACATGTCGAGGTTTCAAATGCTCAAATTCAGCTGGAACTTGAACGCCAGGTGCCATCAAGAATGCGGTACTTTGGCGCACTGAAAGAGCTTTTTGGAACCAAGGCTCATTTGAAGCGGATTGCTTTCGTCTTTGTTTTGCAGTGCTTGGGCGAATGGTCCGGTCCAAACTCAGTAACAAGTAAGCCCTGAGACACCTTCCTCACACTCTGTTCATGTCTTACTTACACCCTGCTCTTACCCGTACTCTATTTGCATTTTTCTTACATCAAACTTACACCTCGCTCATCTCTGACTCATCTTCTACTTACTTTTCTTTTCTTTTCTTTTTTTTTTTTTTTTTGCCGATTTCTCACTCAGATTTTGCCCACATCCAGCTCACTTAAGCTAACACATTCTCCAGCATATGCACCAGAGTTGTTTGGAATTTTCGGGATCCAAGGGCAGTCGCAAAAGCTCTTCACTACAGCCATTTTCGGTGCTGTGAAGTTTGCATTTTCCTTGATTTCTGCACTGTTCTTGATAGACTCTCTGGGCAGGAGAAAGACCTTATACCTCGGGCTCATAATCCAGGTCATTGCTTTGACTTATGATTCGGTTTTTCTAACTGTTTTCTCTTCCTTATCAGGCGACTCTCAGCAAGAGTCAGCAACAAAGCATGCTGCCATTTGCGCGATCGTGATGATCTATTTCATCGGTATTGGATGGGCTTTGGGGTGGAACTCCATCCAGTATCTGATCACGGCAGAATCGTTCCCGCTGGGTGTAAGGATTGCAGGGGTAAGCCTTGTCACACTATGGCATTATGCAAACCGGATCGGCATCTCCAAGGTCTGTGCTCCATTCTTCTTCCGTCTTGACTTTCGGAAGGTATGAGCTGACTGACCTCTATAGGCGACCACGTTGATGCTTCTCGACCACGACTCCCTCACACCTAAGGGCACTTTCTGGTTTTTCACAGGGATGTCTTTGCTAGGCCTTGTGTTTACGTGGTTGTTTCTGCCTGAGACTTCCGGGAAGGGGTTGGAGGAAACCAATAAGCTGTATGGTGAGAGTGGCAAATCCCCGCACGACGAGGAGGTGGTTTAAGATCGAAAGTCCAGCGGAATTTGCCCGCCACTCTGTGTATAAGTGGGAGCAAGTTGGCCCCTAAGGCTATATCCGCATATTTCCGTTATTCCCCCAACTCGAACCGGGGCTATTGCTCTTACCCCGCAAACCTTGTCTCCCGTTCTTCACCCAGTAGTCCTCCTTTTCCTCTTTTAGATCCCTGGTGGGTCAACGCGATCAACGTCACCGCCACAAATCACAATGGCCTCAAGTGGGGTCCAATTTATGTGATGAAGAGTCTAGCTGGCTGGCTGCTCTCGATTGGCAGAGGGGCTCAAACTAATAACAGATCGCGCTGGTTAGCGGACTGCCAACGCGGAATGGCATTCCACTCTGCTGCCTTGGCCTTCCTCTACGGTCGTCTAAAGGTATAACTGCGGAATGGACTCCCATCTACCCCAGTCTAGACCTGTGCGACCATTTATTTAAAGAGGGGCTTGTCCTCTTGGCCCATCACGGTTCGATGGTGGTTCTTCACATTCTAGCTACACTCATTCAACCATCATCCCACCGGTTTCAGACGGTCCGCAGCATGGCGGACTTCTATGACTACATCATCTGCGGGTGAGATTCCTCCTCGTAGAACCTGTTCCGTCTATCTTTCTTTTATCCATACTGACCTCCTGTATTCAATCTTAGGGGCGGCACCTCAGGGTGCGTTGTGGCTGGACGCCTGGCTGAGAACCCACACGTAAGGATCCTGGTCGTCGAAGCAGGACAGCATCATAAGGACCTCGAGAATGTTCATATGGTTGCCGGGTTCGTTGTACTCCTGGAAGTTGGTTGGTGGATGCTTATCGAACTAGTTGGAATAATCTTTTCGACGACAAGACGGATTGGAACATTGTCACTTCGCCGATGTCCGGCGTCAACAATCGTCAAGTCAAGCTCAGCAGAGGCAAGTTTCTGGGTGGCTGCAGTGGTTGCAACGGGACGCTTTGTATACGCGGCAGCAAGCAGGATTACGATGACTGGGGCCTGGAGGGTTGGAGCGGAGAGGAATTTTTCAAATATATGCAAAAGGTCTCGGCTACTTTACTGTTCCAAGAAGGTCTGGGAATGATTAAAGCATGGGCACTAATCTCTGTTCTCTAGGCCGAAACATTCCACAGCAAGCCTTGGTTTAAGTCTGCTGATCGATTTCACGGGCAATCGGGTCCTCTCCACGTCGAACCACATGATCTCGCCCCGATTTCTGAGCTCATAATGGACTCTTTCGTCTCTCAGGGCCTTCCACTGGACCATGACATGTTCACAACTGGTGAGACACCCCATGGCTGTGGTCATGTACCACGGACAGTATACAATGGCCTTCGCACGACTAGCGGAGATTTTGTTACAAACGGGTACCACCGCAGCAATATCACAATAATGACAGATACTACTGTGGATAGGATACTCTTCAAGAGGACCCCTAACGGGCTGAAGGCGGACGGTGTTGTGGTGGTGACAGCGAATGGGCAACAATCGTTATTCGCGAAGAGGGAGGTAGTCATTAGCAGTGGTGCTTATTGCAGCCCTACAATTCTCATGAGATCTGGGCTTGGTCCGAAGGAGGAGCTGCGGAGAAACGGTATTGAATGCTTAATCGACCTACCTGGCGTTGGACAAAACCTTCTGGATCATCTGGTGATTAGAGCATCTCCCATTAACATTCAAAGCTCTGCATCTGACCAAGCTACTTAGATTGTCTTCATGTTCTATGAGACAGAGAAACCCGGTCTAACTAACGATCATCTCGTTTACCACGATGGAAATTTCGACAAAACCTATGCACTTTGGAAAGACAAAAAGGAGGGGTTTCTTTCGACTTTCCCCTTTGGCTCCTTCGCCTTTGCGCGCTTAGACGATCGTCTGAAGGATGAGCCATTGTGGAAGAATGCGCCACGGAAACCAGGCCGCGATCCTATGGGACTAACGCCTAAACAGCCGAATGTTGAGTTCTTCACCACGGAATGCTATGGTGGTCCTAAGCAATTTGATCAGTTTCCTATTGATCGTAAACACGCATTTTCGATTATCGCAGAGTTATTCTCGCCTAAGTCCCGTGGAAGCGTCACCCTGAAATCTAAGAACCCCCTGGAGAACCCTGTGGTGGACTGCAATTACTTTGCCGATCCGCTGGACCTCCTCGTGATGACTGAGGCGTGCAGGTTCGCCAACGAAATCATCACCAAGGGTGCTGGGACGAAGGACATTGTGAAAGGATCTTGGCCGCCTCATTTGATGCACCACACCTATACGAAGAGGGAAGAGTGGGTTCATTATGTGAAGGAACATGCGACAACATGTAAGCTTCTCACACCTCAAGTCAAGCTGTAGTTACACTAAACAGATGATCCTAGGCTACCACGCTGCGGGTACCTGTGCAATGGGTTCCGACGGTGATCCTCGCGCTGTCCTTGACAACAAGTTGCGCGTAAGAGGAGTCATTGGGCTCCGTGTCGCAGACTGCAGTGTCATGCCCACGTTGCATGGAGGACATACCCAGATGCCTGCTTATGGGATTGGCGAGAAGTGCGCCGACCTTATCAAAGAGACGTGGTCATCACAGGTTATGAACGTGGCGAAGTTATGAGGTCTGGCATCAATTTGATAATGAATGACGAATTGACATTTGCAATTGTAACATGCGCGCAGTTACACGACTCACTATGAATGATGGTATTTTGTGGGTGTACTTACATTTGGCATAGCTCTCTCAACTCTGCAAATATAATAGCTGTTTATATGGACCTGTCCGCGCTTGTGTATGAGCAAAAGAATGCAATACGTGGCCAAAGAACGAACTATAGGCAGTTTCTGTTCCCACTGACACTGAATACTGGATACAGCCTTACATTTACAGATCTAACTGGGTTAAGATACTCCGAAGACCAACATATAACCTTGATAACGGTGTATAATGTTAAAACATAACATCTCTTCAACAAAAACGGTTGTGTAGTGTAATGGTCATCACTCTGGATTCTGATTCCAGCAATCCCGGTTCGATCCCGGGCACGACCTTTTTTCTCGCACCAAATGCGGCCCGAGCGATCCGAGTCGATGGTTTTTTGGCAGCCATTCTTTCTCTCCTCGTTTTTCTCCCAATCTTTTTTTTTATTTATTCCCATCCATTATTCTCCCCTGCTGCAACCTGTATCCCACACAATTCCATTCCACCAGGCACCAACACATTATTGCCAGTCGAATCCCGACACTGTGTAACCCAGAAGCACCCAATGAAGCCTTCCCCCGTCAGCCTTGTGGGCCGTTATCCACTCACTATAAAGCCGATGTCGCGGGCTGCCAGTCAACCCACCCTCGACGCCATCTGGGCCATTGTCATTTGTCCGTGATTGATAGGGCTGCCGGAATAAGGCTGATAGCGCCTCCAGTCACCGGTTGCGTGCTACGACCAGGAAATGGCGCGCGGATAAGCGGAATCGTAACACTTCAAAGCTTTTTTTCCCTCCCCCTCCCACGGACATTTCCACGGAAGGGGTCACTCAATTCCCTTTTCCCCTACTAGTAGTAATCTTGCGATATATCCCAATTTAGGGTTTAGGGTAGGCAGCTGGCCAACCTTCCAGCTTTGACCTTCCGATCAACCTTGACCCAAATATAGCATCCTCATAATATTCCCACTGCACTGCATATCTGCAACCAAACCGGATCCTTGTACATATATAGTACCCATCCATCCTGCGTACTATTTCTCACGCCCAAATCCCCACCAAAGTGATGTCAGAGCCCTCCCATGCAAAATCACCGGGCCTCCCGGTCGTGGAATCCTCCAGCAACGAAAAATCGCGACCATTCAATAAAGAAAGAAGATTGCGACAAACCGTCGATAGCAACTATGCCGATATCATCTGTATCATCCTTTGCTTCGTCACCGGCCTTTGCGATAGTTCTGCCTTCAACGCATGGTCATGTTTCCTCGCAATGCAAACCGGTACGTCACCACACCACCCACCCCCTATCCCCCCTCCCCCAACCTCATCCCATCCACCACTAACCCTCTCCCCCAACAGGAAACACCGTAGTCCTCGGCCTCGGCGCCGCCAACCTCCCCAAAGATGACCACTGGAGCTGGCTGAAATCCCTCGTCTCAATCGCCAGCTTCGTGACCGGTTCCTTCGTCTTCAGTCGCGTCGGTAACCTCCTCGGTCCCACGCGTCGCGGCACCCTCTTCACCTCCTTCATGGTCCAAGTGATTCTCATCGTCATTGCCGTCTCGCTCCTCCAAGCCGGCTTGATTTCCAAATCAGACGTTTCCGATCACCAGCATCACCCCCTGCTGGACCTCATCCCTATCGGACTCCTTGCGTTCCAGTCCTCGGGTTCCATCAATTCCACCCGGTCCTTGGGATTTAATGAGATCCCGAGTGTCGTGATCACGAGTGTGTATTTTGATATCGCCTCGGATAAGAATATTCTGGCCGTGCAGAATGTGAAACGCAATAGGAGAGTGGCGGGGGTGGTGGCGTTGTTGATTGGGGCGATTGTCGGGGGTTGGTTGAATCGGAGTGCTGGGGGGATTGCGTCGACGTTTTGGTTGGCGGCGGGGATTAAGTTCCTTATTGGGGTGGGGTGGTTGGTTTGGTTGCCGAAGAAGGTGTAGGTTTGGTTTGTTCAATGGATTGGGTTGAGAAGGTGTTTGGGGGGTGGGGGTGTGTGAGTGAGGGGGATAAGGTGGGTGGTGGTGTCTCTCCATTCTGGATGGGAGTTGTGGTTGTATAATTCGATGGTATAGACTTCTGTTTTATAGACGGTATAGACTGGTTTTCGGCTTTGTGACTAGCAAAATGGCGCTGGTGAGGATTTTCATAATCAAATTGTTTTCCGATGCCATTCATTGATCCTGACTCCATGCGCTTGAACACTGCGATTGTTCGCACATCAATATTAGCGATTGTACTCTGATGGATGACTGCTCATCATTCATGATATCCATTAACGATTAACCCAATGGATCCTTGTTACGACGCCCAGATACGTTGCATCGCATCGGGTGACTAAGGGCAGCTCCTATGTACATTATACAGTCACCACTGCTTTGCTTCGTCTTGATGCCTCGGTGATTAACTCCCCAACCATTGTTCCATGATCCAGGATATGCTATCGTACAGTTTCCCTTCCGTTCCGCGAAGCCCACATCTCCAATTTGATGATCCCATCATCTCATAAAGCGCTTACTCGCGCATGGGGCGCAGAGGGCTCTGGCGGGGGAGCATCATGGGGGGACCGCGGGCACGGAGCCAGGCATCGTTATGAGGACCTTCGGTACGAATGACGCTGCCGATGGACATGAAGAGTCTGTTAGAAGCAATGTAATTAGTACAGGTCCCATCGAAGAATATAGATACAGCCATCGATATGGGAAGCGGTCGAAGAAAATTCCGCAAACCTACCCGAAAGTAGCACCAGAACCCAACATGTATTTACCCAGGGTGCGCATGACACCGTTAGGTCCGGCACCATATTGGAAGACGGTTACAGTTCCTGCTTTGTGTTAGTGGAGGTTGCAGGAGGGGCTGCATGTGTTGTAAACTGACCGATGATGAAGCCCATGATACCTCCCACAGCTGTTGAACGGGGATTAGCACCAGAAGAAGCGGGGAATGACCTTATTCACATACTGGAGCCCATCAAAGCACCCATCTTCACTGTGGAACAAGTTAGCTAACCCATATAGGCAGTTGAAGTAGGAATCTCATCCACCTGGTGGATGGTATGAGGGTGGACTAACTCTTCTCGAACGTGGAGGGGCCATGCCCTTGAGGAGGACCAGCAACGACGGGCATTTTTGACACAATAACAAATACAAATACAGAGAGTGTAGGAGGCTTGACAGCACAAACACCAGGTTCCCGTAAACAGTCGAGACTTGAAGAGTATAGAGTCGGCAGGAAAGCTCCAACGGTGGGCGCATCGAAACCCGAGGCCCAGAGACACGTGATACCGCCTACCTTATTTGGCCTCACACCCGGTCCGTGCGGCTTACCTCATCGCACGTGTGTTAGTCACGTGATTTACGGCCTCAGGCGTAGGGGACGAAGGATGCTGTGAGCTGATCGGGTCTTCTCTCCCGCCGCAGTTGGTGGCTCCCGATGAGATTTGCTCCTGAATCGTCTGATCTAGTGCGACGACTCATTGTTTCGGCGGCTTAGGAGCCTGTGCAAGGCGGCAGACCCGTCTCGTGCCCCGTCTTCCTTGCTGGCCGGTCGCTTGGTCCGTTCGCTCCTCGGTTCGGGCCAAGACCTCCTCCCTCCACGCCTCCTTGGTCTGAAGCGCCTTCCTGTTTCCCATCCGACCTCACTCAATCTCGCCTGTTCAGATCCATCCTACGGTGGTAAGTTCGCCATCTCAGCTAGGCGGTGGGGGTGGAGTCGACGGTGCCAGGCGCTGCTGCGTCGTTGCGGAACGGACTCGGTGTTTATGGGGGTCGTCCGGACAATTGCTAACGTGACCTTCTCTCCCCAGCCGATCGGATCGATATCAAGATATTTCGGCGCGCCGGCCATCGCTATATACTTTCTGCCCCTGAGGTCCGTCGCGACGGGCTCTCCCGGGCGATTTCCCCCCCAACGCTTCTTCTTGCATATTAGACGATTCCCTTTCCGTTGAACGGAACGGCGCCTATGAGATAGAGCTCCCTCTCCCCACACAACATCCGGTATCCTTCTCCATGACTGCTGTGGCATCACCACCTAGTGTGCAATCGGGCCCTCGCTTGGGATGGTTCGACGCTGGTAACGGAGGACAAGGCGCTCTGTCTTCAATGGACGCGGAAGAAGTCTCACGGACATTCTTGCCGCGAAGGACCGTTCAGAGATCGAATTCCTCCTCTTCCATAGGATCTACCTCATCCAACTCGACCGCTATAACTACGCCGCAAAATTCGAATGCAGGACAAGTGAACAACATTGAATCAACTACTTGGTCGTCCAAAAAGAAGTCTTCCAGGAACGTTTGGCCCAGTTCCAAGTCAGAGCCGGTGGCTGGGCTAAGCAACGCTCGCTCTCAAGCCATGCCAGCTTTTTCCTCCGGTCCAGGAGCCTCCTCTGCGATGACCGCAATCCACCAGCCATCCTCCATTGTCCCTTCTCAACACATGCTCCAAGCTTCCCAGCAAAATGGCGTCCGCGCCGGAAGCGCGCCAGCAGGCGATCCGCCCGCCATCCTCACCCTCTTACCTATCAACGGTACCTTCGACAAGAAACAGATCAATGTTCCTTTCTATCCGGATATATTACGCATTGGCCGCCAAACGAATGCAAAAACTGTGCCAACACCGGTGAATGGCTACTTCGATTCAAAAGTGCTCTCCCGGCAGCACGCCGAAATCTGGGCCGACAAGAGCGGAAAGATCTGGATTCGAGATGTGAAGTCATCGAATGGTACCTTTGTTAATGGCCAACGGCTTTCGCCAGAAAACCGCGAGTCGGATCCCCATGAGCTCCGCGAAAACGACACGCTGGAGCTAGGAATAGACATTGTCAGCGAAGACCAGAAGACAATTGTTCACCATAAAGTTTCTGCAAAGGTTGAACACGCCGGGATATACAGCAGCATTCCCAATATTCTGGATCTAACGCTAGGCGATCTGGATCCCGCTTCTGGAAATGGACTCCTTCCTTCTCCCCTCAGTCAACCAATGTCGCATCTTAGGGGGCGGTCGGGGAGTACCATGAGCAACCGCAGTGCTCAGAGTGCGGCTAGCAGCCAGTTCAACGCCTTGCAGCAACAGCGACAGATGAACTATTGGAATTCACCTATATCCATTGAACAAGTAGTCAAACGCCTGACGGTATGTTGGTTGAGACGACATTCAACTGGCTTGCGCTAATGGTTTCCAGAGCGAAATGAAACAGGCCAAACAGCAGTCGCAAGAGCTGCGGCAAACGGACGAGTTCCTGACGACAATAATGAAACCTGGATATATCGAAAAGGAGAAAACGAAGCCGTCACCAGCCGATAGTAACGCCGCTCGTCCAGTCAACGGCCGGCCGAAGATGCCTCGCGTCGACTCTTTCTCCCGCTTTTCCGAGCCTCCAGCGCCCCCGCCACAGCAACCGCTGCCCGAAAAGCCGGATGCTTTGCCTCGAAATGGCACCGATGCGCTTTCCCCGTTGAAGCGCCCTGAGCCAGATAAATCCAAACTTGGTACCAACTCGCCTGTTACGCGCGAGAATAGCCAGATCTTGTCGCTCATCGAGGCTTTATCGTCCGCAAAGAGGGAGCTTGATAGCCAGGGCGCCCGTGTTAAGGAGTTGGAGGCCTTACTGATTCAGGAGCGGAATGCTCGCGAATCTGCGGAGGAGAAGGCTAGGAGCCTAGAGATGCAGTCTAATCAAACGGCTTCGGACCCTGTGTCTGGGGATGCTGATTTAGACCATAACAACACAGAACAGATCGCTTCAACAGAAGAGTCGCAGAATGTGATGCCAGAAGCCGAGACTTCCACCATCGACATTGCCGCACCCGATTCTGAAAAGCAGCCCTTACCAGAAAGCCCAACCAATGTCTTACAACGTCGTTTGGAGACAATGATACAGGAAATGGAGGAGATGAAGAATCAGGTCACGATATTCAAGGACCGGGCAGACCTTGCGGAGAATGAGACCGTCGAGGCGCGGAAATCGTTGGCAGAGATGATTGAAACTCTGCGGCAAGAGCGCGCGGAGCGTGCTCAGCGCGAATCAGTGACTGATGCGCAAAAGAGGACGGAGGTCCCTGATGAAGTCTCATCTGACACGCAAGAGTCTGCCGATGAGCAGACAAACGTTTGCGCCGAGCAACCGCAGCCTTCTGCGACGGTGCCCTCTGCCAAAGGAGTGGACAACGCAGACACAACCTTTGCGAAGCAATCCCACCGGCACGATGTCTTGGAACAGTCCAGTCCATTTGCATCGATGCTAGGGGTCGTGCTTTTAGGCGTTGGGTTGATGGCCTACCTGAATGGGTGGCAGAAGATGGACAAATAACCGTCTATTCCATGTCATAAATCGTGTTGCTCCAGTTGGAGCATTCCCGTCCTGCGTTCAATAGCCGCCAAAAAATGCGCCTCGGTGTTCTACAAGTGACTACCTCCGATCCTTCATACTTTTTCTTTCTGATTCTCCATTGGTTCTATTTTATAGTTTGCCCATCTTGTATTCTGATCCGATGCTCAGCAGGGTTTATGCGCTGGTTTTTGTGGGTTTTCTCTTCGTTCCCCGTTACTCCCATTTATTCTCTTCTTGACCCCTTCTTATGTGCAGTTATCTTTGTTGCATAACCTGCATGACTCTCCCTCACTTTCCTGTTTGTTCCTAGATATCACCACACCCTGTTGTTCCAGTAACGAATTCCTGGCAGCAGTGGGTTTTCTTTCTATGTTGATGTCTCTTTCTCATGGGCAGAAGCAGGTCATGTAAAGGCTCACCGCCTTTGTGTATTAGTCTATCATAGCATACTCCCTTTTTTCAGCCGAGCGATGAATGACCATTTCATGCTTTTCCGTTCTACTTGATGACCTATGCCAGCGTATGCTACACGGTATGGTGGCCTGAGTGTTGACGAAGTACGGATTCAATAGTGTCTCGCCGCTAGCTGAGGATGCCATGGCAAACTGTGGTACAGGTTTGTTGTAGGATGGACCAGCTCTGACAGATACCAGTCGAGGGGAGGATGACCTGACAGGACGAGATGAAATCTGGATGAGCTCACAGGTAGGTTTATGGAGAGGGAGTCGATGGTGGAGAGATGGTACTCGATCTTCTCCGGAATCGGCAGTTTGCCAAGGTGGAACGAGCAAACGGTGGAAATGGCTTCTTTGAACCCCTTCCTTCTTGACTCCAGGAATTGGAATTTCCGCCTAACGCAGCAAGCTGTGGTCTAGGCAGCATAAGTTTCCGTTGCCAGTTGTTGCTGCTCTTCATCTTTTCTAGTACTCAAAGCGAGCCCAGCCTTCCGATTTCTGAGGTATATATTTTGATGCCGTCCTCACGTGATAAGCCTCATGAGACATCCATCGCCACTGACGCCTGACGACATCAACTGAAGTTGTTCCGGCGACATGTTTACGCCAAAAGGCCATATCCGATCATGCATCCGGATGCAGCAGTAGCCAAACCTCGGCCTAAGCGTCGCCCGCGAATCTGCCGCGCCTGTGATGCCTGCTATAAGCGAAAGGTGCCCATACTCCTGACCTGCGCTCCGATCCGTTCTTAACCGAGTCTACTATGTAGATCCAGTGTGACGCAGCGACGCCTCGGTGCAACTGGTGCCATCACCATGATCTTCCTTGTACTTTCAAGCGCAATCAGGAACGAAATCAAGCTCGCTCCAAAGCTCACCAACATCATCCCTCAGAGTATGGACTTGTGATGCGGCAGCGAAAGTTTGCTAAGACTTGCTTCCAGCACCCAACAGTCCAGTTCCAGAGAAACACTCGCCCCACAAGGTAGTCATTTGCATCTTCTATCTTGAATTCATACTAGGTGCGCTTTCCAGGTGAGTTTGTTGCCGTGAAGCTGAGTACCAACTTGATCATTCGGCAAAAGGCTCGAGCCTTCAAACGCGCATCACTTACAAGGCTACTCAGCCACATCTCCATAACTTCTGGTCTCCTCTTCTTTCATTTTCTAAGCTCAATATGGCTTTTGCACGGCACTAATTCCATCCCGTATTACATGCAGGTCCCAACCGTCATCGATCGAACCCGTCATCGAGACCGCACAATTCTGACTCAATCGCGGGAGTTGGATCTCAGAGCAATCTCCATGTCAGGAAATGCTCTGGGGACCCTCTGCACCTTCAATGGCCTGCCTTTCTTCTCACCCACTGGTCAGCAGTGGATCAAGTCACGCACTGGCGAAGACGTGAACCTAGCTCACATGTCGCCAAAGCCATCTACATCCAACCAAGTGACATCCACAGGCGTTCCACATTCCGTAGCGCTTCCGGAGAAAGAGGTCGTGATTCAACTGCTTGACGAATGGGGACCTTCGATTCTCTCTAGGCTCTTCCCGTTCATAAACCGGGAGCTTCTTGAATTCACAATCAAGGCTGCCTACCATGATGAAGTCAGCGTCTCTTCTCCTGGGGCCGACAGTGCTCGGGCTTGTATTCACGCATTCACAGCCGTGTGCTTGTCGTCCTCAATATACCGTGGACACGAAGTCATGCATGCAGAGGATCATGTTCATGCAGCTTACAAATTGCTGCCTGGATTACTGATTGAATTGGTTACCTTGGACGGTCTACAGACTGTCTTGATGCTAGTAGGTACCCTGCCCCGGGAAGAAACCGAGGCAACAGTTCTCGAGGAAGAAGACTTGTACTCATACGTGCCATAATAGTGCCTCTGCTCATTGGTAGTCACTGGAAATATATTCTATCTCGAGATGCTGTTAGCGACTTCATCACGATTCGTCTTTCATCTGAATGGGCATCTTGCCCCAGTTTACATCAATGACGACCTCCAATTCAAGACAAAGTTGCATACCCGCACATTGTTTTGGATATGTTACATCACGGATAAGGAGTTTAGTCTACGGACTGGCCATCCGCCGTGCCTGGATGAGACTCATTGTGATCTCACTCTCCCTGACATCCAGCAGACCACTCAGGAGTTTCTCACCTGTATACGTCTTGCTATTCTTCTATCTCAAGTATACCACGGTCTGTATTCCATGAAAGCCCTGCATGGGACTGATAATCAACTACTGGGCACCATTCGCGATCTCGACAATGCCTTGGAAACCTGGAGAATGTCTATCCCCGCTCGCAATCGGCCACGGCTCATCGATCGGGAAACAGACGTCATCAGTACACCCAATACACTCATCCAACTACAATACCTATACTGCATGGCCATGATCCATCATGCCAGCGGAAAGTGTTCTGTCTGGGTCCAAAACCATGACACGTCCGAAGCGGGCTCTAGCCTTGCCATTAGCGTTGAAGCCAGTCGATCGATGCTGCAGAAATTCCTTGATGACTGTTTTCACTTTGATAAGAACAACCTGAGGTATGCGCACGTTGTATTTAGTTCCACCTTCCAAACAGCTAAACTGCGTCGCAGGTTCTGTCTACCCTATTTTCTGACGGCCATCTGCCATCTCTTCTCCAATATCCTTCTCAATCCATTGGACGAAGGCAGCGACGACGATCTGGATTTGATCAGGTCGGTCCCAACTCATATACGAGACCGCTTACCGCCGGAGATCCCGCGATTATCATCTCATCAGGTCAAGCTCTTTGAGGATTTCGTGATGGAATTAGGACGCCTCGCGTCCAGCGCTGTCAACAAGGCGCAAGAATTATTTGAAGCAAATAACTGAAGCTTGTTGTCTCTAATGTACACGGCAAAGTATAGTCCAGTAACAGTAGATTGATAGAGGCGTAATCGTGCTGGATCCCACTGCCAGCGGGCTGGCTCGCTTCGCCTGTGTTGCGTGCTGCCATTATCGTTTGCATATAGACATATGCGGGCATGAGGTTTTGCGCATTGTCAGGTGGTTTCCACGTCAGGCCTAGGATGTTGCTGTCACAACACCAGACACGACCCAACAGCACGTAGCCAGACGGGTTGTAGTTCGAGGATGCAGAGCTAGCAGCAGAGCCAGACTGCCAGCACAACAGTGCACACGCATCTGCCTGAGCCCACCCCTCTCACAAACCAACAACCGATGCCCATATACAGGACAGAAAAGACCATATCATGACCTTCTTGCCCCAGTCTTCATTCCATGCCATCCCACAGAATAACCCCCATCACTTGAACGAAACCGCCACCTCCACCATATTCACCCACCTCGTCCTCGACTCCGGCACCTCACCCTCAATCCTAGCAACATCCCTCTTCCTCTTCCTAACCGCCGCCTTCGACAACCCCCCCTCCTCAATCTCCCTCTTCAACCTCTCCTTCCTCTCCTCCATATCCCCCTCCCCTCCCCATCCTCAACAACATCATCAACAACAACCACACTCCCCGTCTTCACCCTAACACAATACTCCTCCTTCCTCTCCTCCCCCTCAAACCACTTCCCGACCTTCAACGCCCTCTCCATCGCCCGCCCCGTCGCCTTCACAAACACCTCCTCTTTCTTCAACGCCTCTTGACTCTTCGCCAACGCCGCAATCTGCTCCCTCCGCCCTTTATTCTTCCCAAGGACGCTCCCGGTGGCGCGGTTCTCCGCTGCCCGGAGATATTTCTGTACGCGTTTGATGACCCCCATTGTTGGGGACGAGGATGAAACGTAGATGGTTTTGGGGGTTGAGGAGCCGGAGTATGGGCTGGGTGTGGGTGGGTGTGGGATGGGGCGTTTTTGGATTTTTAGGTCTGGATGGGTTAGGTGGGTTAGTTGGCTGAGAGTGGAAGGAGAGGAGGGGGGGGAGGGGAGGTACGTTTGGGGAGTCGTGGCATGGTTTGGTTTTTCTGTTCGAATTGGAGGGCTTTGGTTAGGGTGTGGGTGTCATTTTGGCGGTGGAGGGATGAGAGGGGTTTGGAGGTGAGATGTGTGGTGTGTGTAATTGTATACTGGGAGGGAAGTGAGAGATGCGATGCGATAAAGTGATGGATGGAGGAACTGGAAAATGACGGTCTTGCCGGATGGGGTTAGTGTGGTTTGTTGGGGGCTTATCGGTTGCTTATCGCTTATCACTTATCGGCTATCGATAAATTCTTGGAAATGGGGATTCATTCCGCATAGTTCAAATTGAAGCAACATCGTTGGCTCTTACCACATTACATACTATCATTTTATACAGTCATTCTAAATCGTGTGTACGTCACCTCATTAATAAACGGCCTGTGGCTCCGCCTTGGGCTCCTCCGCAGAAGAAAACAGCGCTCGCATCTTCTTCTTCCGGCTCTTCTTCCCCAGCTTCTTCCCAGTGTCGGCCGGGACGCTTTCGGTCCCCGTCTCTTCGGTCATCGTGCGCTGGATCTCCGAGTACTCCGGAACGGCCTCCTCGACTTGAGTCTCCGGAGCAGGCTTTTCAGGGATAGGTGACTCATGCACCTCCCTGTACCAGTCCCGGTCTTTACTCCCCCAATTCCGCCATGTAGTCCAGCGCTCAATCGCTGGCGTGTTGTCCGGTTCTTCTGAGTGAGTCTGATCCTGAGCCTGGGTCTCTGGAAAGGGTTCTTCAGCGATCGGCTCTTCAGCCGGGGCGTACCTCTCCTCTGCATGTGTTTCAGGAACATAGACATCATCAGTCAACTCGGGGAAGGCCTCCATGGGACCTGTGTCATCGGGGACCGATTCAGGATATGCCTCAGAGACAGGACCCTCTGATGGTGGTCGGTCAGACACGGTTTCCTCGATGAAAATAACTGCTTTGTTATATCCCCGTCCGGGACTGGCTGGGTACCCGCTATCGTCTTCATTCATCCCCTCTCCCTCCCCGTCATGAACACCATTTATCCTCGGAAACTGCTTCAATTCGGATAACTTGGCCTCATAGATCGCCACCATTGCCTGCACCAAGCATGTGACAAAGCCCGGCTCCGCACCAAGAAGATACTGGAACCGCGGGCTCTCGAACAAATCTTCGTCCTCGTCGAAGGCGGCTGCCAAGCGGCTCTTGACATAGGTGCTGAAAAACCACTGATCGTAATCAGGGATCTTCCCAAAGGCCTTTCTTGCGACGCTCAAGACATCGAAGATGGACAGATCCTTGTCGAGCTTCTGCATGTACTTCTTCGCGAGGACCAGCAGACCCCGGAGTTCGTACTTGGACGCTGCCGAGTAGGCGAGCACGCTCCGTCGGTACTCGGTTTTCGTCCAATCGCCGCCTTGTCGGAGGGTCTGGTAGGTACCGGTATGAAGGTAGTGGACGATGGTGTGCGTGATGTCGTCGTCGATGTCGGGTAGTGCGATGCAGGGTGTTGTTCGGGTGATGAAGTTGGGGTATGTGCTGAGAATGTCGGCGAACACTGGAGACTGTTTGAGGTAGTATTCAGGGATGGAGTATTTGCGCTCGCTGGGGCCCATCAAGACAATGACGAGACGAGTTTCGTATGGCCTATCACATAGACGCAGCCCCTTAGTCAACTTCGCGCGACAGAATAAGAAAAAAAAAGAGCACACTTACGACAGCTCCGGCTGCTCATACTCCTCAACCTCATCGTCAAACTCCGGCTTCGGCGCATATCTCGCTGACATATTGCTGCCGTTGACGACCATTGTTTCTGTCGCTTTGTCTCAGTTCGCCCTCAACTCGACAGCAGTTAGAGGATAAGAAGTAGGAATCCCAACAGATCGCAAAAAGCTCCAGAGGGCGGGGAAAACGGTCAAACAAGCACGATTGGAAATACAACCAACGGAAATATTCAGGGGGGAGCTCGCAGGATATAGTGCCTCGTCTACGTCAATAGTAATATGCACTGAGACCCCAGTTCATACCTTATGAGCTGTTCAACCATCGTCGAGCCCCCGCAGCCAATCACGCTGCAACACATCAAGTGGGTTTGCTTTTGCCTCATAAAACCCAAGAGTGCCGTACGGTTGAGAAACGCAAGTGACTGAGTCACCGTCTTCAGGTGCCATGTTTCATCTGAGAGTGGAGTTGCAGCTTGATGTGTTGGCTAGGGAGAAAGATGGTTGTTATTGGGCCGAGAGGGGCGTGAATGAAGCTAGCAAGGCACCTTCCCAGTTCCCCCACCAAGTATCTATCACCCATTGCACCATAAGTCACTTCTCCACTTGGTAGTAGTATGACCCAGTCTTCTCTTCTGCTTCTTTAGCTTGTCATACAAAAACTCCGATCCCCACTCACTATGATGACCCCTCTCCCACCCTGAATCTCTCACATTCATGATACGCGCTTCGCACTACAGCCTAGTATTTATACCCCACATCCACCACAATAACAAATTGTCAATGAACGATATCAAAGCACGATCAACAACCATAGCTTTCCCAGCCAACTGATCTTATAATCAAAACAACCATAAAATCCGTCCGACGACGCTTACCTATCTCGATCCGCTCATTAGCTCCCAAATACTATTCACTCCAAATCAATCATACTGAATCAAATGCCATATATCTACAATTCCGCAAAGCCAAAGAAAGTACCAACCCAATATGTTTTAGGATATTTTGATTCGAAGTATATCCCCTCATCGGTATCTAGTTCCGAAGAAGCTCAACCTTAAGTAACATTCAACCTCCCCGAACCGGTACCTAGTATTCCACTAGGGGAAGAAATTCGAGTCGTTATACCCTTGGTGGTATCAAGTTCCGAACCAGTATGAGTATTCCTTGGTGCATCTGAGATAGCCTTGTTTCTTCAGGAACCAGTAAACTCAATGGCGATTGGTCCATGGTAGACTTGGGCGTCAATTGTTTCTGGAAGTGGTAGGCGGGGTAATGCTCCCGTTCTGGTGGGTTGGGAGAGCTTGACTTATCTGGATGGCGGGGGTGGTCTGTGAAAAGGTTTTCTTGGGGTTTTCTATGAGCTTGGATGCCGGTGTCTACTATTTGGCTACAAGGGTCTACTTGGATCAGAAAAACAAGCACAGATGCAAAGACTTGATTGTGGTATGTAATCATCATAGAGCTGAATGCTTCATCGTATACGTGAACACCATAATCCTCATAATATGCCATAAAAGATCGTCATATCGTAAATCATGATAGGCCATGCTTGCCGCTAGAAAAATTGTTTGTTGAGATGCACATCAACGGATACTGTGCGTCCGTATATGGTGTGCAGAATGCGATTTGCGTGCGGAATGCGGAAACGCCTTGCGTTTTAGCCCAAACATGGCTGCAAGGATCCGGCGTCGTTTCGATTGGGTAGTTGTTTCTGGACCATATATTTCCGTGCCCATAAATCCAAATGAGGATTTCTCTGTGGGTTCGGCGGCCTCTGGTGTCTCTGTGGTCTCTGCGGTATTGCTGCGGTTTCGCACCATTGTTTTGACCGCTTTGGTGATCTGCGTCCGGATAGGGGCATATTCAATCTCCATGCTAGTTGGAACATCCAAATCGTCATCGTAGTATGTTTCTTTGATGAATCGTGCATCATCCTCCTCCGCTGCCTTGACGCATCTGCGTAAGATGTCGTGGTGGCCTAGGCAACGGCGAAGGTCGGGTGTTGAAGATGAGGCTTCACGTTGCAGCTTGCCGTGGGAAATGGCGGCCAGCTTGCCAGGTATGGCGGGTCGGTTGGTAATCTGAGAGATACCAGCACCGACACGAGGTGCTCGACGCAGTGCCGCCGTTGATAAGTGGAGGAATTCTGCCGCGGCAGACATTGTGGTAGTTGACATAGAGGTAGATAATCTTCAATTTGAACAATGATGAGCTTTCATCTGATTGTGTTGACTGTAGCAGGGGTGGCTGCATTTATTTATTAACTGCTCTGGAACCTAAACCATAGTAGATCGCAGCGATCTACCTTGATAGGAAGGACATGGTCATTGTCGCCTTGTGCTGTTATCAGGCTTCGTCAACCCGTGGAGTGATCCGTTTCAACCATGGATGAGACACGTAAAGCTGGCCTGTCAATCGTGGACCTCCAAGTCACAACGTCAGGCATAACTTAAACCGTGCAATTTCTGCAGGCCTGGAATGCCACGCGGCCTCGCTCCTTCATTTCTCCTTGTTGGGCGGTGCTTAGCAATGGTGGCGATCAGCCTCTCGGGAATCCTTGATATCATGGATCGACACCACCTTCCTCTTCCAGCGCAGGGTCTTCACGGAGAACCCCCTTGCGTGGCTCTCTATTCGCGCGTTGCCGTTCCGCGAGTGCCCCCTCCTTCAATCTCTGCGCCCTGGTTGATTCCCCGGTCCCACCCAGGTCCCCAAACCATCCAGACCCCCAGTTCAGCGTCTGACGGAGCGAAATCCACCTCTCAGCATCTGCCTGCCACCTTAGGTAATGAGCAACAATGCATCGCTCATCGACATCTTTATCTTCCCCACCACAGTTCCTGCAGATACCGTCATTGACTGTGCATTTGAGGCATCGTCAACGCACCCATGATATTGCCAATTTCATTCCTTTGCCACTGATTCGCGTGAGGCTCAATCTTCTGACGACGTGTGATAATGCGGTGCAGGTGTATGCGTGTCATGTCTCAGGGTCTCAAGGTCTCAAAATTCCGTCGTGAATCTAACTCTCAGCTATCCAAGTCAGCTATCTGTGTAGTTATGGAGAGAGAGAATAGAACAGTAGCTCATCCATATTATGCCCCACTCATAACCGGTGGATTACATCATATCCCATGCCTGGTAGGATACGGAGTACTCGGGGTCAATCTCATTCATGGAGGGGAAAGCGAAGCAGACGCGGCGCAAGAAGGCCCCCGTAGCCACGTGCCGCTTGGAGGCCTCTGTTAGTGTATAGCAACCCAGCCCGTACCATACAGTGTAGTAGCCACTTTGTTCCCCAAACCCCGAATCATCCCAGAGTCCAGATCCCGGCATCTTCACCCATTGGTCTCTCGGGTGGTGCCGTCGTCATCGCCACTCTTTCGCGGTCTCGCCTCATTGCATGCCTAATAGATAGCCTACGTCGCGTGTTTTCGGTCCCTATCAATAGGCACCAACCCCTACTGCTCATGATCATTTGCTACTGCTTTTCGCTCACCAGAACACAAGCTCAGAGCATATTGTTTATCAAATGATCAAATGCTTCCAGAGCATCTCGCCTCCTGGAACCCCTCATTTTCGGTCTTTAGATCATGATGATAACTGATGGTAGAAGAAAGTCATGATCAGCAAGAGCAAATCATGGTCTTCAATTCTTCTCATCAGCTGTATCGACTCGTCCACTCATCTTATGTACGTCATCGAACATTTCGATTCCGATTTCGATCCACGAAACCCCTAGAATTGCAGGATGGTGGTAATTATGTATTCCGATGTCCTTGTTTAACATTCTTGCTAAAGAAAGCATCATTCGAGGTCACATCCAAGTACTAGGCGGTATTCACTTCATACACGCAATTCTCCGAGTCTCGATGTTGACAAGGATAGCCAATTTCCTCCATGGTGATACCCGACAAGCAGTTATAGTGTGGTACACTCTCAATAATAATATCACATGCCTGCCATCCATTGAAAAAGCGTATATGCAGCTATGCCAAGCGTGGATAGTGTCAGAACTCTAGATAACGAGCAATAAAGCCCAACGGGCTAGAGCACCAGTGATTTTTAATCCATCCCCGGATGCTGGCACTTCAGGGCCCACTACCCCGGGTTTTGTGTTGACTCGGCTCAGCATTATCTCTGACTCGGCCCCAGTTGTAGACTCGGCCCTGTTCGTCCAGGTCAATGCACATAGGTAGTTATATAAGTGAGTGCGACAGAGCAAGCCCAACCAACACGAACATTCCTCAATCAGGAGCTCATCATGGCTAATTCTAACAATCAAGAAGGCCTCACCGTACCGTACAATTCCTTTGGACGCCAGGAAAGTCTCCGGAAGAAGTTTGGTTTCCTGTCTCAGCTTGGAATTGCATTTGTTATCTTAACGTACGGATATCGGTCTCATCCATATATATATCCGGGACTAACAGACATAGAACATGGACCTCCATGGCCGCGTCGATGAACATTGCCCTTCCATCGGGAGGCTCTGTCGCCGTCCTATATGGGCTGATCCTGTCGGGATTCCTCACCATGACCGTGGCACTCAGCCTGGCCGAAATTTGCTCCGTGTATCCCACCAACGGAGGTCAATATGAGTGGACGGCCCTCCTGAGCCACCCATCGTACCGCCGATTTCTCAGTTATGTGTGTGGGTGGACTGTGGTGGCCTCTTGGTGGGCACTCGCTGCCTCCGGGCCTTCGCTGTTTGGCAACCTGGCGATCTCATTTCTGGAGCTTTTCAATACTGGCTATGTAGCCCAACGATGGCACGAGTTCCTTTTCTACATGTCTGTGGAGGTATCGGCTTTCTTCATCAATACTTTCCTCACACCAGCTCTTCCTGTGCTGAGTGAAATGGCTTGTATGTCTGTGACCCGCTACTGGCTCTACTGATATTGACCCGGTCCTATAGTGTATCTCTCCCTTAGCGGGCTTGTTGGGATTTCTATTTCACTTCTTGTTTTGACGAGGCATTCTTATCAATCGGCACGGTGAGTCAATTTTCGCAAATATATAACCGGGAAACATGGTGACCAGTCTAGGTTTGTATTCACCGGGTTTATCAACGAAACCGGCTGGCCGGACGGATTTGCCTGGATCTTGGGCCTCCTACAGAGCTGCTTCTCCCTGACAGCGTATGATGCGTAAGTTCTCCAGACTGCCCAGCTTGATAAGATTAATGTAATTATCTCAGTGTGGCTCATTTAGTCGAGGAAATGCCTCACCCACAAACGGATGCGCCGCGAACCATGATAATTGCCGTGGCGCTGGGAACACTCACGTACGTTTCCTACCCACTCCTTTGAATTATGCCTAACATATCTCACAGAGGGTTTGTATTTTGCGTCTGTGTTCTGTTTTCAATTCAGGATGTCCAAAGCGTCATTAAATCACCACACAGGTATTTTCCCATCCCGGCGTTGAAATAGTCTATTAACACATTACCTGCCAGTCCAATTGTCTCAATTTTCTACCAGGCATCGGGCTCCAAAGGCGGAGCTGTAGGTCTTGCCATAGTGATCCTGATCATCATCTGGTTCTCAGCGTCAGAAGTTGTAACCACCTCAGCTCGGCTGACTGCAGCATTCGCCCGCCATCATGGCTTGCCATTTGGCTCAATGTATGTATGAGAACTCATGCGCATTCTGGACTGGTCCCTAACGATGATTGAGAATTGCAAAAAATAACACCAGACTCGATCTCCCATGGAACGCCATGGTTCTCACCGTCGCCATGGTGACAATTTTCGGCTTGATATACCTGGGCACCTCCGCGTATGTTCCCTCCACAAGAGTCCTTCTAGAACTTCTATTCTGACACAAAGCTGTATGTAGTGCCTTTGACGCCATCGTTAGCGCCTGTGTCGTGGGTCTCAACACCAGTTACGCCATGCCCATTGCGCTTCTGGTGGTTCGAGGCCGGCAGATATTACCACAGGGGCAATTCAGACTTGGTCGATGGGGATACGCGATAAATGTTATTGCGTTGGTATTTCTAGTAGTGACGTGAGATTCAATCTGAGTAGTATCCTTACTGGGTGTTGTTCCTTGCTAATGACAGGATTCTGACAGTAACGTCCTGCTCCTCTTCCCTGCCCAAGCGCACACGACCGGGAGCTCAATGAATTATGCTATTGCAGCCATTGCAGTTGTATATCTCTTTGCGGGAAGTATGTGTGCTTGCCAGTGTCTATACTCTTGTTTTTCTTTGGCTCCATATACTAACACTATCTCCCAATCTAGTCTACTGGTACCTTTACGCCCACAAGCATTACATCGCACCTCATATCGTGATCGATGGGATCGAGTCGGATTCCGATATTCCACAAACAACCCTTGGTAAGGCAGCAGCTACGGAAGGAACTAAATAGTCTATGTGAGACTAGAACCATCAGACCATCTCCCCTCATATGTGTTAAGAAGAAACATCCTCAAGTTCATTCTTCTTTCACTGCTTCTTGGTAGTAAACTGCTCAGTTATTACCCGTCGTCTCTTGAATGTACCTCTTATTTATCTTTTAATTAATCTGGCTCTGGATCCCCCAGCATCTGATTAAAAGTGCCCTCGCTCATGGCTAGAACCCCTTCAAGACAGGTAACATAGATAGATCGCCTTACACACCTGCTATCGACTTGAAACCACCTGTTCCCCTCAATCCTCGGAACCTGTGTCCCTATACCCAACCCAGTTATCTCGTATGATCCAAAGAATCACAAGACACCATCCTATACAGCTCGTATAGATATGTACTGGGACACGACGTAGCGATGATTGACAGTATGTTTTTTCTAACATCCAAGGCAACACAGGCATCATGCTATACGGCTACTGATTTCAGTGCCTGGCTCTTTTGCCTTAAAAACAAATTTATTATTTTCGAAAAGATTGAAATTATTGGACAAGTTTTGAAGGATTTACCTCGACAATAGTAACGAAACTAACACAGTCGGTGACGAATACGCAGAAATGCAATCTCGAGTAACGATTGCCGTGATAGACTTTTTGAGGTACATTGTGGCCGTATTTAGCTTTATGAGACCTTGGAGAAAGATTTTATTCGTCGATAGTCTGTCTGGCTTTTGGTCTTAGCTTTGGTTGTTTAGATATTTCAGCAGGGGTAGCAGGGTTGCTGCGTGAGAAAATTTGTACGGATGTTAGATATAAGGACATAGCAGTAAAGTGATGCAATAGATGGATAACTTTTTTCCGACAGTTAAATATCTTTTTGTCTTGACTAGCAGTTTATATTGCATGAAAACTTCAAACGCCCCAACCGTCACGGCTACAAGTTGCTCTTGCAGCAAACAGGCCCCACAGGCTCAGGCTCAGGCTCAGGTGCCTTGTACGCAACGCTCTGGTTCGCTTTTTGGTTAGAAGGCGGCACATTGTTCGTCGGGTTGAATAAGCAGAAGTTGTACGGCTTCAAATGCACCTGAACAATCTCTGCGGGCATCACTGGGAAGTCCTCCACGCGGGGATTATGTGTAAGACCGTATGTGTGCCAGATAACGATGTCTTCGTTGCGCACATTCTCCCTGTCTTCAATCCAGGATTTGATTCCAGTGCCACCCAGCGATTGGTTAGTGTATTTTCCGGCAGGGAAAAGCTGGTCGTCGTGGTATTTGGTGACCCAGATTGAGTGTTCGGCGAACTCCGAGCGGCGCCAGTGCCAGGACCCGGGCTTGGCTAGGAGCATCTGTATGTGGAATCAGCCTCGGTCTTCCGATCATGCTTCTTGATACCTTGCTATCATTGACTTGAGGGGAGGGGGGGCGCTTACCTGGGATCGATGAGGAACAAGTTTATATCCAAGCGGGGTCCCTGAGACTGGGTTCTCGATGTTCTCGTTCAGAATCTTGAACACTCGGCCCTTGCTGACGTCGTCCTCAACAGAGCCTGCTCGGTCGAGGATACTCTGCTCTGTCACATAGCCAGTCCCGAGAGGGTTGAGCTGGTCGTCCCATGGCATGGCCACAGAATCCGTCGACGCAAAGCTGTTTTGATGACCGCCAATTGCAGGGTCAATTCGCACGCTGAATAGATGCTGATGATACGGGGCCATGACGCCATCTGCCACTCGAGTTCCCCAGGGAACCGTGACGTCTTTGCCAATGGGCTGGGTAGAGAGGATACCAGTGGCTCTGGTTTCAAAGGTAATCTCGCCAGACTGATCGAAGTACCACATGAAAATGTACTCGTAGTTGGCAACGGTGATGATTGTCTGCAGGACCAGCTGACGCTTGCGGACCACCGTGGCCTTCCCAGTGCGATGGTTAGTGTGCTTCCATTGAATGCCGTTGTCAATCTCGTGGATACAGATGGCATTAGGTCGAGGAGCCGCACTGCCATCAACCGCAACGACGTGGCCATCGATGTACTTGATCATACCGAGGCAGTCACAGCCAACTAATAGAGATAAGCTTAGAGCATTGACTCAGAGGGGAATAGTCTTACGCTGAAGGTTGTTTGCTGTCACGCCCGCACCCACATTTCCCAAATCGAACGCGCCTTTGCGGTAGATGGGATTACGCGGATCACCGTAAGGAACAAACATCTCGGCCAGAGACAGACGATAGAAATTACTTTTACCGTCGAATGAAAGGTCGTGGAGAGTCAATCCTGCTCGCTATAAGCATCCGTCTTGGTCAATCTGGAGGACCACCATACCTTCGCGCCAATTGAATCCCACTCGGAATCGCCATTTCTCCCATTCGATCAGGTGTCCCTTGACGGTGAAAGAGGCACCCTCGGGCTGGATGACTTGGTAAGGCTTCATCGTTGTCCGGGGAGGGCTTTTCTGTAGTCGATGGTCATATTCAGGCTCTGCCGGATCTGTGCGACGATGAGGCACGTTGGAGCCTTGCGTCACACTTTCATCGGCTCCTAGAGGCAGTCGAATAATCTTCTTCACTCTCATGGCACAGAGATCGACAATGACCATGAAATCCAGAGGGAAGCAGTAGTGATTAGAGTCTGGGTCGTTATTTTTCGGGTTGCGCATATACATGAACACCTGTGTGTGTCTCTCCTGTGTCTCTTCACCATCCACGCCATAATCCCACGGATCGAGAACGACCGTGGTATCATCGATTTGCAGGCGCTTGATCTCCGCCTGCACCGCGGGGTCAGCCAGGACAACCTGAGCGGCCTCATTCATCTCCGCCCGGTCCACTGGACCATGAAAGTCTCGGGGAAGTTCTGTGTGATAAACGAAGGCGCCGTTGGTCACATCCACAACTGCCTCAAAAAGACGGGGAGTCTTCTTGATGTACCAATTGAGGAAGATGCATCGCGGGAGGAAAGGAAGCGGCTTGTTGTTGTGTTCGGCGTCGAGAAACTCGAGCAGGGCGGCCTTGGGGGGCTCCTGTAGACCACCGCATTTGAAGTGCAAAGGGACTCCGTGATAGACCGACTTGACAAACGAAGTGGCCTGTTCGATCTCTTCCGCCGTGGCGGGATCAAGAGGGTGCAGTGACATGGTTAACAGATTGGAATGAAGGTTGGAGTGGAAAGGAGGAGGCTGATGGATGGAATAACCGTCAATAGCCTTGGTCGCGTGGCCATCTTATGTAGGGGCTCATTCTGGGCCGAGTGCAACTACAGCGGAGGAGTACTATCTCGATGAAGTCGATACTCGTGAACTCGGCTCTGGGTAGTGGATCGTAGCAAAGTCTGGGCATCTGCGGGCCGAGTCAAGGCTGTCAAGCAGGCCTCCGATCCCCGCCCCGATTGCGGGGGCCTCGAGATAAGCGGATTGCGCTGATAAGCCCTGTCACCGGCGAGCCACACTATGTATCACTCACTATCTATCTGCTATGTTGACTCCAACCCTTGCTTTCTCTTCTTCTTCCCCCCCCCCCCCCCCCCCATCAATCTATCACAATGGCCAAAACAAGTCGGAGGTGGACGCCGTCAGAAGATGAGAAACTGCGTCTTCTGGTTCAACGCTACGGTGACCAGCGAGGACACAATAGCAAGTGGTATGAAATCTCCCAGGGTCTCCCGGGACGCACCAACAAGGTAAGCTACCTTTCTTAGACAGTTTACTAAGCTGACGCATTAACTAACAAGGCTAGGACTGTCGCAAGCGGTGGTTTCACTCGCTAGATCCCAGGCTGCGTAAAGGTCGATGGACCGCGGACGAAGACCGGACTTTGGTGGCAGCCTACGAGCGCCTGGGCCCTGCCTGGAAGGAGATCGGTACGCTGGATCCTGACTCGGCTACTGCAGGCAATCTGCTAACAATACCAGCTCTGCTAATTCCAGGTCGGAAGGATGATCAGTGCGCGAAACGATACAATGACATTTTATGTCCGTTGGCAAAGGCACGCCTGCGTGCGTGGACACCAGAAGAAGACCAGCTACTGCAGGAGAAGGTGGCCGAGCTGGGCCACGCCTGGTCTACCATCTCGACGTTCCTTCATGGACGGCCACCATTAACGTGTCGCAACCGATGGCGCAAGCTCTCCAGGTCAATCGACTGCATGAGCTCGTCGTCCTCTTCATCATCAAGCCCTGAGAGAGAGGAGTCAACACCCATTTTGACCACATCATTCGAAGACGAGTCCTTGTTTACCGCAATGACCACAGGATGGGACTGGGAGTCCCCTATACCAGACATAAATCCGAGTGATCCCCTGAACCTGCACGGTTCGATGGATGTGCCGATCATGGACGAGTTCCCATTATCCGATGCCATGGCACTTCCTACACCAGAAGACTCTGTGCCGTCTCTGCTCCCTGAGAGTGTCGAAGCTGTACCAGGACCATCGGGGGTAGTGTATCACATTCATCATCACCATCACTACCACTTCAATTCATCTGTCTAAATCATAAACGTACCCCGTTTCACCCCTACACTCCCAGTATCATTTATCAGGAACAGCCCCCCACCCTGATCCGTCCGTTTCCCTTTGGCCGTGGTCACAAACAGTTGGTCCATTCTCTCACCAGCCCAAGCTCCATGCGTCACATTATGGGCATCTAATCTCCACCGTCGAACAAGCCCCCCGGTAGGATCATACTTCTCCACCATCGATCCCTCCCAGATGAACGTGAACAAACACCCCTCAGTATCAACCACCAATCCATCCGGCTCTCCCTCCTGTCCCGATCGATCCACTTGTACTCTCCGATTGCAAATATCTCCACTCTCCAGCTTATAATCAAACGCCCAAATAGTCTGCCGAAACGAATCCGTATGGAACATAGTACAATAATCACCGGTCCAGCCAATCCCATTTGAACAAACAATTCCCCCGTCGATAATCGTATGCAACGACCCATCAGGGTCATATCGATATAGCGAGCCAAGCGGTTCATATCCATCTGGGATATACGGGCGTTTCACATCCCTATCCACGCCACCAGTCAGCCAAACAACCCTCCATCACCGCAACCAGCAAAACGAAATTATACATACGATCCATCGAGCCAAATATCCAACGACCCAACCCACAACCGTCCCTTACCATCAACCGCACTATCATTCAAGCGCACCTTCCCCCTCTCCTTATCGGTCACAAGCTCCTTCAAAGCTGTCCATTCTCCATCCTCCGAAAGCCTTGCAATACCTGTATATGTACAAACCAAGTATCCACCAGCATCATCATTGCCCTCACAGAGATTCACCGAGGCAACTGGTTCAGGACACGTAATGGATCTCCGTTTGTCCGGGACAGATATATGGATTATGTGGATAGTGGAGATGAGAACATCGATGTAGTGGAGTGTTTGGTCCCGTTGGCGGTATATTGGGCTCTCGCCTAGGAGGGTGTGGGGTGGGATAAATGCGGGAATGGGATTTTGCATGTTGGATGTATGGTCTGTTAAAGAAAGGAAGTAGGGGATTTGGAATGGGAAGGTTTAGAAGTTGGTAGTAAGAGTTAAGTACGATTTGTGTAGTTCGGTTGGGCCGAGTCAATCCCCCTCTTTCTGGTTTCTGACTCCGGTCTTGGTTTCCTTGGTTTTGTAGTATCTTCTCTCTATGGATGCTGGCCACAATAGCAATATCGGTCTACTGTTTCTACCAATGTTATAGTGTTAGGACATGCAAAGCCCCCGTGCATCTCGTGAGAGAAAAGGTAGGTGGCCAGGAACAAAGGCCCATATCGAACCTAATTTCGCCAGGGAGAACCAGAGGAACTAACTGCACATGCATTATCGGGGCCTTCCGGGCCACCTCAGCAAGACTCTTCAATATCTGCTCACAATACAGCCTCGTTTCATCAGAAAATGATCAATTGAACCGACCCCAGAGGCGAAGCGACTCAACAAATGCAGTTTTTGGCCATTGAAGAGTGTATTTGAGATTGAATTGATATGCCATTGGGTCTTTTGGAGACATCCACAAGGTCCATAGTTGAATCCTCAAGCTGGTTTGAAAGGAAGGGGTCTCTGTGTGTCCTTGCTGGAACCAGAAGAACGATGTGGGGGTTATTCAGAACAATCGGTGACAGACCAAGCTTCATTCGTTCGTTTCAGGCACCAGGGATCCTTCCATTGACTACTCCGTATCCCAGTCTCGATATCATTGCGCCACATTTCATACCGCTCAGTATCCCTCAAAATACCGCACATTCTCGTGCGCAAAAGAAAAGACCGAACCAAAGAATCTCGCGTAGAGCTTAGCTGTTTCCGGGCATTAATGGGCTGTCCGATGATGCTGCTTTATCAGGAGTGCAACGTGTCTCTGAAAGAAACTGCAGACCTGAATGCCGCCATCTTCTGTATCTGCGTTGCTAGTTGAGTGGATACCTGACGCTGATTTCAAATCCTCGTTCTCTGTCAGGTACCACGCACTATCCCACAAATCATCTTCTCAAGCCTCACCGACTCCCAGGTGGAAGAGTTGCCTGCCTACGTAGTGCAGCTCATCTGCACAGACAGGCAGTAGTTCTTTCCATGCGGTGGCCAATAGCTGGAGCATAAAAGGTCCGCGTGGGTGAGCTGCATTGCCTTGGACCCGTCTTCGGAAAATGACTGCAGGCAATCTGACATCTGGCAGGAATGGCCGTGATATCTACAGCATATGCAGCTTCGTGTTCTGCGTAGGTACCTGAATACTAGATTCGACCCCGTACTCTGCGTATTCTGGTTGGACAGGTAGCAGATTCCCCCTGTCACCCTGTCAACAAGGCGATCGCTAGTGTCAATTAGCACCTTTGGCGATGAGATCATGGCTGACTGATCGTCGTACCCCGGCAATAAGGGGCGGCTTTATCAATCGGTTTGTCTCAGGTGAAATGGCTTCGATCCCCGGCTTTCCGGTCATCCCGGGCCCTCCGGAAGAAAGGGATAAGCAAGGCACCTGAATCACCGATAGCTATCTACGGATTGTTACTGTTTATAATCCTACAGTTGTTTTCTTCTTTCCTCGGGCCCTAGATACGGAGTAGTACTCCATACTAATTTCTTGCTTTTTGCGCCCCAGCAGCCTGGACGGAATTGTCCTCCTCGTGGGCAAGATGGTAGATCACATCCCACACTGCATGCAGGAGCAGGCCTTTGATTGATCGTCTGCCTGACAGTAGCCAATCCCAAGAAGACTCCGTCTTCCGCGTTGATCTTGCTTTTTCCTACTCAGCCGGAAGGGAAAGCTATGCGACCAATGTAAATTCATGATCTCCTAGGATGACATCCCATCCAGCTGCAGATATGCCCCTTATCACAGTCCCGGCAGCGACAGTTGTTTGGCTGATATGTCGCCGTGATTTGAGGCAGTCTTGCGTGTTTGTGCATATGAACCTTTAGGCTGGGTCGTACCTTGTCCAATCGGCAATTGTCAAATCGGAAGCTATTGTCGCGGCTTTACTTTGAAGCTTGGGAAAGGGCGTTGCCTATGGCGGACGTAGATAGATATGTATCGGGCTCGTGTTAGTCTGTTTCAGGTAAAACCATGGTCAGAGTTCAAGGGAGAGGAAGTGAGCACATCCCAGTCACGCGGCCTTTGTCTTCCTCTTTAAGTTTCTGATGTGTACTGCCATACGGAGTCCGAATGTACGCAATGCGAGACCGAGCCTCGCCGTATGAGGCACTGGCGATGCTATTTATTGCCCAGCAAGAGATCCGTGTGCCAATAGTTGCCTCATTTCGCTAATCTGCCTATCTCCTGGTGGCTCCGCGGGCGGTTGTCCTGATATAGATTGCGTGTCCTGACTCGGCCCCACCCCGACGGTCCCAGAACCAGAACTAGTCGAAGACACCGGCGGGCCCTCCTCGACTGACACCCCAATGGAGTCATTGACAGGCCGGTAGAAAGCAACTGAACCGAGGGCTGACCCGTGGGATGTGTCGCTTTTCATGGGGTGTCAGTGTGTCACACGTTCCAAGGAACCAAGGTGGTATGGTACGTACAATGGACCCAGTGATCCCGCTATCAATCAACCGAGTCCACCTGCATTGCCCGTACGGAGAAAGCACGCCCGACGTGCAAATTTTCACTCATCGCTGTACTTGTGCCGCAAAAGATCGAGACCGACAGCGAACAGAGAACCCCCACAGCCATCAGGGGGGACGCCAGGGCTCAATTTTGAATTTCCAGACCCCCGTTCATGTTGCCCCAATTATCGGCGGCCTAACCCCTCCTGGGATGTTAGTTCGTGCCGACCGCGAAGGAGTTTGTCCTCCGAACGACCTAAATCTAGCCTGCTGGGGCCCGGAACCTCTTACGCGGAAGTCTGGCTGGTCGATGCTGCATCCCCGTGCATATCCCCTTATGCGGCCTGTGGCGAATTGGCGTAAAAATAAATCGACTGCGGATAAATGTAGATGTGGGTTTGGTTTTGGAAGCCGGAGGGGTTTTCCCTCTCGCGTGCTGCTGGGGAGTATAACAGATGTACTTGGTATTTTTGTGCCCACTTATACAACCTCGGTAGGCCGGTGTAAAGTGTAAACAAACAATCATCTCGTGTGCCGTTAGACTAGCGGGATGTGATTGGCAAGCGGAAACGGTTGGAAGGAACGGAACTCACCAGGACGGATGACATCCATGGAACCGGGATGAAGCCGATCGATCCTGGAGTCAGCCAGAACAGGAGGCGGCACCTGACTGGCCGAGGTGCAAGTTCTGGTTCTGGTAGGGAAAAGTCGTAAAACGGTAAAGTGCTACACGCGAATGGGGGGTCGCTGGGTTGGCGGATGAAAGTGGAGGCAGCCAAAGTCCAGAACCGCGTTCTTTTGACACTAAATCCGTCACTAAATCCTCCTCGCGACTCATGATTATTTCTGACTAACGATAACAAGTACAATCCCCTTCCCCTCTCTCTCCACATCAAGTCTCACCTCGTTCTTAAGGCTATCGATTTCTCGTTCCTCAGTCGGCGTCCTTTGTTCCAGACATCACACCTTCCCTTCCTCATCCCGGTGCTCGGTCGATACCTCCTTCCTTGCCCTTGTGTCTCATTCGTTCCTTCCACACTCGTTCCCCACTCTGATCCTCATTGGCACTATTGCTTGCTAATATCGATCCGCCAACTTGGTTCTTTATCGCTCGTTGACACATCCCAGGGTCCTCGAGAAAGGGGAACCATTTAAGGATTCAACCTATCGCTCACCTTCACTTCCCGTGCTGCGATTCGCCCAGGTTGTTTGCTTTGAAAGCAACCTTATCCGGGGACTATTGCGTCTGTGTAACTTGGCCCATACATATCGATCCGCTCCCTCGATCCCTTTTCGCCGTCCAGCCAATCCTGCGCCTTTCTTGGTTTGTTTCTTTCTTCTCCAGGATTTGGAAGCACCAATCAGCCAAAGAAATCACAAAGAAAGCTAAAGTTTGCCTCCGCCCGGGAATCGACGAGACACCCTGCCGGCCTGATTCAACCGTTTGCCCCCCTCACACCGGGAACCAAAGGGATAGCCGCTCCTGCTCTCCCTAGCCAAGGGCAGTCGACGTCCTTTTCGCGTGATTTTCGAGGTGCATATCCGTGCTATGGGAGGACAGGTTACACGCAGCTGATGCCAGCCGTCATTGCGACCAACTCTTGCCCACTCTGACTCTCTGCACGTCTTATCACGTCGTACACACACTTCCCCCTGGCTTCCCTTTTCCCCGAGTGGCCCCAGCCCGCTTGGCTTTCCAGACTGGCTTTTATATCCCGGCGTCTCCGCAGCTTCTGGCCGACCAGGAGACTTCAGTCTTTTTCTGACCCCGACTCTCATTACCCTCTCGATCATCCTCACCAAAAATGGCGCGTGTCGAGGAACCGCTGGATGCTCCCGACGGCTCCGCACTTACCTGGATCTTCGACCATTGTCTTCGCTACCCCGGTACTTACGAGATCCCGTTGCGCACCATGTATTCGTTGAACTGCAACCCCACCAGACCACCTGCGACTGGTACCCGCGCTCCAGAGACAGCCTTTCATCGTCCGTCGAATTCGTCAACTTCCCAGGACTCACTTGACCCTGCCGCCGACTTCCGAGCTCAACTGACCCATCAGATCTCTCGGTTGCCTTCGCAGCCCTGCTCCCTCCCTCCAAGCTTTGTTACCTCATTCCTGCGTCGTTGTTTCACTCTCCAGTTGGAAGAGGTCGATTTCCCCCAGGCATTGACCGCTCTGGACTACCTGAAGGACTTCGAGAACCGCCGTAGGAAGGAGGTCGCAGATGCACTGCAGCGGCTGGGAATGGAGCCCAATGATGTGAAGGAGAAGTCCGAGCTGGCGAGAAAGTACCCGGGCGTTTTGGCCTGGCTTGAATCCATCGGTGTTCAAGGCCGCCGATTGGAAGCTCTCTACACTCAGATCTATGTTGGTCTACGTCGCTGGGTAAGCATTCCTGTAGCTAGTTAGGGGGATGATTCATGCTGACCCATCCCACTAGACGTTGATCAACGAGATGTTGATGGAGCCATTCAACAAGGCCAATTGTATCGCTATGCTCAACACACTCTTTCCCCCGGTTACAGATGCAACCGTCCCTCCCACTTCGCATCTCACCCCGCAGATTTTGAAGTCGCAACGGGATGGATTCTTCCGCTATATCGCAGCCGTCGAGGCCAACGGTCCAGACGTTCTGACCAAGGTTATCGCCCAGGGTGCCCCCAAGGGTGCAGACAATGGCTGGCCGCTGGTCAGGGAGGCTCTAGACAAGTACCTTCGATCGGCCAACGAGATCATTGATGAGTGTACGATGGTTAATGGTCCGAACAGCGTCGACGAAGGTATCGAGTCTCAGCCTCGGGGTCATAAAGGCCGCAAGGTAGATTCGGGCATCAGCTTCGGTTCATCGGACAAGCTTCTTTCTTCACCTGTCGACGGTAGCAAGGGTGTGGAGGATGTCTTGGAGAAGCCCCTCCCTCCCCCTCCCTCACCCAAGGGGGCCACTCACAAATCGGGGTCTACTCTAGAGCGGCTGGCCCGCGAAATTCGCAAACTGGGCGACGCCGGGAAATCTAGGAATCTGAAGAAGATGAGATCCACGAGTGCCCTCGGTGCTCGGTCGGAGAATGTTGTTGGCCGCTCAATGGAAGAAAATTCACTCTTTGAGGTGGATGAACAGAAAAGAAGACGGCTGCTGTGGGAGGCTTCCACCCGCAAAAAGGCCCACGCCAAACAACTCAGCAAGGATACTTCATGAGAATGCTTTGAAGATGATAGCCTGGTGCTTGACTCTCTTCACTCTCATCCCGTTCTCTTACAATTTCCTTTATCACATTTCGTTCTTTCTTTTTCTTCAGGCAGTTTTGAAGAACAAAAGTGAGAATCGACATGAGCCTGGATGCTTCAACACTGGATTTATTGGGGAGTTGGCATGCGGATTCTTTGAGTTTCAAGGTGCAACAGGTTATCACTCGATTGTTTTCTTTGTTTTATGGATTTTTTTCAGGCCAGTTGGGCTGGCATAGAAGAAACATACTGGCGCATGGGGGTTATTTTCAAGCGATTTAAAGCAAATTGGAGTGGAAAAGCACAAAAGCCGGAAAGACAAAAGTGCCGACACATTATTCTACGATTACTGACCGACATACATGATTATGACTATGTTTTTATTAGCGAGTCCTGCTTTTTGTACCAAACAACTGACAATGAAAACTATCAAAACTACATACCGTTGGGTCAATCAATTCCTGCACATAAGTAGTAGGCTCAATCCTTTTTGTAAGTGAAGAAGCGGCCTAGATTGCCTACAAGTCTGCGTGGGATCACTACCTCATGAGATTGTTACCTTCAATACTGTCCTATGCAAATTCCCATTGTATCCCATTGTATCCCATTGATCTAGGCCAGGGGACGTTTCCGGCCAGTTTATCCAGGGTAGCTGAAGCTATTGGTATTAACGGCTTATCCATCAAGATTGAGGCCATTCCAGTTACTGCCGATGCCGACCAATGAACGATTGCTGTTGGAGACACGGAAGTTTGGCGGTTTTGGCCGCTGCGCCGACCGTAGCAGCTTTCCCCCATCCCGCGATGTGTCCAAATGCCCCCAGACACATAAGCAATGCCCTCTCAACTCAACATTTCTCAAATTTCATAGCCCGAGGCTAGCTGGGCATTCTTAATGCCTTCCTAACTCTGTATCTCGAAAATTTGCACGAACCCACACACCGTTGCCATTGATCGCGTCGAGCTTATCCGCCCGTTATGTGTGCTTGCTAGCTTATCGGGAATAGCTAGCTAGTCAACACCGCATCCAACTTTAGATACCAGTGTCTATTGTGGGCTACCACGATGGTATCTGGACTCGGCACTGTCGCCTCATGGCGACTTGCATCTGTCTTGATTGCTGGCGTGCTGGCTAATCTCGGACATGCAAGTCCGTCAGTCAATGTTGCTCTCCAAGCTTCATTCGATTCCCCACCATACCTGATAGAATTAATGTAGGCGGCATCTCTTCGCGACCAGGTCTACTTGAGTGTTTCACATTGGTATCTGACTTACTTTCATAGAGAAACCGCTGCCGAGGAGAACTCCACTTCCTACTTCCCGTTGCTTGACCGGATCGCCGATGGAACATTTGATGATGCTGTGACGGACAAAGAGCTCTATGATCGCTTTCTGGAAATTGTACATCAGGATGGGCATCTCAGGACTCCTGAGAGTCTCTCGTCTTTCAAACTGTCGTTGGCAATTCGGTCCGCGAGTCCGCGGATCACAGCCCACTACCAGTTTTACAATGCGTCTGTACAGCACTCATTGATGGCGGCGCAAGATGCAGCCTGTCCTGTTTGGGTCCACTCGGAGGGAAAGCAATACTGCTCTTCCGCCATGGAACGCGCCCAGCAGGATGTATCAGGATCTGAGTAAGTGCTATCTATGGACCGTGGGCTTTGATAGTAGGCTGACCGTTGCAACCACAGTGACCCACGAGAACTTCCTTTCGATCGTGTCTTTGGAGACCCATCCCTACCCCCAGCAATTCTATACGCGGACGTGGCGTCCCCGATGTTCAAGGAATTTCATCAATCGTTAAGTGCTCTGGCAAAGGAAGGACAAATGTCCTATCGTGTACGATACAGGCCCCCCCAGCACTGGAGCTCACGTCCTCTGTTCGTGTCTGGCTACGGACTTGAGCTCGCCTTGAAACGGACGGACTATATCGTAATTGACGACAGAGCTGCTGAAGAAAGAGGACCAGACGGCGTGGAGTCCAAGAAACCTGGTGACGCAGAAGATGATCTGAACGATCTGAGGCCCTTGTCCTCGTCAGAAGTCTCGCGGCTTGGACTGAACACAGCCAGCTATGTGATGGATAGCGATGACCCGTTTGACACGCTCGTGAAATTGTCTCAGGATTTTCCCAAATACTCCGCCAGAGTCGCGGCTCACAATATTTCCACCGAGCTGCTACAGGATATTCGATCCAGCAGATTGCGTATGCTTCCTCCTGGACTTAACGCTCTGTGGATCAATGGGGTTCAAATTGAACCTCGCCAAGTGGACGCGTTCACACTTCTGGACCACCTACGTCGCGAAAGAAAATTGATCGAGAAGTTCCGAAATCTAGGCCTCTCTGCTAAGGAGGCTGTGGAGCTATTGGCGCACCCATCGCTCGGAGAGTCTCTGGCCCGTGATGGCCCTCAGCGCTACAACTACCGCGATGATATCGAGGGAGGGGGTGTGATCATGTGGTTGAATGACCTTGAAAAGGATGCACGGTACGAGTCCTGGTCGAGCGAGCTTGCAGGTGTAAGTACCATCTGAGAATTCTTACGTCAAGATGCTTATTTTATTAGTTTATGCAACGCACCTACCCAGGCCAACTTCCCGCAGTGCGCCGCGATGCAAACAACATTGTGTACCCTGTTGACCTGACTAATTCCGAGGACGCGGATATTGTCGTCAAGACAATCCAGGTCTTTGTGAAAAACAAGATTCCCGTGAGATTCGGCTTGATTCCGGTTACGTTTTCCGACGGGGCAATTGCTCAGCTCAAGGTTGCTCACTATCTCCAAGAGACTTTTGGTCTGGCCAGTTTCATGAATTATCTCGAAGTGGTGAGTGCCCTATATCCCACTGTCTATCATTCTTCGATTGTTAACCTGGATAGTCTGCCTCCAAAAACAAGTTGGCTTCTCCGGACAAGGCTTGCTTCCAGGCTGCGACCAAGGATCGGGATGCGCGTGCTGAAAAGCAGCCTCTTTCTCTAGAGGAGATCCTGAAGAATGACAGTTCGGACGTAACAGTGGCTAAAACGACTGCATACCTAAACCGCCTCGGGATGAAGCACGAAGCGTCGCATGCTTTCGTTAACGGGATCCCCGTTACCCGCAATGCGAACTGGGCCCAGGAGATGAGCTCAAGAATCAGCAGAGACACTCAATTAATCCAACAACGGATTGCTGACGGCGAAGTCGACGAAGACACATGGTTGCCAGAGCTCTTCCTTTCCCAAGCCTTCGATCGACGCAACCCGGCCTTCATCCCGGAGGATCCAAAAGAGATTCGGGCTGTGGACCTGGTGAAGATTGCTGATTCCCATAGAGACCTCTTTGGCCAGATCCCACGCATAGCGTCGGATCAAGATGATGCGCTTGAAAGTGCTCATGTCATTGTGATCGGCAATTTCGATGATGAGCCCGGCTACGAGCTACTCAGCGCAGCCCTCGAGAGCCGCAAGGCACACGGCGGAATCGAGGCCCTATTCCTACACAACCCCAAGCCCGAAACACCTGCCATGGCTAGGTCTTCCGCGGTTTACCGGTCTTTGAATGGAGGTAAGGGGACAGATGTCACGCACATTCTGGAGGCGATTACCAGTTCCGACTCGCCATCAGACGAGGAAGCTCGGAACGTTGCCCAATTCTGGGAGGCTCAGCAATCTGTAGTCGAAGAGTTCGGTCTCGCTCCGGGCATGAGAGCGCTTGTCATCAATGGAAGGGTTATTGGACCGATTGCGGAGGACACTGAGCTGACCTCGGAGGACTTCGATCAGCTACTGACTTACGAGAGGCACAAGCGGATTACTCCGGTAGCAAAAGCTGTCAAAGCGCTGGAGTTTGGCGAAAAACTTTCTGACCCTCTAGCTTTTGCTAAGCTTACGTCTCTCACTACCCTTTCCACTATTTCGGATGTTCCTGAGGGCATCTTCGAGTCGACTTCAGACATCCGGCTGTTCTTGTACAACCGGTGGAACAACTTGCGCTCGGCGATCACAGTCTCCACGTCCGAAGATCCCGCAATCACCATTGTGGCATCCATTGATCCAACTTCTGAAGTGGCTCAGAGGTGGCTTCCAATCCTGAAAGTGCTGTCAGAGCTGGCAAGCGTCAGGGTGAGGTTGGTTCTGAATCCGCGGGAAGAGATTAAAGAGCTGCCCACCAAACGTTTCTACCGTTACGTTCTCAACTCGCAGCCCTCATTCAACGACGATGGGTCGGTTTCCCGACCTACGGCCTCCTTCTCGGGCGTTCCCGTTGAAGCTCTGCTGACCCTGGGAATGGACGTCCCCTCCTCATGGCTTGTGGCTCCCAAGGACTCCATCTATGACCTTGATAATATCAAGTTAAGCTCGGTAAAGGAAGGGACGGATGTCGATGCCATCTATGCCTTGGAGCATATATTGATCGAGGGCCACTCCCGGGATATGACGGTCAAATCCCCACCTAAGGGTGTCCAGCTTCTCCTTGGAACTGAGAACAACCCTCACTTCTCCGACACCATAGTCATGGCTAACCTCGGATACTTCCAATTCAAAGCCCAGCCTGGGCTGTGGAACATCAACCTCAAACCCGGCCGCAGCGAACAAATCTTCACCCTTGACAGCGTAGGCGGCCTTGGCTACAACCCCCAACCGGGCGACGAAAACAACGAAGTGGCCCTCCTCTCCTTCCAAGGCCGAACCCTCTTCCCACGCGTGTCCCGAAAGAAGGGATACGAGACCGAAGATGTTCTCGAGACAGGCCCTAAACCGGGCTCCGCTATGGACTACATGTCTAAGGGCTTCAACTTCGCCTCGGACATCCTCTCCAGCGTTGGGGTCAACACCAAAGGAACCAGCGGCAAGCAGGCCGACATTAACATCTTCTCCGTTGCCAGCGGTCACCTCTACGAGCGCATGCTCAACATCATGATGGTCTCAGTCATGCGCAACACTAAACACAGCGTGAAATTCTGGTTCATCGAACAGTTCCTCTCCCCATCCTTCAAATCCCTTCTCCCCCACCTCGCCCAAGAATACAAGTTCTCCTACGAAATGGTCACCTACAAATGGCCACACTGGCTGCGCGCCCAGCAAGAAAAGCAGCGCGAAATCTGGGGCTACAAGATCCTCTTCCTGGACGTTCTTTTCCCCCTCGACCTCGACAAAGTCATCTTCGTCGACGCCGACCAAATAGTCCGCACAGACATGTACGATCTCGTCTCCCTCGACCTCGAAGGTGCCCCCTATGGCTTCACCCCGATGTGCGACTCCCGCCATGAGATGGAAGGTTTCCGCTTCTGGAAACAAGGTTACTGGAAGAACTTCCTCCGCGGCCAACCATATCACATCTCTGCACTCTACGTCGTTGATCTGAACCGCTTCCGCGCCCTCGCAGCCGGCGATCGTCTCCGAGGCCAGTACCAGATGCTCTCAGCCGATCCGGAGAGTCTGAGCAACCTGGACCAGGACCTTCCAAATCACATGCAGCATTACATCCCCATCAAGAGCCTGCCACAAGAGTGGCTATGGTGTGAGACGTGGTGCTCCGACGAGTCGCAGTCGCAGGCCCGCACTATCGATCTGTGTAATAATCCGATGACCAAGGAGCCGAAGTTGGATCGGGCGAGACGACAGGTGCCCGAGTGGACGGAGTACGATGATGAAATTGCTGCTTTGTCGAAGAGGGTTGCTCTTCAGCAACAGCAGCAACAGCAGCAACAGGAGGAAGAGGAAGAAAGGCAGAGACAATCGTATCCTGACGATGAGGAAGATGAGGAGACCTGGAATAAGGATGAGCTTTAGTTGGGCTTTTGTATACATAGAACGGATTGTCCTTCGAGTAGACGTGGCAAATATATTATAACTAAAGTTATATGTATATCTACTACTAACCAGGTTTTAAGATAAGAAAGTCTGTAACGTCTGGTCCAGAAAAGCCTTGTTTTATCTATACCAAGAACACCTAACTAGGGTATAAGAAACACTAAGGCTCAGAATGAAGCAAGGAGATAAGAAACTTTTTTCTTGTACCCACATGGGACACCGAAACATTGCACAAACGCTATTTGTACTCATAGTATTGCAGGAGAAAGGTCATAAGAGGTGAAGAGAAGAGGATCACGCATATAATCATCATTCGTGTGGCAAACAGACCAGACCCTCCCTCGAAGCTGGTTCAGGTCGACCATTCAATCCAATAGAGGGTCCGGCTCAGAACCTGATCCCTACTTCTTAAATTAGACTAATACGGCATAATCCTTCGTTCAATGGTCGGATCCCGACTCGGAGGAGTCGGAGGAGTCTGTTCCCGACTCAGAATCGCTGTCAGACTTGGCGTCTCTCGACTGGCCCGCCGACTCATCCTCATCCGAGCTGGAGATATCAGACGAATTCGATTTGACTGATTTTGTTATCTTGGGGCGTTTCTTATCTGCTTTCTTAGCAAGTTGAACTGGGGGTATCGTGGGCTTGCGTGCAGAATTAGCAGAGGCGACTTGCTGATGGTGCTTTGACGACTTGGCAGGTTTCTTGTCGCTGGAAACACTGTTACTGCTATCGCTATCCTCGGACCATGTATCCTCTGAGTCGCTATCTGAGTCATCTGACAAGCTACTGCTTTTGGTCCTGGGAGGCTCGATCCGACTCTGCAATTTGTGGGATTTCGTAAGCCCCTGTCTGGCAGATGGACGTCGGGATTGATTGTCGCTATTCTCGAGTTTCCCAGCCGTAATCGGCGTCTTTTGGGAAGACGAGCTCGACTCGCTATCGCTAGTACTGCTGTCATCCGACTCCTCTTCCGATGACGATGTATCAGAGCTTGTGTCTACCTTGTCCGTCTTTTTCTGCTGTTTGAGGGCGGTCGAAGCCTTTGATGTAGGGTTTGAAACCCGTTTGCGGGGTGGCGATCTCGACTCGCTGTCTTCGCTGTCCTCGGATTCGGACTCGGATTCAGACTCTGACTCTGAAGAGACCACAGGGGAGCGTTTCCTCTTCTGTTGGGCTGTGTTTTTCTGCTGCTGGGAAGTAGACAGTTGAGTTACTTTTCCTCTCTTGGCAGAAGTATTGGAGGCGCTTTTTGCTCGCTGTGACAGGCCATTGGGCACAGGATGTTCTATCTTCTGTAACTTCAGGGGTCCGTCGCCGGAATCACTGGTGGATGTGGCCTCAGATTTAATACGAGTCCCACTGGATGTTGCATCTGAATCAGACCCGTCCTCTGAATCCGACTCTGAATCTGACTTTTCGGAGTCAGAACTATCTGAATCAGACTTATCACTGGCTTCCCCACTACTTCTCGCCTTGAGAGTTGCAGCCTTTGGTGGCTCCGGAGATGATGCCTCGCTAGTCTTCGTTGTTGACTGATCCACACTGGGGGTCTCAGTCACTTCTTCATCCGAGTCGTCATCCGAGTTCACAAATTCGGAACTCTTGAACTGTTTGTCCGATTGGCTCGACGGGGTCGCAATCGCTCTCGACTTGCTTCGACGCTTTGGCGGTTTCGTTTCGACGACAGGGTCATAGAAAGCATCCGGATTTCCCTTAGTGCGCTGAGCCAGAATCTTCCGTCTTACCTTGCGCCATTTGTCTGCACACTGCTGTCGAGAGCGGCAGTTGTTCATCTTGTTGCTGACTTGGCCCCAAGCTATCAAACTTTCGTCCATCTCGTAGATATCCCGGCCAACATCGTGCCCGATCTCTTTCATGGCAGTCCATGCAGCTTGTAGATGTTCCTGTAGCGAGCGTACTTCCACCTCAGACCATGGGCCTCTGTTCATCGTACGGCGATGTTCGAGGCGATTCTTCCACCGTTGTACAACATCGTCGTCGCTCCTACCAATCATTTTGGCGATGTAAGCCCATTTGGGCCCATGGCGTTTGTGGAGTAGGATTAGCTCGTCATCTTGCTCATGAGTCCAGTGATGTGGCTTCTGCGCCGAGCATTGGAAATGCCGCCTCATGAACCGATAAACGGACCTCTTGTCCCGGTTTGGGATAATCTCATACACCTCCTTCCAAAATGTTGGTTTCGTGATGACATCCGCATGACAAGGGAATGGTGTTGATTTGTCCCTTTCCGAATGCTGAACCATAAGATCGAATGTGTCGTTAGAGACGCCGTGGGTAGTGCAAAAATGAAGCTTGAACTTTTCCAGTTTCTTGACTTCGTCCGCGGTGAAGAAGCCGACCAATTTCCCTTCCTTTCCTTTACTGGCATCCACGCCGCGCTTTCCTTTTTTGAATTCTCCTTGGCTCGTGGGATTCTCACTGGCTCCTTCTGGCGCTTTTCCTACTGCTTCAGTGCCAGCTTCTGGTGTACTTGATTCCTTTATGGGTGTATGGGGAGCACCGTTCGAGCCCTCGTTATTTAAGGACTGTGAGACTGGGGCCGCATCTGGCATAGGTGCATCCTTCGACTTCTGCTTTGCCGTCTCCGCTTTGCGACTTTGCGTCTGTTTCTGTTTGGGCTCGGTAACCTTCTTGCGCTTCGCTGGACGAGCAGTGGATGCATCGTGAGGTGACGATTGAGGCGATTTGGGTGCGGCAGGTGCCTTGTTCTGGTCGTTGGTGGCATTGGACAGAGCCTTTCTCTTCCGTTTGGACGTCATCGAGTCGTCGGGCTGCAGCTCCTCCCGTTTGGTTTTCTTTATACTCGTCGGGGAGCTCGAGGGAATCTCCATTGCCATTCGACTAGTATCTGCATTTCATGGTAGATCAGCGGGCTGTGTATAATGGGAGGCAAAGATCCATTGCGACAGCTGCAAGCAAGCCAGTCACTTACCGAAATTCTCGGGATATGCATTGGGCTCTTCTTCGTCAATAGAGTGGGACGACGAGGCGCCCATATCGAAAGAGTAAGAAATGTAAAGGCCTGGTCCCCAAAAGAAATCGGAGGAGAGTGTGGAGGAATGAGTGGATGGGGGACAATCTTCTGCCAGACAAAAATTTAGAAAAATCGCCGAGGAAGCTTAGAGCGGCGCGGGCGGCGCGACTTTTGGCGGTGCCGTTTAAGCTTCTTTAGCGGTCAGCCTCGGGGCCTTCTCGATTCCTCCATTCCTCTTTCACTTCATGTAGCCACTTCACCGTTCGACGCCTAAATGTGAAGCTAGAACGCCCAATTCTACTCCACAATTCTCGCAATACAAATTCAACACACCTATTTAGGTACTGACCCAAACCTGGAAACATCCCCGGTCCCTATTCTTCGGCTTCCCACGAACTGATCAGCCAGTTGCCCGGCGAGGCTAATCGGCATGTTCATCCCTGTTGTCATACAAGGACTGACCAACCCGTAAATGAAGACCTTGGTCTAGTTAACAAGATGCACGGAGTAGGACTGCCTGGAATGGGATAATAGGTCATCCAGATCGCCCTGCACTTCTCTTCCACAGTACATCGAACGCCGGGAATCGTCAAATAATGCATGATATCACACAATTAGTCATAAATGTACAGCATACACTCCTATTTATCCTCCTAGACTTCAATCTTCATCTCTCGCAATATCCTCGACACCAGCTTTTTCTGATCAGCTGGACCCAGATCATGTTCATCGATCGTAGTCAGGCATCGTCCAATCGCTACCGTGGCCTTGACAGCAGCATCTCCCCCATTGGAACAGTCCACCCAGACCTTGCCATTTCTTCCTACGGCAATCTCAAAGCCACCCGCTTTTTCCAACTTCTTGCCCAGTTCGTCCAGCACAACCAACCCGGCCACGCCGTCTTGTTGGTCGGAAGAGGATGAGCTCGCCCTCATCAACCTAGCAGCCATGCCAGTAGAGATATCAAACACCATGCCCCCCGTCAAATGACCCAATCCTCCGGGTTCAGCCTTTCCCGTCGCAGGGTTCACACATGTTAGTTCAACCTCCGCGCCCGCACCAAGACCGACCGAGAGCACACGAGCGTAAACCAGATCACCTTGTTTGAGCATCGGCCGGGTCTTCTTCGTCGCACCTTCGAATGCCAGCTGTCCCAGCACCACATGAGGCGTTTGCGGGGTAATCATGCAGTGGAAGTAATCCGGACTGGAATGGTGGACCTGCGCAATGACCAGGTCGTTGGGAGTAGGGATATAGCGGCGTTTCGGAGATGACAAAATAGATACAGCGTTTCTTTTGTTATCGGTGGAGAGTATGCCGGCTTGCGTGGCTGTGAGGACATGACTAGGGGAAGACGATTGAGGTGAAGAAGAGGGCGGTTGTGAAAGTAGACGGAGACCGGAGCCCAGTCTCAATGGGGCGGAATTGGTGGCAGGGAGGTATTCGGAGGGGATCTCATCCCCAGGGAGAAGTACTAATGGGGATGACATGGTAAATGTGTTTAACCACTGGTTCCTGCAGCGGTGTTGAGAGAAGAAAGCGTGGAGATGAGGATTGTTGGAGCGTCGACCGCGACTGGGAAAAAGCAGCGCAAATCCCAGGCTTATCGGGACTGCTTATCGCCACGTGACCTATATGCAGGAGGGCGCAAGAGCGAGCATGGTAGACATATATGGGCTACGCTTTCCACGCAACTAATCCATTCAATCTGTATAAATAGTGATAACCTCGATTTCCCATATCTCCGTAAAATCACCAGATGTCTAGTCCGACCCAGAATGGGCGCGATATCATGGAGTAATATAATCGTTCATAAAGTGTGGCAGCGGCACCGCCACAACCACTATCGATAAGCACCAGCCACACGTGCCCGCCAATTGCAAACCAGCCAAAATTTTTTTCCATCGGGGCAAAACGCAGCGCGGCGGATCGAGAAGCAGCAGCCCGACTGACTTGATCTTCTTCTCCTCATTCTTCCTCTCCATTTCTTTTATTCCCCTCCCTTGCACACCCCCCAGTCAAGATGAGCTCCGAAACCAACGGCACCGCCGAGAGATTCGCCATCGGTATCTCCTTTGGCAACTCCTCCAGCTCCATTGCCCGCCTCAACGCCGTACGTGAATTTCTGTTCCCTGGCTACATGGACGCAGTCCCCAGCCAGATCCGTTCCATTGGAACTTTTACCCACCCACAGTACAATCCCGCGACAGGTTGCTGACTTATCTGGAATCATAGGAAGGCAAGGCCGAGGTTATTGCCAACGAGGAGGGAGGTTAGTTCATTCCATATACCCTAAGATATTTGAACATTGAACTTACCCATCATCAGACCGTCAAATTCCTTCCGTCCTCTCGTACATTGATGGCGAGGAGTACCACGGTACCCAGGCCAAGGCCCAGCTTATTCGCAACTCCAAGAACACCGTTGCCTACTTCAGAGATTACCTTGGCAAGGAGTATGTCAACCGGTCCCGGTGGAAGCAAAGAGAAGAATGCTGATGGACTTCTTGCAGCTTCAAGTCGATAGACGCCACTCCCTGCCACAACTCTGCCCACCCTCAACAGAGCGACTCGACCGTTGCTTTCTCCATCAACGACACCACCGATGAGACCCCCAACACTGTCACCGTCTCCGAGATCACAACCCGTCATCTCCGCCGTCTGAAGCAGTCCGCCTCGGATTTCCTTGGAAAGCAGGTCAACGCCGCCGTTATCACTGTCCCCACCGACTTCAAGGATTCCCAGCGTGAGGCTTTGATCGCCTCTGCCAACGCTGCCGGCCTGGAGGTCCTCCAGCTCATCCACGAGCCTGTTGCTGCCGTCCTCGCCTACGATGCTCGGCCGGAGGCTGTTGTGACCGACAAGTTGGTTGTCGTCGCTGACCTCGGTGGCACTCGTTCCGATGCCGCTGTCGTTGCTTGCCGTGGTGGCATGTACACCATTCTCGCTACTGCCCACGACTACGAGCTGGGTGGTGCTACCTTGGACAAGATCGTCATTGACCACTTCGCCAAGGAGTTCATCAAGAAGCACAAGACCGACCCCCGGGAGAACGCCCGCGGTTTGGCCAAGCTGAAGCTGGAGGGTGAGGCCACCAGGAAGGCTCTGAGTCTCGGTACCAACGCCACTCTCAGCATTGAGAGTCTCGCGGACGGCATCGACTACGGTTCCACTGTCAACCGTACCCGGTACGAGCTGCTGTCTGGCAAGGTGTTCGCTCAGTTCACCGGCTTGATCGACCAGGTCGTCAAGAAGGCGGGTCTGGATGTCTTGGACATTGACGAGGTTCGTTTCTTAATCCCCTGCTCCTCCTTCAGCCACATTCTAATTCCACTATAGGTTATCTTCGCTGGTGGTACTTCCCACACCCCCAAGATTGCCCAGCTTGCCCGCAACATCTTCCCCGAGAAGACCACCATTCTCGCCCCCTCCACTTTCATTGGTGCCATCAACCCCTCTGAGCTCGCCCCCAGAGGTGCCGCCATCCAGGCCTCTCTGATCCAGGAGTTCGAGAAGGAGGACATCGAGCAGTCCATCCACCCCATGGTCACTGCCACCCCCCACCTCCAGAATGCCATTGGTGTCGAGTTCACCTCCGGAGAGACCGTTGACTTCAAGGCTCTCCTGAACGCCGAGACTGCTCTCCCTGCTCGCCGCCTTGCGCAGTTCCCTGCCCCCAAGGAGGGCGGTGACGTCTTCATCCGTGTTTGCGAGGGTGTCCGCGAGATCAAGGTCACCAAGCCCGAGCCCAAGACCAAGGAGGAGAAGCCTGCCAAGACCGAGGACGACGAGGATGACTCCGACTTTGATTCCGATGAGGACGAGGAGGAGGAGATCCGTGAGATTGTCTGGAAGACCGAGAAGCCCATTGCCGAGCTGGCTGTCAAGGGCGTCAAGGCCGGCAGCAAGGTCGAGTTGACTGTTCACGTCAACGCTGACCTGGGTCTGCAGATCACGGCCAAGGAAGTTGGCGGCCAGAGCGCCGTCCGCGGTGTTGTTGAGGCTCCCAAGGCCTAAATCTTCTTTTAGCCTATAATTTCCTTGCTCATATATCTCTGATCGCCACAAGACCTATAACGATGCTTTTCCTTCTATGAATCGATCTAGAATTTTATAAACTGATCTGTTGAACATAGTCTGTTTTTCCTGTGACTGGTTTGGGGCCCTTCGGACCGGGCAGGACAACGGGAATGCGCTCTGCATTCTGTCTTGCCACGACTTATTGATGATGAATGTATCAAAAAAGGCTTCTGAAAAGTATATAGAGCTGTTTTGAAGCGCAATAGAAAACGATGGGTTTTCTAGATGATATCTCATGATTCCAAGAGTATTCAGTGTTATATCTGTGTCGTAATTTTCCCTTTCCATCTGCGAAGTAGCAAGTCATGTTAGCATAGAGGACTCCAAGGGCAGATGGTTAAAAGACTTCTCCTCATGGCTTTGTTATCTTTCTGTGACGCTTGGTACTAATCTTCATAATTTCTTAACTTCCAAGTTTATTCCGGCTTTGAAGATATTTTCTATACAAGTTCACCAACCCAAATACTAGAAACCCTGCAGGTGAACCATCTATCTTCCCGAAAAGAAACTACTAATATCCGGATAAACTTCCACTACACATCCTTGATCCCAAACCAGTCGATTCCAATATCATCGAAAAGTCTTCAATTCTCAAAAAGATGACTTATGGTTCAGCCATTTCAACAATCAACCTTCAATGCATCAAATCCCACACCTACATCATACGCCTGATTTGTCTTCCCGATATGAGGAGGTCCTCCGAGAGGCATCCCTTGATGAGAAGTTCAAGTCTCATTGTGTTATATAACCCTCGGCAGCAAAACAAAGCAACAATCATGTTACAGTAATTCCCCTTGTCAGGCGGTCGGGACTATCTTACACAATCATGCTACTATGACAATGATAGCGGGGCACCATATAGTGGGATACTATTACCATCCAGTTATCAGAGTTGGAACAAAGGAAGATAACGCAACAAAGACTCCATCTTTGATAGTATTATTGGATGCAAGAAAATACACGAACAGATGACTATATATATACCTTCACGGCCTTGCTCCTCTATACGGAATACACCTATGCCAGCAAGATGATCACGATAGCCCATTATATTCGGTAGTACTATAATCATCGGCCTGCAGCTATTCCTCTTGAACAATTCTTTGTTCTAGGAGCAACATGCCAGTCTCCTCCTCCTCCTCCGAATCAGAAAAGTACATGGTGGGATCCGGGCGTTCTCTTAAAGGAGAATCATGAAATCCTGGAGAAGTATGACGGTAATCTGCGGAGAAATCGAAGTGTGGAATGGGAATCTGCGAGTTGAGAACATCAGGATTGAATGTCTCGCGGCGCCTCCCCCTTGTCTCCTCCTCATATTTGTCCCTGGGCAGAATGCCAACTGGCACCACCTCTCTCTCGATCTTGAGAGAGTCCCTATACCGAATACAACACCCACAATATTCCGTGCAGTGCGACTTCACCTGGTAGAACAATCCGTTGAACCTACACGCACGGACCTCCTCACAGCATCCACAACCACGAGAACAGCAACCATATCTCAGCGTACAGCGCCTTTTCTCACTCTCAAGGCTCACACCAGGCTTTGCAGAACGATATCGGGTCCAAGCTCCATCGGGTCTTTCATCCTCCAGCTGGCATTTATCAAGTCCCAGCTCAAGGAGACTGGGAATAAACCGCCCGAGACCTTCTTGCACATGTGCGAGCTTTGCTTGTAGCTCTGGGTCATGCAAGATCTCGACGTTATTAGCGAGGGTGTCTTCTTCCGCAAGAAGCCAGAATGCTTTTTGTTTGGCCCTGTCTTCTTCATCAAGCACGTGCCACATTTTATATATCCATACTTTCTGCTCCCGTTCGGACGCGTCTGGCGTAAAAGCCATGGAGATGATCAGAAGGGGCCCGGCGAAGCGTCCCCAGCCATTGCGGTAAAGGAGTTCATAAATTTCGAGGGGGACGTCATAGCCGGCACGCCAGAGGATATACATCCATATGACGCCGAAGAGGCCCAGGATAAGGGTAGCAGTGATCACTACCATGATTTATATGCTGATTCTGTTGTTTATATGTCGAAATAGAAATAGGTTGAACTTTCTGGATGCTTAAAACTTCCAGACTGTGGCTCGAGATGCACAGAGATGAGAGTTCTGATAAATAGGAGCTCACAAATGAACTAAGATCCAGCAAACCGGAACGTCTTTATATACCTCAAAGCTATCATTTGCCCAAAATCGTATAATTTGGAAGCTTCGTCTCATGTAGGACCTTTCCGTTCATGTCTTTCATTCCATAGGCAAGCCCCTGTTATATGCTTTGTATCTCCAACCCCGAGTCGCATGACTGTCCGTACGTCTGACTTACCAGGAACTTTATCATAGCCATGTTTCGGCTCAATATCCAACATCAGGAGGCTATACGTTCAAAAAATAGGCATGCTTATATGGAATCCACTTACTTGGATAGGTTCCGAAGACGGACGGATACTCTGCGACCACAAAGACAATGAAATCCAACGACGGAACCCTATCTAATCCCTGTTAAGTTTCTAGTAATTGACTAGGTCCAGGAATAAAGGAATCAAGCCACGAGATTTGTAGATGCAAATAAAGGAGCATGCGGCATTCTCCGGTAAAACCAACTGACCTGCAAAAAGCCGGCCTCAGTGTTGGGTCTACTCTGCAAGTGGAATGCATGAAGGTTAGATGGTTGTCTAGTGACTTCTTTTTGAATATATACTCCACATCTACCTCCTATTTGTGTTTAGACTGACCGGTATGATACCGACGGAATCTGTTAGATCACTGGTAGGCGCTTGGAACATACCGAGAGAATACTTGATTTTATGTTGGAAGCTACAGGAAATGATTGAGCTGGGCACATAGTATCTACTCGCCGTAGCGGAATTGATAGTAGCCATACGGAATGTCATATCAGAGTAGAGTTCCATGTATGTTATCGTTCCCATGACGTGAAGATAGAATATTGTCAGGCATATAGTATTAGAATTAGGGTCAAGAGATATCAAGTAGCAAGAGACAGTATGATACATCAAATCATTGGTCGACTACACAGGCAGAGAGAGATTCATTAACAAAGAGATATTAGTGGTTCTTGGAGACGTGACCCTAGTTAGTCACAGGGAGGGTATAAGAGAGACCTCGAACTGTAAAGATGAAGATCAGCTACCTCCCTAGAAGACACACCCCGAATTCTGGTTCATAGTCCATAGACAGTCATATGGCGTAACCTGCTATACTATAGTAGGTATCAAGATACTATAGTTCAGCATGCTCATTTTCCAATTAAAGGCATAAAAAAGGGCCCTTCCAGATTTAGGGCGCAGTTTCCTTGTTGCTCCTCACGCTTGCTGGACGCGCAGACGAGAAGAAACCGCGGCGACGGTGCTCACGGCCGCTATATCCTCTTTCCTTTCGACCAACAGCACCACCCATGCAGTAGAAAATGCATGAAAGGAGGAGGCAAGCCACAGCAGTCCACATGAAGGCGAAGGCCTTAACACCGAGTTTGGCTGACTGACCGTTGGCATTAAATTTGTTCCGACCCTGGACATAGACAGCACTGGCAAATGTTAGTTAAGCTCTTACTTCGTGCTTGTTCCCGAACTTACGTCATGAGGCAGGTCGTGATGATCTGGAATATCAGGGCAATCCAAGCCAACAGCGAGGACACATAGCCTCCGATGCGCGTGCACATGGCCAGGAATCCGGTCAGAAGCGACAATACGCCAAAGAACAGAGCGATGAGATGGAAGGGAAATGAGAACCGAGATGTTAGGTAGTAGTGATTCGTTCTGTGACATGTTAGGTGGTGATCGCGAGTCATTGAATTCAACAATTAATCCTGGCTTACCCAACGAAAGCAGAGGGAATGTTATCGGTGGTGTCAAAGTTGTGACTGCTTGGAGGATCGAATGGATAATCCGGGTGAGATGATCCACAATCGCTTTTTCCATTTACTACAGAGCACAACTCCCAATAAGTCCAGCGAGATAGAGATGGTGCCCCTGGAATATTGCTCGTGTCGACTTGCAGGAAGTAAATCTCGTTCAGTGGGCGCGAGTTTCTCGCGCCTCCTAACAACGTGAGAAACATGAGTAGAAGGGCTCCGGCTGTGAAGAACAGGCCTAGAAAGCCCATTGCGACTCCTATAGTACGATCCAGTCAGCTACAACTGTGCGAGGCAGTGAGGACTTTGTCCCGGATGTGGGAGGATTACTGCTCAAAGCCATCGTGGCAGTGTGTGGTTGTAGTTTCGGGATTCGAGATACTTTAGAAAGATGAGAAGATTCCCAGTGTAAGCTAGCTTTAGTTTATGAATCGCAACAGGTCGCTATATTCTGGGGCGAGAGATATCAGGTAGGAAGAACAAGGATGTGCGACGATGGAAGGGGGTGAGAGGTTGCAGTATTAGAGCGGATATCCGGAGAAGCCGGTGGTGGTGCCTCCGGGGGATAAAGTACCAGGGGAGCCATAGTAGTGATATAATGATGAGGGCGCATCATGGCCGTGTGGGCGTTGAGTGGTTCAAAGGTTGTTCTGATCGTCGAGGCACGACCGGGCCAGAAGATGACGGCGTCGACGTCATGGTTGCAGCAGGCCCCGCTAACTGCCCTCGGCTAGTCTAAACCTTAGCGGCCCGCTAGGTCTGATCGGGCAAAGGCGGCCTGACTGCCTGGGGGGCCGAGGGCCATCCATCCGGATCCATGACGTTGTCGAACTTCGGCCTGCCGCTGCAACAACTTTCTGTCCACGACAGACGTTGCACCACCTACCTCCCTGCGATTGAGTTGGGCACCCGCCTTGGGACCTTTCGGATCGACGTGGATTACGCGAAAGCCAATGCGGAAAATTTCTTCTGTCGACTTCGTCACCAACCCCGAGACGAACCCTGCTGCCTACGGTGTACCCCTCCCCCTACCGATCCCTTGACCACTGCCGGGTCCAGAGGCACTTCCATCCGATCTCCCGAGAGGGTCGAACTAACCCGCTGGGTAAAATCTCAATATGGCCACCTGGGCTTACCCACCCTTACCCCAAGAGCGCCTGGAACAGGAAGTCGACTCCGCGTTGGTATGCCCTGTTTTGTTCCCCCCTTACCCTCAATTTTGAGCCGGCTCAACAGCGCGTGCATCATCGATAGGCTACTTACTTCGGTTGGCAACTGATATAGGCGAACGAGCTAGAATGGCTTTTGCGTTCCCTGCAAGACTCCCTTGCCTCCTTGAGGGAGGGCCTCCATGAATGCGAGGCCCTGTTGGCTCCCAAGGAGCCGGGATCAACACTGGTGCTCTCGTCTCTACGGTCCGAAAATGTCAAAGGCTACGTGACTCGGGTTGGGACGAAGATCGTGAAAGGCGTATGTTATATCATTCACCCCTTATTCCTCCCTCCTGAACTTCCACACAGACCCGCATTCTTTGAGCATGGGCCGTTGCTTATCATAAGCTAGCGTCTCAAGGATGATGCTGATGTTCTAACGTGCCATGATAGGATATCCAGCTCCGCCTTAGCTCCCTTGCCTCGCGGGGCTCAGCTACCACCCGCTTGTGCCTGTCTAATGCCCCCGCAACACCCGAGCTCGTTCTAAGCCAATTAGTAACGGTAAAGAACCTGGTCAATCAAAGTCTCGATATTGTGGATGTTAGCACTTGGACTGGAGATCCACTCAATGCCAGTTTTATCTTCAGTCAACTGCACCTTCTGCGTGAGACTATCAGCGAAGCACGGCAGATGCTGAAGGGTGAAAATGACAAGGTCCGAGGCAAGTGGTGGGAGACGAGTGCACAAGAGGAGGTAAGTGGTTATCCATTTGCTCGTCGTACGGAACAGGGACTGAATTGCAATTGCAAGATGTTCGACCCTCCATTACCACCGTACCTGTCCTTCCATCTCTCCATTGCCGACTCGGCACTGGTTTTACATCTTAGGACGCTAGAATCCAACACACCCACCCATACGCCAACCGCGTTCGCAGCAGATATTTCTCTTACCGGGTTCAACCTGCGGGATCGGCTATTTGGGACTCGCCATCGCCCTCATGACGAGGCTGGTGATGTGTTTACATGGAAAGGGGACGAAGTAAAGGTAAAAGAAAAGATCCGCGTAGAGAGTCAGGACCCTAGCCTCATGGCCGTGATGGCCAAACTAAGCGCTCTCGAGCACGAAGTGATGAAGTGGATATCGGCTTTGAAGGTGCTCATGGGCAATGAAGATACAGATAGCGAATCTCAGTAGGACCCCCATACTGTAAATAACAACTCTACAATATGCTCCCGCTACTCCCCCACACTCTGATATCTAGTTGATGCTTGCGCGCCTCGATTCCGAGGCCGCGGTTGGGTCTAGATGGATTATGTAAGACCACATGATCTGCACGGCCAATAGGAATCGCGTAATTTCTGATGGGCATGCGGCTTGGCGCGAGTTTTCCTGTCAAAAGCTCTCGAGTGGCGAGACAGTTTCTTCCAGGTTCAAGCTCCTGATACTTGCATCTCGAGCCGTGGAAGGGTTGAGGATGTTGTCACGATCTCCGGCCGCAAGGGCGACCCGGTCCCATCCCCATGGCCTCTTACGCACGGCTGCACCCAGGTCGCCGCCAACCGGTTCGCAGCCACTCCGCCGCGGAGCTGCGAGCTTCATAGCTGGGCGCCCACGAACCTCGATTGCCCGCAAGGCTCTTCCGTCGGCCTCGCACTTGGAAACCCTGCTCAGGGAAGCTACATATATTCGTTCTCAGAAATGGCTGCACGGGCGGAGGTATTCCTCCACGTCGCCTACGGAGACCGATCCCAGCACGAAGCGGAAGGATACTATCTACACCTTGATCGATGAAATCAACCAAAATGATACGGAGATGGCTGAACTTATGCACGACCTAGGTCTACTGGATGATCATGAGAAAGCTCTCAACCTCGAAGGAATAAATTTCGACCATGCACTAAGTCAGACGATTGGCCATCGGGACGAAGAGACCTTGGAAGCGCGGGTGCAACAAGCGAGGCAAGAGTTCGGAGAATATCTTCCGGAGGGGCACCTGAACGATACAGAAACTCGGCTTTACACCCGATTGTATGGCGAACCGGTCGTTCTCGCGCCAGAATCCGAGGTTGACGCTTTGGAGGAAGAGGAGGAGGATATAGATTCGGATAAACTTTACCGTTTCGACGGCGAGGCTGGCTGGGAAGAGGTCGAGTTGGACGAGCCTGAAACTCACGATGAGCCTCCGTTGGTCTACGATATGGAAGCTGAACTGCCAATTGATGAAACGGTTGCGATGCAAAGGACGCGGGAAGTCGCTGAACAGCTTGGGGGAGAGATCATGCTAGAGCAGTTCAGAGATGAGGCAGCGCCTGATTCGACTCCCAGATTTCATCCTTTGACCACAATGGGCAAATTCTCTACCGATCCCAGCACTATATTTCCACCGAAGAACACACTCACGGGCCCTGTCTCTGTCATTTTGTCGGATTTCTCTAACAAGCACGTCGCAGAAACCGCCCATCGCGTATTTGGCGGCAGGTTCCTCCCTCTTTCCACTACAACTCCACCCCCTCGCATGCTTGTTCCTCAACAGCCAATCCCTCTTGAAGCGTCGCAGCGTTTCATGACCGAGATGGAATCCAATGTTTACCTTGCCGCCCTCTACCCCGCAATGTATGCATCTGCCTTGAGTGTGCTGGTGGAGGTTAGAAAGCGCCTGGGTACGGAGTGGATTCGGAATCTGATGGCACAAGAAGATGGTCCTCATATCCTCGATGTCAGCGCTGGAGGTGCAGGTGTCTTGGCGTGGAGAGATGTTCTTCGTGCTGAGTGGGAAGCCATGGTGCCAGATGCTCGTCCAGAGGATCCTTGTCCTGTGGGCCGGTCAACGGTCGTTGTTGGGTCCGATTCCCTTCGTCTCCGTGCGAGCGCGATGCTAGAGGACACGAGCTTCCTCCCACGGCTGCCTGACTACGTGCATGTCCGAGAAAAACCCACCTTGGAAGACGAGAGAGCTCCGCCAAAACGGAAACAGTACGACGTGATTATTGCTCCACACTCATTGCTCGGAATTGAAGAGGAGTACCTCCGAAAGGAACACGTACAGAACTTGTGGAACCTCCTCAACCCTAACGGAGGTGTCCTCATCCTTCTTGAGAAGGGACACCAAAAGGGCTTCGAGGCGATTGCCGGGGCCCGTGAGATGCTACTGAAGCGATTCGTCTCCAGCCCCGGGTCCACCAACTACGAGAATTTCCTAGAATCCCCCGAAGAAGAAGCATTCATCGAGAAAGAACCCGGCATGATCGTTGCTCCTTGCACTAACCACAACAAATGTCCAATGTACCAGACGCCGGGCCATGCCAAGGGCCGTAAAGATTATTGTCATTTCCAGCAACGCTATATCAGACCGCCGTTCCTACAGCGCATTGTCGGCGCTAAGGACCGAAATCACGAGGATCTGAAATTTAGTTACGTCGCTGTCCAGCGCGGTGTCGACCGGCGGGTCGAAGACGGAATTGTACAGGGTCCCGAAGCTACCGATGCAGCCTTTGCCGGATACGAGCATGCTGTCGAGATGCCGAATGAAGGCGTTGAAGCATCAGATGAAGCCGTTGCATCCGAAACGCAGTCTTCTGCCGAAGCAGAAGCCGGCGTCAACATGCTTTCACTCCCTCGTGTTGTCTTTCAACCCATGAAACGCCGTGGCCATGTCACCTTCGACGTTTGCACGCCGGCCGGCAAGATGGAGCGGTGGACCGTCCCTCGCTCATTCAGTCGACAAGCATACAAGGACGCGCGCAAGGCCCAATGGGGAGACCTGTGGGCACTCGGTGCGAAGACTCGCATTCATAGGAAAGTAAGAATCGGCGACAAGCATGGCGAGAGCAAGAAGGAACGTCTGGCAAAACGGGCCGCTGCGAAAGAGGAGCGGGACGAAGAGGACGCATTAGAGGAGGAGACTGAGCCGATTGGATTGTCCGACATTGAGACTCCAGTTAAGAAGCAAGGGCAAAAGATTCCCAGTTGGGTGAAGCATCAGCACAAGAAGAAACGCAGACAAGCGTTGAAGCAGATAAAACCAACATCCTAATCCTATAGATCTAGGTTGGTTTGGTTCATTTGGTGTATGGCGTCACATGTGGCGCATAAGGATTGAATTGTGCTTCTGGCTAGGAGCATTTGTTGATGTCATTGTATTATACTTGTACGATATATGAGATGTTGTATAGACCATAACTACCGGTTGCGAAAGAGCTCTTCACTCAATACATCTCCTTTATCCATCTTCATCGTATGCATGATCATCTTTCTTTCCTTACTTCCTCTACCTCCTTCTTAGGGTCGGTGCTTTTGTCCTATTCCTCCGAAGTAGTGTTAGAGTTGGTATAGCAACCATGAAACGCATCTCCAATTCCTTTAGCAGGCACTCCAGTGAGTATTCTCCCGCGGCCTCCTAGGTGCGCTTCTGTATCGATCTCTGCCATTCGCCAACTTGGCAAAAGACTAGAATTCCGAGCAACCATGCTCAGAACGCGCATCGCTTATGAGCTATTCAATGAATCCTGGAGTCATGTGGCGGCGGAGGCCTCATGTAGGGGCGTAACGTTGCAAAGCAGGGAGGGGCGACTTTAGTACTTCGTTTGAATGATAACCGGCCGCAAGTGTCCGGTCTCGAGTCATCCTCTTCCTGAGGTAAAGCTCCCTGCAAACTTTGCAGATCTAGTGCCTTCACCACTCGTCATGTTCATGTTCTCGTAACATCCTGTCCTCCCCTATTCTGCGTTCATAGAAGAGCCCCGAATGACTCCAGCAACGGCCATCATCTCAGTCGTAGACTCACAGCAAGCAAGCATATCTGAAATTCTCTTCCAGCTTCCACCGACGTCTCAGTGAAAAGCCATACTCTTCCGCAGCTGTCGCTCTCTTTGCGTACTCTGCAACTCCAATCTCTCAACCGCATACTGTAGACGCTCCTTCTTCTGGACCAATCTCCTCAACTCGGCCGCTTTCGCCGCATTTCCAGAAGCTCCTTGTCGATCGCCGTAAGCACTGCGTAGCCTCGACGGCTGGCGACTCTCGTTGGAGTACATTCGCCCCTCTTGCAGCTCGCACTTGGCGCGGAGTCCCTGTTCACGCCGAGAGAGCTTCTCAACATGGTTCGACGCTAGGGATAATAGATGGGCGATGCTCGGGGTGATTTCGTCCAGGAGGGACTGTTGCGCTTCGCGCAAAGTGGGTTCGGGAAGGAGTTCGAAGTGCTGGGGTGGGTTAGTTACATATTGTACAGGGCTAGAGATAGCACTTACTCGGGTTGTTTGCAAGACCTTGCATAGTCTGGGAAAGTCGCTAATGCCGGCATCAAGGGTGGAGATGGAGGAATCGAGAATTTGGAGAGAGGATTGCAAGGATCCAACCGAAGCTTGAAGGTGTTCTGCCATTGTGATGATGATGGTGTGTTGGATACTCAGCTGTCCAGAGTGCCCAGATGCGATTCTTGTTGTTTATCGTTATTGATAAGTGATGATTGTTTACATGTGGAGGGGCAGCGATGCGGCCGGGCAAAAGCGGCGCGGCCACTCTTCCCGAAGCGTTAAAGCGGCCGGGAGTTCGGAGTCCCGGACAAACCTCGTTGTACCCGCTCTTGTCTCGTCCTCCTTCACCAGCTGCTCTCACTCCGTCTCTCCTCCATCTCCAGCACTTCGCTTTCAATCAAACGGACTGCCACCATGTCTCTCCTCGGAAAGAAGTTCCCCACTCCCGTTGGTAAGTTGCACGCGGTCCTGGCGCGCCTCCGTTGAGCCGAGAATTCAGAATATGAACTGACTTGCTTGTTCGTATAGCCAAGCCTCTGGCCCCCTTCTTCGCTGCCGGTATGCACATGCACCCCTTATGTTATTGAGTGGCTTGTTTGGTCGTGCAATCTATGGATGCAGGGGAATGGCTCGACTGGAGCACCTTGAGAGGGGTAACGTTCGGTTTCTGACGATTGTGTCTAGGTGTGGTCATCCTCTACGGCGTCAACTCTTTCGCCAACGTTCTCATGAACAGTATGTGAACCCTCCACCTCGCTCCAACTTCCCAGTTGAGCTTCTGCTTGGCTCGAGATCTTGTTCACTTGGACGAATCACGCTAACCTCGGTTGTTTGTCTATAGCTGCTGAGTTCAAGAACGACCCCCGCAACCCCAACGCCAAGAACCAGAAGCATTAAATTAGTCCTTGACGAAGTTCGAGCACGCTGAGATGGCGGGAAAACGGTGGTCGTGGGTGGTCTGAGACCCCGATTACCCAGTCGCCGGTGATTCGTTTTGCGGGCATTTACTCTGTATAAGCTTATAGAAGATACCGTCCTAGGACATATTGGCGAATTGACAAGTTGTATAACATTTTTCTCTCTGACGGGCACTGTATTGGTTGACGACGTGGGCGGAACCCCCCGGAAGACGATACGCAGGTCTTCAATGATCAAAGCGAGCCGAGGCAACCGTAGTCATTCTTCGAGAGCTAGCGACACTACAGTTGATAGAGGCGCACGGTGCAGCACTATGTGTGCCGAGTTCCAATGAGTGCTTGTTGAGGAGAACGGTCTGCAGCTGACCATGAACGAGCGAGTGTCTAGCCATAGCATATGGTGACTTATACAGGGTATCCCATGGCTGTCTGAACAAGGCCCCAATGTACCATCTTTCAAACTGCGTCGAGGGCTCATACAGAGCTTCGAGGTGCCACTGAATTTTGATAAAGCGCGTAGCTTACACGATCAACATCTCGACAACTCTTTCCACCACGATAGCTAAAGCGAGCATGTCAATGCGAATAGCCAAATTCACCAGAACCGAAATCATCTATCAAAAATCCCAATCATCTATCTAAAGACTCGTCCTCAAATTCTCGCTCATTGAATCCGAGATGGCCCTATACCCAATCGGGCGATGTCCATCCCGAGCCCCGTGACTTCGCCGCGGCGGCCAAAACCTCCGCCATCAACCAACCCTCAATCTCAGCCTACCAGCATCAGGAACCCCCATACCAGCCAAAATGTCGCAATTCCGAGCCAAGATCCAGGACCTGGGCGGTTTCATCAACCCCCGCGTCGTCCGCGACCACACCAAGCGGAAGGTTTTTGCCCAGTTCGAGCCCGAACGGTAAGCCTGACCGGCCCTTTCAAGCAAACGAACGAAAGTCTAACGGTGTTCGCTACGCTATAGCCAAGCTCTCCGCTACGTTATCCACAACACGTCTCTTCCGCAGCGTGTCCGTGCTCAGGCCCAGTTGCAGCTCGCCTCGATGCACCCCTACACTCGCTCGACGCAGGTCAAGAACCGCTGTGTGGCGGGTGGTGTTCCCCGAAGTGTGATCCGGGCATTCAGACTTGGTAGAGTAAGTACATGGAATACGGCAGATGACCAAGGAGGTTGTATGTGAATGAGTGCTGATGGTGTCTAGTTCCAATTCCGTATGCAGGCGCTGGCCGGTGAGCTCCCGGGTGTGAGGAAGGCGAGTTGGTAAAGCCTATCATTATTTCCTGTGGATTATGCGAAAAGACTTTTTGGTAGCTTTGGGTCGGCCGGTTCCTGAAGGCGTTTGTTTCGTTCTTTGTTCTCGTGAGTGAGACATGTACAATAGGGTTTGGGTGGTGGTGAGAAATAAAGACTCTTCATCATCGATCCATTGTTCTTCTTGGTGACAGTAACTGGCAAATGGGGTTGCAGGGGTAGCTTGAGGGTAGTCACCTTGGTCACTGGATGGCATTCGCCTTCTTCCTGGACGGATGTGAAACCTGAGGGTCATTGCGATTGGTCTGGGCTGTGGAAGTGACTGCGTCGGCAAACGCCTCTTCATTCACTGCAACGTTACGGAAAGCTGCAGTTTAATTCTATCCTTGGTATTCTCTCACTATCCCATCTCCTCTTTTGTCTCCTGTCCCCTCTCTTCTCTCTTCAGTATTCCACCCTCTCGGTCCTGAGCACATGTTCTATCCTCAATTTCGACTTACACCACCAGGATGCTCGTCTTTAGTCGAAAGGATCTCCCTGCGGACCCTGTCTTCCCTGCGGATCTGAAGAAGCTGGGGTAAGAAAACAGATGTGAAACTCAGCCCGCTCGATGCGCCACTAACTGAACCCAGATACTTCATCAATGGCAAAGACCAGATCCGGATGATTACGGATCCAGAGAAGGAGTTCCAGTACAAGATCAACAAGCATGAGCGCTGGAACGATATGCAGAGAGAGGCCATGAACAGTAAGTCCTAGCGAATGCTCATCTTGCGAATCATCTCAGCCCGTCGTACAGATCACTCTTCGTGTGTTCTAACCTGGTTTCATAGCATGCATCCGCAGCATTGTCTCCTCTCGTCTCCACGATCTTGGCCTCGTCACTCTACGCCTCCCACTAACTGCTAAACCCACCGATTCCCACGTCCCAATCCTAGTCTCCAAGAACATATCCTCCGCCTCTCGCGTCATTGTTGTCTTTGGGGAACCTACACAGGATCTTGGAGTCTGGGCTTACCGGACTATCGGGCACGAGGGCATCGATGCCGGCTCGGCCGTTGCTTTTGCCCGGGCTGTTCTCGGCAAGAAAGATGACACTGATTCCACAATTGACGCTAATCCCAAGGCTACAAGCAAAGACTTGTCGACTACGGCCCTTGTCCTGGCAAACGCCGGCCAATTGGTCTGGCACTGCCGCTCCCGTCGAGCCATGACTCTGGCATCCTGGCCTTGCGTTCCCCGAGAATCGGCTGTAGATCCTCCTCCGGCCATGACTCATCGAAACAAGATCCCTGGAAATGAGAACTGGCAGGAACATGTCAATTACGTCTTTGAGGAGATCCTGGCGGCTCGAGGACGGCTTGTTAGAGCGGATGCGAAGATTGGCATCATTGGACTGGTTGATGGCGGATTGGGTGCCATCAGGTACTTGGCGAATAATTGTGAGCATCCTTTGCCTCTCTTCCATTCGATACTCTTTATATCTACACACATTGTCTTCGTTTCATGAGATGGCCTTGTCACTAATTCATGGCTCACTACAGGGGAATCATGGCGTCCTTACATCTCCGCCATCTGCCTCTCAAATCCCCTTCATGTAGCTTCGATTGATTTCGGGGCCCAGAAGAACACGGAAGATCCTTCATCGTTTGCTTCCTTCATCTCCTCGCGTTGCCGTGGCTATATGATCTCGAACCAGCCCGTAGGCCTGCCTGTTGCCTCGCCCCATGACCACGGGTGCAATTGCTATTCGTCCGGTGAGACACTCAATATCGAGTGCATTATGCCCCAGGCCTGGAAGAACATGCTTGAGTGGCTCGATCAGACCTTTACGGACCCGAACCACTGCGAGGCCAGATTGGTGATCAGGGAGTTTAGTGGGAACGGGCTCCCGGAAGGGTTTGTGGACGAGGAAGTGGATGAAGAGGATAATTGAGGTGGTCTTTAGTCTTAATGAAGCATTTTTATTTGATAAGCAGAGAGGCATATCTTGTTCTTTCACAGTGCTTAGTTAGTATCAATTTGCGGGCCTAGTCTACTTATATCAAATCAAGCCATATCCTTTTAGTTAAAATAAGTGTGTTCCTATCTATGTAGACGCTTCCCCGTTGAAGCATGAATGTCAAGTCTAATGCCTATCAAATCCCAAATCTCAGTATGAAGCAACGCAAAACCCAGGCTTATAGAAAATCTTCTTTAACGCAGCAAACACAGCTAAGATCTGACCATGACATCCAACTCATCAGTGAGGTTCTCGTGTAGATCTTGGACCGTTTCCCTTGGTTCATGCCAGCCAAAGGCTCACTCAGAAGCTCGGCCTTATGCGAGCCTGATATTAAACCCCTCTTGAATCCCCTTTTAGGGTCGTTTCTTTCAAACTGCATCTGCTATACTCCCTCTGCGAAAGACTCAGATCTTGAACGATTCAACAGCGCAGTTCTTTAAAAAGGAAAAAACCGTGGTCGAACTAGAGACAAGTCAAGATATCCCGCCATCGAGTGTAGACCACCACGAAGTTGCATACGGATGGAGGCCCACCTACCAAGGATGGAAAGTGTTCTTAATGATGGGGCCTTGTAGAGATCATCTGTTTGTTACTCCCTAGATAATCTTTTCGCTGTCTAGTTGGTGTCTCGAATCATGGGTTTTTGCAGGAACTATGTCAAATAGAACACTCCGAAGTACCCCACTCCTCTATCAAGACTTTGATCAAGTTCTTTTAAATTGAAGACAACCATTGGCTTCTTCTTATGTCTATGGGGGGTCCTACGCGGAAGAACTTCATGTTTATCTGTCCGGGAAGCAGTGTTGGAGATATACGATAAGACAGGTAGATCGCCTACTTTGTAGTCTTCGTATGGTCTTAGACCGCTGTATCGACATGCATCTCTTACCCAGAAGACCATGTATGGTCCTTCCTTGATCCGAGGGCTTACGCAGATCCCAACATATAGCATACTAGTATCTCAGTTGATCTATTTTGTCTCATTCAGTCATGAACATCGGAATTCAAGTCCTTCTCTTTCTCCTTCTTTTCCTCCCACTTTTCCCTAACTCTCCTCCTCAAGCCCCCATTTACACCTCTTCCCCAGATCTCTTCCTTGTCCCCACCATCAACAGAATCACCACCAGTATCACCCTTAGTACCACCAACCTTCTCGCTCTCAACAACAACCTTCCTCTCCTTCATCCTCCTCTCCTTCCCCCTCGCCAGCTCAATCTTCCTCAAGTAAATCGCATAGATCATCACCTCCGCCACTCCCACCCCCAACGCCGACCCCAACGACACCAACACCTTAACCGCCTCCGACACCCCCTTCCCTCCTCCCCTTCCCCCTCCGCCCCAAACCCCCGCAACAGTCTCAATAAGCAGCTCGGGCGTCCGGAAACTACTCAATGCCCAATACACACTGAACCCTGTGATCAGGACCGAGAGGAATATATTCAGGACGAGGGATGGGGTAAGTGGGTCCTCATCTTCTCTCTTATCGGATAGGTTGTTGGTTTTGTCATGCAGGGCGGAGACCGTGGGTGTTGAGGATGTGAAGATGGAGTTCGGTGCTGGTGCGCTGCGGCTGGTGGTGAATGGGGTGAGAGTGGAGGAGGTCATGCGGTTGTAGGCGTCTGTTTCGGCGGCGGCGAGGAGGCGTGCTTTGAGGGCGAGGTATTCGGGGCTCTAATTATACCAATCATTAGGTCTGCTGTTATAGATTTGTTTGTGCGCACACGTGTACTATGGTTGGAGATGGAGATGGGGGATGGATCGACGCACCGGCTCTGGTTTCTTAGGCGGAGGCGGAATATACACTTTTGTTCCGCGGAGAAGGGCATCTAGACTCCTGCCTCTGGTTGTGTCTGCCGGAGTCTGGGCCCGGAAATACCGGGCGATTTGAATAATCTGAGCATGGGAGATGGGGTCGTTGAGATCCAAGGCCTCGGGGAGGTCGAGATCATTCCGCGAGGATGTCGGGAGGGCCTCGATGGCGGAGAGGATGGGAGGGGTGGTGATAAGAAGAACCATTGTGTTTGTTTCAGGTAATGCTGCTGTCCCTGCTGTCAATTGGGGGAATAGCGTGACATGCGAGCAGGTCGATAGATAAATAGATTGGAGAAAGCAAGTATGAAGATGACCACCGCGGCGCCGGAGAAGACGCCGCCTTTCCCGATCAGGCAATCAACTCCCCCGCCGACTCGCAATGCCATTCTCGATAACATCACTCGTCCCCGCCGCCGCTCGATCTTCTTGCGCCTTTCTCTCCCCCTCGACTCTCATACCTATATCGCTTGTCTGCCGCCGATCACCATGGCAGACAAGAAACCCTCCTCGTGAGTTATTCCAATCCCCACACCCATCCCCAGACAACAAAAATTCCACCACCACCATCACCCACTTCACTATACCACCCCTCCAAACAGTCCCCCAACTCAACATCCCCAAAACTAACCTGGTCAACAAAAAACAGAGTAGCAGCCCCAACCAACCCGCGCGGCATTCCCGCCGCCCCCTTCGTCGACAATGTCGCCGACTACGTTTCCTCCCGGGAAGAAGTCGAGCCCACACTCCGCTCCTTCCAGGAGATGATCTCCAAGTATCAGTTCATGGAGGTGAACACGCAGCGTCGCGGCGCGGGTCTTCGCGATAAGATCCCCGATATCAAGAAGACGTTGGAGATGGTCCGGTTTCTGAATATGAGGAGAGAGGTACGTTTATACTCTCCGCCCCCGGCGGGGTAATATACGAATGAACGGATGGATGGGTACTAAAGATATGTTGTGGTATAGAACAACTCCGACCCCCTCGAAACCAACTTCGAATTGAACGATACGCTGTATGCGCGCGCGAGCGTCTCCCCGGCCGACACAGAAGAAGTGTATCTCTGGTTGGGAGCGAACGTGATGCTGGCATACCCGATTGAGGAGGCTGAGACAATGTTGCAGGATAAGCTGTCTGCGGCGGAGAAGAGTCTTTCGAATTGTGAGGAGGATTTGGAGTTTTTGAGGGAACAGATTACGGTATGTTGAGATCATCATCCTATTCTACACTATTCTATTCTATTTGTGGTTGGTGTGCTAATGTGGGATAGACGCTCGAGGTCGCTACGGCTCGCGTTTACAACTGGGATGTTGTGCAGAGACGGAAAGAAAAGGCAGAGGGCAAGGGAGAGGAGGAGGACAAGTCCGCATAGCTACGTTAATATTATCATTGTTTATCTTTCTTTCTTTTTTTTTGATCTCCGACTACCCACCCTTTTGTATGTTATTACTGGTCAAAAGCAGGCAAGGAAATAAAAGTCTATGATACCAATTGTGGGATGAGTGGATTTTGTCTGCGGTCTACTGTTGTCTTCGGTCATGATTCATCAAGAGCTTTGTTGTCATGAGCGCCGAGATGAATCAACGCCTTGAACAAAAAGAGTGTCACGATAGAATCAGCATGAGGGAATGCATAAGGAGACCCCAGCAAGATGTGCGAAAGCCACATGAAGACCTTGAGGGCTTCTATATCTAAAAGGAACGAAACTACAAGCCTGATCTACGACACTTTCAATATAACAGCAGGAGTAGGGTACAAAGTCCGTAAATAACGGCTAGTATAATGGTGTAGCAAACCATCCACTATCCGAGCTACAGAATACTACACCATTCTCTTCGGATCTAACCTCTTACAATTAATAGTATATCTGACCTCTGGGAACAAACATCCAAAGTCCTACAGAAACTGAACCTGGTGCAAATACACCCGGCATAGACTACAACCCTATTCTTCTGTAGACTATTGAGATAGTAACCTATTGCCGCCCCTGTTCTTTCTAGTGGATAACAGAACCACGCTGTTGGATGTGCCGGTTGGCTTGAGGCTCTAAATTATGAACAAGTCATGATATCAGGTTCAGGTTTTTTGGTTTATCATTCTATACCGCTATCGCTGAACATAAGAATCTATCAAACCTCACGACGTCTAGTACGCAACGTCAATTATAAAAATATTATGCATCCTCCTGTGCATATCATAACTCATCAGTTGCAGCAAACACCCCATGTCGGCCAGACCCATGCAATCCTGAAGAACTCAAAGAATAACAATATTAAAATCACGTATCATCGAACAGAGCAAGTGCCACAATTCGTAACTCATCAACGGATAGTCTACCTGGATGCATCCACATCAGGTCATGTTCAGCCTCGTATTGAATTCAGTATCGTCTCCGACAAACGTCCAGTCTTCAATGTCAGCCACATCCTCGTCTGCCTCATGCCCCGCCACCGTCGCCGACGGAGTGGGCGAGAAAGGCGTCGAGGATGCATTCGAGCGCTGCCGAGCCAGTGTTTTGGCGTACTCAAGGTCTCGGTATATTGCCTGGATAGCCGTGTCCACACCATCCTCCTGTCATGCATTAGCGAAGGAAAGGATGTGAGGATCAGTAGGACTTACACTGCGGATCTGCGCTCCCAAGTCCCGGGCTTTCACAATCATTCGCTCGCTGTGGGTGGCCTCCCACAAAGCCCGTGAAAACACACTCACATTCAGCTTTTTCATACAGACGCCGACTCCCAAGTCCTCAACCCGCGTTCCGAAAAAGAACTGATCGCCAAAAAAAGGTTTCACAATGGTAGGAACACCGGCACGCAAACTGGCTCCGGTAGTGCCGGCGCCACCATGATGCGCCGCGGCATCAATCTGGGAGAAGAGCCAGTCGTGGGGCGCGGACTGAATCTGATAAATCTCGGGAGGCAGAGGGATCTCTGCCTTGACACTCGATGGGTCTCCCAGACGATCAGACCAGCCCTTGGAAAGAATGCAGCGGACATCGGCCTTCTGGACGGATTCGACAACCGTGCGCGTGAGGGCAGAAGGGTCGGACACAACAATAGACCCGAATCCAATATAGACGATCTTCTTATCGTCATTGCGAGCTCGTTGGATGAACTCGAGCAGCCCCGCCGGAGGAGTCCAATTGGAACCCTCACTGAGAAACCAGTACCCAGTAATTCGAATCCAGTCAGGATAGTCCAGGGGTGGGGGGACCACGGTAGGAGAGTAATTATAGAGAAACGGAACCTTATTGGGCTGCATTTTATCCAGACCGGTTGCCTTCAGGCCAAGCTCTTTCTTTCTCCAGCGGTTCACCTGTCCTGCGATCGCCTTCCAGAAAACGTTGTCAAACATGACATAGGTAATGTAGTTGTACGCACCACCCATCTTGTACTCGGGAACAGCAAACGCATGTGGGTAGGCCCGGGTGCGTGTCCAGGGCATAGTAAAGGCACGGAAGTATGGGATTCGGAGTGCCTCGGCGATATGAATTCCAGCCATCGCGCTTGGGGACTCGATAAGGAGATCGCTATCCTGGCAGGCTAACCACGCAGAAGACAACAAGTCGTCAATCCAGCCTCGGAACTTTGACGAAGCCTCCTTGAGAAAGGAATAGGTGAACATTCCGTTCTCGACACAAATCCGCATCAACTCGGCAGGATCGCCCTCGACCGGGGCAAAGTCAATGCCATGCTTCCTCACCCAGGGTCCAAACTCGGCGTGGGTTGCAATCTTAGGCCGATGGCCTTCGGCAAGCAAGCCTTTACACAACGCAATATACGGCTGTACATCGCCGCGGGAGCCGATAGTAAGACACGTGATTCTCAGCGACTCGGTGGGCTTGAAATTGATGATTGAGGCGCGAGGGTCATCAAAGATGGGATGGGATTCGGTGGATTCGGCCAGCGCCGTAGGGGAACCCTGCGCTCCAGTGATGTCCTGCCGGGCTTCCTGGAGCATACGATGTTCTGCGCGTGCCGCTTCGGACACATCTTTCTCATCCTCCTCCGCAAGGAATCCGGACTCCATCAGAAATCTCATCGATTCCAGGCCTTGGTGTAGCGTGACGGCACAGTCGTCTCGGGCATCAGCTGCGCGGAATTCAAAGAACAACTCCTCGTGGCCTCGAATGACGACGACGAGTCCGTGATAACCAAACCGAAACCCCTTTTCTTTGTCCACATTTTCCACATCCTTCAGTGGGAGGATCATCTTTGTCCGAGTTCCGGGCAGAAGACTCCGGAAACAGAGCTTTTTCTGGCTGATATATATCTTGCCGTACAACGGAAGCACCCGATGTAGATAGGCAAAGTACGTAGCCTGCAGCTTCTCGCTCGAAGGAAGGGCAAAATGCGCCCGGAATCGGTCCCCATCTTTACAGCCACCCTCTTTGTCTTCAGGATCAACGGCCTGGTCATCTGGGAGAATACCCTCAGATTCCCCGTAATGCTTGCGGCCACCGGCCCACATGCCGGAGACCTTTTCGATGTACCCCATCGATTCACTTGCCAGAAGGTTACTCATCTGCTTGGATCGCGTTTTCAGATACTCTGCAATCCCTGCCGCGCGCTGCAATGGATAAGAGCCAGCGCGAACAATCTCATTTAGGGTTGGAGCAGGTTGAAGCCTGGAAGGACTCTGAGTATCCTGATCCGACTCGCTGAGAGGGCCCTGATTTTCTTGTCCATCCTTGGTATACCCCGGCGCGTGTACCGACCGAGCTGTCTCATCTGAATGCCGACGAGTCCTATCTGCACCGGAAGGGCCTCGTCGCAATGTATGAATTGTAGGAGACTGGAAAACATCGCTGCGGTTCAAAATTTGGCTGGCCGATTCGGCCGTATCGGTCATAGACTGCAGAATGGCAGAGGACTCTGTTGTTTGCTCGAAGGAGTTTCCGAAGGATACAGAGGAGTCCAGCTGTCTCGTTGGGGGAGACATCCCCAAGGCATCATGCCCGAAACTGTAGTGACCGGTGCTTGCGCTTCTTCGCCGTTGCGTGTTACCAATGCCTCGCGATTGGCTCGTCGCACTGGTGAGCGACCACCTATTCTGAGACCCTCGCATACGGCGAGAACGAGCCATCTGCTCGGGCTGTGGTGATAAGGTCTGTTGGGACCGCTTCATCGGGGTATCGCCAACTAGACCTTTGAGGAAACTAAACGCATCCTGACCGGAATTGAAAAAGGTGAAATAATACTGCAGCAATAGTCAGTAGTGAGCATTTTGTTGGAGATGCAAGTCATACCTCGTCGATGGCGTACGTTTCCTCACTCTCAACAACGCGGATTTTGAACGTTTCAGCAAATTCAACCATGGGACTTTCCTCTATATCGATGATGCTATCTGTTGGAAAGGAGATTTTGACACTGTCACCTTCGTTGTGGGTGCGAAATATGACCTTTTGCAAAGCCTTGACCCATTCCTTGGCGCTCGCAGAGCTATCTGCTCTGAAATAATAGGTTCGCTGATCGGTCACGACCTGAAAATCTCGACTTTCCCCTCCTTTCTCTTTTGGCTCAGCTAAAGAAGCCGATATCCCATATCGGAGATCGACATGGCCGCTGGGAAAGTAAAGATTTGACGGGTCCGCATAATATGAGAGAACATCTCCCTTCAAAGAGAACCAGTATCGGTTGTATTTAGGGTTCTTACGGCCACGTTTCTGAAGATATCCAGACTTTATAGCCACCGTGTTCTTCCGAGGAAGATAGGCGTAGAAGCAGATATGCCCCTCGGTGACATACATGTAACCTTGCAAAAGCATGCTTTGCAGAAGTGAGCATGCATACTCAACAACCACCTTTTCCGGTGTCTCAAAGCCGAACATCTCCTTCAACCGCAGAGAAAGGGCTGATGCGGACGACTGGTTCGAATCCTCCTCGTTTTTCTCTTCCGCACGCGCCTGAGAGCTTCCAGCCGAGGCTTTGGTATCCAGAAGAGCCTGTGCTTCCACCATGCGACTCAGAACCGGGGCTGCCCTAGGAGTAGCGCTGCGAGGGCGCTTAGGGGTGGAGGCTCGAGACATTTCATCACCCGTCGGAGGCTCGGATTGAACAATGGGCTCTTTGCCTTTGTTCTGTTTCGAACTCGTCTTGAACGGGCGCAATAATTTATTGTCGGAAATGGTCCTTCGATGACGACGCCCAGGGTTCGGGGTCGGGCTCTGCGGCTTGGAAGATAGCCATCGCGGGTCGTTCTCGCTCTTTGGCAGTGTTCCGGCTGTAGCAGACATGTTCTCGGACTCTTTGCAGGAACGGTCCTCTGTCTCGCCGTCGCTATCACTAGACTCATCAAACCGCGCGTGAAAATCAGACCTAGAGCCCACCGCAGCAATCATGCCGAATATTGATTGTTGCATATATTGCATATGACCATCACGAGCTCCGACACCACCCGGCGGTGCGCTGAAATCAACTTGGGAATCATGGTCGTCTCTTAGGCGTTCTGGCAAAGCACTGGCAAACATGCGGCTGTTTGTTATTGACTGTCTGCTTGCGCTGAGCCTACGGTCAACTCGGCGCTTTGCGTCATCTAGAAAAGGTCGCATATTTGGTGGATAATGAGAGAAAGGTGTAGGACAAAGCGAGCGGGAATGAACAGGGTTCCGAAGGACTAGTTGTTACAATAGGACCCAGGAAACCCCAGGCAGATGACAGCGCCGAGGTATGGTTCAGCTTCACGGTCAAAGGAGTCAGTAGGTTGGGGTCACGGTAGACGCTCGACGAATAAGTACATGGCTGGAGGCAGATGATCAAACATGTTAGCTTGGGTCAATCTCGATCGGGAATAGCAACAGCTCCTCCCGGAGCGAGAAGAAAAAAGCAAAAAATCAAAGAGCAGGGCAAAAGTGACACCCACGGCTGTGCGAGCAGGAAGTTGATAAGACGTCAAGTAGCGGTACAGATCGGACGGGTAAGGACCATCAAAGCAGGACCGACAGGGGCTAGCGAACCATGACCGGACGAGAGAGAGGGACTATGACATGGCTCGTGGACAAGAAAGAGAACGAGCGAGAGAGGCTTAAGCGGTCGAGCCAGCAGCAGCCTGTGCGATGCAGAAGCAAAGCAGCATCGACTGAATAGATGGATGATGGGAACCCGGCCATCCATGGGGGTCTGGCGTCACTTGCCCGTATCAGCTGTTCGCTGGGAACCGCTCGGCCAATCAGGCCCAATGCATGTGATGAGTGCCGGACTGGGGCCCGGCCGCAAACAATGATGATAGGCCCGCTTGATTAGCTAATTTTTGAGAGCGGTAACAGCCTGTAAATTACCCACTCACCGTCTGGCGGCGCGGCGCAAGGGGACCCTGGAATCCTCTGAGAAACCGGAATCTTGTCGGTTCTCAGACTAGAGAAAAGGCTCATTGTACGGAATATTAGATACCTAGGGGTGCCAGGGTTGGGAGTCAGACTGTCTGACAGGCACAACGTGATCCACGAGGCTCCAGCCCGAGGGTCTAGTGGCTACGCCTAGTAGCAGCCTGGTTGAAACAGAGCCGGGGATGATCGACACTAACCTGGCCGAGTGGGCCTTCTTCCACTGTCAATAGTACTCAATTCTAGTCATCTACCCACCGACTTCCCCAATGAAGAATTTCTTTGGCCGTCCATGGACTCGACAACCCACCCCATTCCAGTTGCCAAGCACATCAGATTCTATTCGGGGCCACTTAGCCAGCCGTCCTACCACTCGAGCGCGCAAACCGCCTGACCACCTAGACAGCTCTAGGCATTCTCGGGGGCCTTGTCGACAGGCAGCCCTGGTGAAACTGCTTCATCTGGGCTAGCGTCCGTTCGCCGGGCCTTCAACTGTTACAGCTGTGAGCTTGGACGCGGTACAGAGTCGGCTCGATGCACTGGACCACTCACTACTCGAGTTCTATACATGAGATCTAACTCTGGACTTATGTACAAACACACCCATGACTGGCGTGCAACGTAGAATTCAGCTGGCTCGTCAGAAAATGCCCCACGCCTTAGAAGTATAGCAAAAACATCCCATCTAATAATGCCAACTTTTGATGAAAGAACATGACAGGAAAAGAAAAGGGAAAAGTCGGTGATTTCTTTAAGCCTTGTCGGACTTCTTTCGCTTCTTCTCCTCTCGGCTTTTGCTGGACTTCTTCTTCTTCTCCTCGCCTTCACCGGCCTCCTGGGACGACTTCTTCGACTTCTTACGAGGCACACTAGCCTCGGCCTGGTTTCCCTCCGCCTCGGTAGGGTGGCTCTTGCGCTTCCTCTCCTCCCTCTCCTTCTCCAACGTCCGGGGAACCTTGAACGTGGGCTGCTCCCCTTCTGACTCTTCCGAACTGGAGCCGAGCGTCTCCGGCGGGGCCGTGCCGCTTCCGACTGGCCGGAAACGCATCTTCAGGTGTTTGGGGTGCTTCCGCGGAGGCTTGACCTGTTCCTTCACGGCTTGCATGATGGTCTCCTCGGAGACTTCGGGAACGTCGACTATTTCCTGAATGTGATAGCTGGGGATGTTGCTGGCGTTGGTGCTGTAGTACGTCTTGTTCTTCGAGTCGTAAAGATGAAGCGCCTTCCCACCCAGGTCAGGCTGCGTTATGCTCTCCACCGGAATGCCATACTGCACGCCTTTGTGCTTTAAGACTGGCTTGCCCTGCATGATCTTGGCCAATGAGACTTCCTCGACCTTGGAAAGAGGCAGGTAGTCTGGCGCCGTGATGTGGAAGACTTGCTTGCCGCGAAGATCAGCCAGCAGGGAGGAGACATTGGATTTGGGCGGCGCTTGTTGTTTCAAGGTTTTGAATCCGGAAGGAGGCTTGTAGGGTTGGGGCGCGGAGATAGACACATTGCGGGTAGTCCTATGCGTGACAACCCGTTAGCCATTGGAACATGCTGCATTGTGGTTAGTTTAGAAGACCTACTTTTGGTTAGAAGCTCTCTCGGTGGAGGAAGTGCTGCTATCGCTGTCACTTTCGCTGCCGCTCTGGTTACTCGACTCAGCCTCCGAGCTCGAGTCCGCAGGAGCAGATGATGTGCTCATTGGAGTGGGCTCCCTCTCCACCACGGCCTTCTTGTTCGATTTGGGTGCCATTGTGGCTTTCGACGGATCCGATTCGTATGCGGTCGATTAGAGGGGGAACAGCTCCGAGTTGATGCGGAGCGCCGAGTCACACGCTTTGCTTAGTTACTGCTGCCAGGCACAAGAATATCGCTGCGAATAGGCCAAGGCCGAGTATGTCAAGCGAGTTGTATTATTAAATGGGTATCAGCGCAAAGCGCGAGTCTGCGAGTTGCGAGGAGCCGATCCGGAACTTTTGAGCGATAACCTTTTTTTTCTGCTCCGCGGAGCACGGACCACCTGCGAAGTCCGCGGCCTCAAATATTCACCTTTTTTGATAGTCCCGCCGCCCAGACTCGACTCGGTGCAACGCTGCTGGTTTGGGGGAATCGGAAGATTTTCGTGCTTGTTCAAAGATCATGAAGCGCAAGGCTGAAAAAGCGCAAGCTGCGGGTAAGGACTGAACCATCGAGGCTCTAAGAACGATCACTGACATTTGATTTCTCAAGCCCCGGTCAGCGCTTTCGCGGCCCGCAAAGCTCGGCAGCAGCAGGCGCAGACCACCGCAGCTGCAGACAAGCCCAATGTTGTTGAGCCAGCTGTAGAGCCGCCGCCTAAAAGGCCACGGCGCTCACTCGAAGAAGCCGCTGTCGCACCCGCAAGCGAAGAGAACCGAGTCCAAACGAGGCGATCATCGAGGCGAAAGGAAGAGCAATTGAAGGCTGAGAAGGCTGAGAAGGCTGAGAAGTCTACGCAGAAGGCGCGCAACGAGCCACCCCCGAAGAGCAACCAACGAGTATTGGAGACCGGCGCGTCCAAGACTAGCGAGGAGCAGGCGCCTGCAGACGAGGAATCGGAAGAACAAGATGCTGTGGAAGACACCAATGTCATCGGGCTTGAGGCCATCCAGAATGACGAGGAGGGGTAATTACTGCCTTCACAGTGCAGTTGAGCCGTGGGCTAATGTTGTTAGGTATGAATCTCCAGCAGACACTCCGGCGCAGGTCCAGGACTTCCCGCTGTCAAAGACTCGCTTGAACAAGAACAACATAGTCTACAGCGATGAACATAGACTGTGTGTCCGTATCAAGGAGAAGATGGTATGATTCCCGGCCAGATGAATATGTGTGGAGCTGACGCTTCTCTAGAGCTTGGTAATGCTTGGTCACTACGATCTTTGGGTTAAGCGGGGTGTGATCAGCTTGATGGGAGCGAAACTGCACCCCTCATCCCGAGTGTACAGGGTCTACGCTCCTTCGACGCACTCTCTGCCTGTCATCAAATGCGTTTCTGGGGTCAATGGTGAGGCGGAGGTTGAGTTCAAATCATGCCACAGTGGGATCTATCGTCTCAAGGATCTCTCGCCTCTCTATCAACGGATATGGAATGGCAAGAATACTGCGGCGGACAAACTCACGCTGAAGGGCGCCTCTCCTTCCACCAAGAGAACGTTCTCAGTGGTAAGTAGCATCTACCTGACTCCATTCGTTGAGTTCCTCGTCTGACTAAGAGCCGTACAGCTGTATACATCTGCGGACGATTCTCTCAAACGGCACCTAAGGCCGCTGCATCTCGAAAAGCAATGGAGCTCTGCCATCAAGTCTCTGTCTCAGCGCGGCGGACGTTTGAAGACGCTCATATGTGGTCCGAAGGGATCGGGCAAGTCCACTTTCAGTCGCTATCTGCTCAACCACCTTCTTAGCCCAGCCCCGCAGACAGAGACCAACTACTATAACACGGATGGTGTTGCGTTCCTGGACTTGGATCCTGGTCAACCTGAATTTGCTCCTATGGGACAGGTCTACCTGGTCCACCTCCGTTCTCCCGTCTTTGGTCCTCCTTTCTCCCATCCGTCCCTGGACGGTTCTCGTGATGGGACGATAGTTCGAAGTCATCATATAGGAGCTACATCCCCCAAGGACGACCCTGATCATTACGTCCTCGCCGCGATGGATCTGATGGACCGCTACCGGGCCCTTCAGGCGAGCTACCCCCAGTGCCCTCTCATCATCAACTACCCCGGGTGGATCTTCGGCCTGGGTCTGGAAGTTGCCACCTGGCTAGTGAGATCCCTCAGTCTCTCTGATGTCGTGTACATGAGCGAAAAGGGTCCGACTGAGGTTGTTCAGCCCCTGGGCCAGGCAGCCTACCAGGCCAAGGTTCCTCTAACTATCCTTCCTTCTCAACCAACCGACTTCGTTAGCAGGTCAAGCGCACAGCTCCGCTCCATGCAAATGCAGTCTTACTTCCACATGTCGCGTCCAAGCAACATCAACAATCCGCTATGGCTTGAGCAATCACTTTCCCGCACAAAACCTTTCCATGTTCATTACTCAGGGCCGCAGCAGGGTGTCCAGGGTATCATGGTCATGGGCTCTCAGATCCATCCTGACCTGCTGTTTGAGGTTCTAGATGGGTCGATTGTCGCCGTTGTCGCTGTGGAATCTCCCAATGCCATCTTGGGTCAGAACAGTGGGCCCATGTTTGCGAACGGCAGCAGTTCGGCAGCAGAGACAGGCAGCCACGATGAATCAGATGCAGACCGCGATGTCGATATGGGCGACTCGACTGATGCGGTTCCTTTCGCGGGTGCATCAACTATCGAATCTAACATCACCCGGACGCCAAACGAGGATCTCCCTTACCTCTTCGTGGGAGCAGGGAGCAGCAACCCTCTGGATCCGAAGGTGACCCATTGCTTAGGTTTGGCTCTTGTCCGTTCCGTGAACGTTGCATCACGCCAGCTAGAGCTGGTCACGCCCATTGCTGGATCGACGCTCCGTGGCGCTCTGGAACAAGGTCATAACATAGTCCTTGTGCGGGGTCTACTTGATAACCCCAACTGGGCCATCAGCGAAGACTACTATGCAGCTCGGGCCGCCGAGAAACACCATCGAGAACTGGTCGAGAAGCTCAAGAAGAACAAGGATGAAGCTGCAGACGATGCTACCCTCGAGGCTGAGAAGCAAGCTTTGAAGGATAGAATCCGGCGTGCAAGCAAGGTTCCTTGGATGACGGTGGTTGAAGACAACAGCCGCCGACACCGAGAAGCGTTGCAACGGGAGAAATCACTGTGGAAACTGCGTAAGAAGGCCTACCCTGGCAGCGATAGTGAGGGCGATTGGTAATCTTGATCCCATTTTCTGGCGTTACGATGCGTTGCTGTATATATAAACGAGCTGGGAAAAGTTGGGAGGAAAACAATACACTGACACAAGTAAATCTTCGATCTTGTAAGACAATCGTTGCACTATCATCTGTAACTTGCATCTTCCATCTTCCAACACCCTAAAATCCTTAATATCCTAACAAACCCCCATTCTCCCAGCCCCTAAGCCGCATATACCCCCAGACCAAGTCTGTATAGAAGATCCAAGTCCAATTGGTCAATTACATCATAAAGCCAAGATAGCATTACAAGGCAGAGAAACCTTGGCATTGAACATCTATTCCCATTCCTCCATGCCAAGGTAGATACATAAACCCACCACCAGGTCAGACGCGCAATAACCCCAATTTCCACAAAGTCAATCCCATCAAAATTAACGCCAGTTTTCTTTAAAATTTGAATGAAGCTATCAGTCAGCTTCCTCTCAATAGCAGTATTCCCAATGCGACGTATCCATCCCACAGACCGCATGAACACACATATATTCACATATATATCCCACCCATATACTACCACCATCGACATACCCAGTAACCCTAACCTCAAACTAAGAAAACATCCGAGCTTTTCAATCCAGATCCACCGTGCCAGATGCCACTAAATAACCCTCTTTACGGACGCATTGGCAGTGGAGCAAGGGGTTAGGGGGAAAGGGTGCGCCGGGGCCAACGGATACCCCGACCATCAACTATGGCGGGAAATATTGTGGGGAGGAGGTACGTACAGTGAAAGCACAGGGCTTCTTGTCTGGTGGAGATGGGAGTATAAAGCTTATAGTTATCTTCTTCCTTGATGGATGGTAGTATAGTAGTTACCGGTTGACGTCACTCATGGGAACGTAACATTGACATGGGATGATCGTCACATTGGTGGGATCGGGAGGATGATCAGCAGATTCAGGGATATCTGGGTGTAACTTTTTGGGGTGCTACTATGTATGAGTGATGTTGGTTGAAAGATAAGTGGTTTGGGTTTTGTACTTCTTTGTTAGAGATTGAGAACTTGAGGGGTGTACTGTGTAACCAATTGGGAGGGTTGTATGGTGCTATAGTAGGCCACTTGGATTATGGAGTTGGTATTTCAATTGGTAGGTAGTTTGACAAGGAATTTGAAATTAAGATTATTGAGAAACAGTTAGACAGGAGTAATGGGGCATGATGTTCACTAATTTTCTAAGTGAAATGTACAAAAAGAAATGAAATATAAAGAACGATAAGTGGTACAACCATGTACATATCTCGCACTATAAGTTAATAATTGTAGGTACGGACAATAATATATTTCATTGCTTTTAATACTTGATCACAAGATGCATACTGGCTAACATACATTCTATATGCAGTAGTGTCTCTACCTCCACTTTTATACAAAGTCTTCAATCAACCATCTCATAAAAAATAAATACACACACAGCCAATTGCCCCAAAACACACCTTATCCCCAACACTAAGGCATCCATACACACCTCCAACACACTTCCTCCAGACCACGAACAACCATCTCACCGTCCCAACCAACAACCAACTTGCGGCATTTTGTCAGTGGATAAGCTATACTTGCTCTATTAATCCAATTCGACCCGACTAGTCTCAGAATTGGCGCTTTTTCTAGCTTCCTATGTGGACCTCGACCAGGGTCTGTTCAGCTGGACCGTACCACATACTGGCTCTTTCACTTCTCTCATCTGGTTCATACTACTACCTAGACCTATCTAGATCTATCTTTCATCGGGGAATCTCGATCTTTCAAATCCCTGATCGATGCCTCATTATTACTGCGTATTTCTCAACAATTTATATAGCTGTAGGGATTTGGATAAGGATTGGCTGTATACTGTAGTCATACACAAACCACGACCAGATTATTCAATCCAGAATAGCCAATTCAACCCATCTCAATCCCAAGAACAACAAAACAAACAGACCCTAACTGAAAGCAAGAAAACCATCACAAACACAAACAAACACATCAAGTTACCCACAACCACAACCATACCACCAGAAACCCCAACAAAGCACAAAACCCTACCTACACCTCCCTCATTCCTCTTCCCAATCCTCCATACAAACCATCTACTACCACAATATGTAAGCAACAACTCTACCTACACTACTGTGTATACCCACTTCTACTACCAAGTCATAGTAAGCAACGTCCCCACACCAACCAAAAACCCATCGTCATCCAGTGGTGGCGGGCCAAGCACGGCCCCCTCCACTCTACCAACGGAAAGGGCCCGAGAAAAAGGAAAAAAAAAAAAAAAAAAACTTCCCCTCTCGACCGAGTCCTACTTTTGCTTACAATTCCCTTGATTGTGGAAGGTTGTGCTGGGTTGATCTGTGACTAATATTTTCTCCTTATTCTTTTCTCGTTTCCATCTAGTTGATTAATGAGGTGGCTATGAGACTTGACGTGCCGTGTAAGTGTGGACATGGTGTCTATAAGAGGTGGTTTTATAGAGCACATGTGAAAAGTGAAGCAGGTTGTAGGTAGGTCAGTGTAGTAGCTTGGAATAAATTAATTAAGTGTCCACTATAGCTATACCTAGGCTACTTGCTACCTACTTAGGTGTTTAGGTAGTGTGAGGAATGAGCACGGACGGATAGAGAGCTGACCGACTGTTTGATATTAATCTATTGTTCTACGTAGTATAGTGTATTGACTGCCTAGCATTGTTGATATTGTTGATATTGAAGATGAGGCAGGCAATTGGGACTGGGATTAGAGAACAATAACATGACAAAACAACAGTAGTAGGTAGGTAGCTAGCTAGCTACACTGGTATAATCCAGTAAGTATACCTAGCTAAGTAAGCACAAGCAAACAAGCAAGCAGGTAACCCGAAGCGATCAGCCTAGGAACCATCAACCAACTAAGAGTAAGAAAGAGGGGAAAGGCCAGGCCAGGCCAGGCCAACCAGCCCTGCTTAGTTCAAATCCAGCAGATACTTTAGTTCTTACTGTGGCTTGAGAGGGGCCCGTGGAAGTTACCTACTCGGATTGTATTTTTTTTTTTAGCCCGGACTTGGAATCGGAATCCTTTCTTTGTTTTCTTAGTTCCTGGAGATCCTATTGGTGAGTATAAATGGACTAAGTCGAGGTGCTTTAGCTTCCATCACAGTAGACAGTATACTAGGTAGTACGTAGTTCTCATCAATGTCTCGCGATATGTATCTACTTCTAGACTGGTAGCGGGTGCCGGTGCTGCCGTGCTGCCGCAACTGGTATTTGTTATTTGGAGTAATCGCATCGAGCAAATCAAAACCCTCACTGTCCACGTGGAGTTTGGTCGGTCAAATTTCCAATGGGGCGTGGGTGGATGGGAGAAGGGATCCAATGGGAAGCAGATGGGAACTCGAACTGGAGTCCTTCTTTGCGCGCTGGAGTGGAGCGTGTTTCTCCCGTCGGGCGGTTTCCACTGTTCCAGTTTCATTTTGCCGGGTCGGCTGGTGGATGGTGGGTGAATGGATGGGTCGGCTGGAGGGGAGAGGGGCAAGGTCGTGTGCTTGCTTGCCTTGCTGGTATCGGTACTGACCGTACGGGATTCTTTGGTACAGAACGGTGGTTACGGAGTATGAGGTGAGGGAGGCGAGGTTGGCTAGGTGATGCTGGGTTGGATTATGATGCATTATGATGAATGGTTCCATCGGATCGGAAGGTCAGGTTCAAATGTACTCCATAATCAATAGTTAGTGCTACAGTGTATGTAAGCAAGTCCTGGTTTGTGTTAAGAACAAACCACGAGGCTGAAGATAGACGATAAGAGATCCGGATGCGGACACCCTACCGAGTACTATCTCCTATCTATCTACTATCTATCGAGTCATCCTGCAACTGCAACTGCGGAGGATAATATGATGGGCTTGTGATCTGTCCAACTAGGGTTCACTGGGGGAGTTTCGAGATAGTACCTGTCCAACGGCAGGTCACAGTCACACACATCGCCCGGTTGATAGATCTATACACGGCGGGAGATCTATCGCGACCGGGGCCAAAGTATATCGCTCGATTGCGATAAGCAATCACCCATGGAAACCGACTAACCATGTCCAAGGCATCGGACTAACTTTCGAACTATCATATTGGCTGGAATTATGCCGTCTTGCCGGCTGCACTGTGACGTTGATGGTCTGGAGTCCCCGGCGACAGGGAATCTTCCCGGTCGCATCCTGGTGGTCGACCATTTCGGCTCGGCGAAATCTCGTCAAAACAAAATAGAATGCTCGGGGGATCCTTTGGCCTTTGGCTTTTGAGACATTCCGTTGCTGGGACAGAGACTGTCTTAGCTGAGCTGATCTTGAATCCTTCCGTACGGAGGACAGGTATAGAGTTCGGTACCATTGTACATTGTCCTTGTGGGTTTGTACAGGTACCCTTCCAAATATCACCTACAGCTGCTGCACTCCGCATGCAGCAAACCTGATGCGTCCGGACTCGCTCATCCTTAGGAAGAATCATCCGGCTGGCTGAAGATTGGGCCGACCGCACAGCAAGGTTTAATAGATCCGAGTCGCTCCTCGTACTTTGTGCAGGTATCAGATACTCGAGGAGGCCACCGTGTGTACCGTAACCCCTACAGGGGGTGGAAGCGCCGGCGGGATAGATACCGTCGATAAAAGGATTCATCCATTCACGTTGGGCAAATACGAGACTCGCGCAGCAAATCGGAGCCGGGGGAAAGCAAATGGCCGTTCGTCGGACGCCTGGCTGGATTTTGGGGGTCACCGAGTGCTACAAATCACAAGTATCAAACAGCTTTGGTCCTCCTGGAGGCGTGGATGAAACCCCCAATCTTACTGTGCTGCGCGGACAATAAGTTCGTTGCCCGTCTTTAGAGGGAGGCCGTCGTGTTGCCCAGACGGTAATACTCCGGACTCCGGATCCCAAAGATGGAGGCATCAAGTGATGAACAGGAGGTGATCCGGAACGCTGGCCCGAGGACTCCAGAGATGTACATGCGTACTCCAGATGCTACAGGGCGAAACAGGGAGTCCACCCCGTCGGTTTCGTCCATCTGGACAGGAAAAACGGCCGGTGGACGCGCAGCCGGCGGGCGACTCCCTCCCTGGGGATAGCGACCCAAAAGTCCAGCCTGGGAGGAATCCAGATCGTCCCCCGGACAGCATCACGCATGTGACCGGCGGGATAGGCTCACACCTCTGGACTCTTACTCGGTTGGGGTTGGGGTGAAGCGGTGGCTGACAGCGGGATGAGCTGCCTGCAGAGGATCCAATATTCGGGTAGGCACCATGGAGATTAGTCCCCTTGGGGGATTATATGGGAGGGCTGTGATTGCTCCGGATGAGGATGCTCATCCCGTCTCCCTGCCTTACCACAGTTACCAGCTATCTAACTGGGCATGGATGGTTATCGCGATGCCACTAGTCGAGATTAATGCTCCCCCACTTGCTTCCTGGGCTGCACTCGGTAACTGGGATAGTGCCGAAGAGAATCAAGGTGTGACCCTGGTTCGTATCGGAAACCTCGGGCATGGGAGGCGGCAATTATTTGATGCACCCTAGGATCTATGACCCTATGATTGCGATCAGGCCGGCTGTTTCCTTTTTTTTTTCTCTCCCTTCTCTTCCCTGTTCCGTTGCTTTTTTGGCAATGAAGCCAAGGAAGAGGGAAAAAAGGGGGTGAAGGAGAAGTGTGAGGCGATCAGCAAAGAAATATTTCGAGGGTGCATTCCTGTAATTGAGTATTTTGAGGTTCCTTGCCGAACCGGGCTGGATTGGGAAGTTCGTCGTCGGAAGCGATTTGGCTGGCTTGCTGACCGTTTGGATGGGGGGGAACCGGTGGCTCTAACCTGGACAGGCTCCTACTACTACCTATGTATTATGTAGGTAGTGAGTAGTAGTCAATCCATTGGCACTCCTTCGTATTGATCCGTTGATCTTGGCCCTTGGGAACTTGGGAAAATGGCGCAGGTGATAATTTGACTTCTTCCATTCCCCGTTCTACAGACCTTCGATTGCGTAAAAATCAGGTTAGCGGCCAACACACCGTCCCGTCAAGTTGGGTACGGAAGTTTGTTTGGGTCGAGTCCTCGGGCGCGGTGACGGGTTGGGTTTAGATAAGTAGCAGTTCGTCGTACTAGATCCTACTAGTAAGTACGACGTATACTACCCAGATAGATACGCTATACAGTATACAGGTAATCCCGGGGTTCATGGCGCTTCCGTACGGCCGGATTACACCCGGGGTTATTGTCCGCCTCGCGGTTTGGTTCATCATTCCTGTTCATCGCGCGCTGGAGACCGTTGGATGGTACGCACCGTAGCATCACCATGTGTGGGAACGGTCATGATCGACACACTTTGCCTTGGCCGGATAATCATTCTGGTTCCTACAAGTGATGCCGGTTAGGCCCCCGTCCGAACCAGAATGGCTAGGTAAGTCCTCCTCTCCATGCTTGTCTCTCCATATTGGCATCTAGTCGCATTAGGCCGGAACCGTTTTCTGTCGGGCTCCATCCGCTGACAGGCTGAGGGGAACTAGGGAGCTTAGTGATCTCGGCCTGGAACAGACGATTCGTCCACTGGAGAATCAGATAAATAAGCGCAATAAGGAGGAGACAGCCAAGTCGGAGAGGACCCCTCCATGGTTTGTCATCGTATTTGGTTCGGATAGACACTAACTAGCTTTGAAGCCCAACCGGGGAATCTTCTTTGAAGGCGAGAAGAGGAGAAAAGACGAGAGAAAGGAGAGGGGGGAGGGGGGGATAAGGTGCATTGACCGCGGGGCCACAGGAGGACAACAGGTTGATAATCGGATAGATGCTTGGGGTTATTGGATGTTGGGCCTCTTTGACCACCTTTAGGTAGTAAGTCAGTCGTAGTAAGTATGGAGTAGTAGTAGTAAGTAGAAGTGAGTAAAGTAGGAAAGTCGAGGAGAGTGAAAGTGGAAGGTACCATACGGAACCATACAGGACGGAAATTACCAGACGGAACCAGGCCTGGCCGGGGCTGGCCTGGTTCCAGCTTGTTGTTGCCTCTCTCTTTTTTCCATAATTTATAATTATTCCTACGCAGCAGCAGCAGCCGATGCGCTCCACTTCCGGGCCCCCCCTTCCTTTCCGATATCCTTCATACTACTTACTACTAGCAGTAAAGTCAGTATACTGTTACTCGTCCACTCCTCTTATTATTCTCACTGTCCTTCTCTTCTTCCCTCCCTTCCTCTCCTCTCCTCTCTTTTCTTCCTTCTTTCCTTTCTTTCCTTCTCTCCACCGTCTTTGGTCTGCAAGCTGGTCTTTGCAGCTTCATTGACTTGACCAACCATCCCCTCCCTCCCAGGGCCCATTGCCGGGTGTTTGGTCAATCCAACCTTCTGTCTCGACCACTAATCACCACTACGATTTGGATCTGCGCCAGCCATACCCGGTTTCCTCCCCTCCTCTCTGTCTAATGGGTTTCCTGCGTCATTGCCACGAAACTACCGTCGTCGTCACCTTGAGTGCATCTGGGAAAGCATGTATTGCAATAATGGTCTAATATGGTTGCCGGGTTCTATTAAACGATAATCTTCACGGACATGGATTTCATTGTAAGTGGCTCTCTTTTCCTTGCGCTCCATGTGCCTCTTGAGATCCCTCTGCATCGCATGACGTCCACCCTCATGTATTCACCTCGAGGTGCCCATCGGCTGGTTCGAACTGTATCGGGTCCCTTAGCCTTGCCTCTCACCGCGCAATCCGCGCATATAATCCGTGCGACCTGGCAGGGATCTATGCTCTCCCCTGTCCTCCCCGCGCTCTCCCCAAGTCGTTGGGTCCCTGTCGGCTCAATTCAGCTAACACTTTCCTCTACTAGCTTTCTTTGACGCATTTCTGCGAGGTGCATGGTCCTACCTCGATCATCTGCTCGCAGGTCCTACCGTTCCCTTGTACTCAGTGCTATCCCGACAAATCTGACTTTTCTCCCGACGATACTCCTGCAACTTCTCACGACACCGTTTCATCCCACGGCCTGCAGAGCCGCGCGAACAACAAATACTCTCTCAATACTAAACCATCTGAGAGACATGTCAACCCATCCGACAGGTCTCCCAGAATCGAAGACCATCCATACTTTCTTAAAGGTCAAACCTCACCAGGTGAAACACAACAAAAGTTCAATTTCCTAGGAGGCGCGGACGGCGACACTTGTGCCAGTTGTAGCTTGACTTTGCCCGAAGATGTGAGCAAACAGCTACCGCCCGGTGCTCCAGGAACGGCCCGGAGTGACGGCAAGGGGAGGAATGGTAGCCCTGTCTTGCGATCTAGAGAAGTCGTCTATTCCTGCGGCACCAGTCATGCTGATCACGACGAGAGTACACACGACCCGCATGCTCATGCGTCCTTCCCGGACTCCCTCCATTCGTCCTCCGTTACATCGGACGCCTCTTGTCATACACATATACTCACCTACCTCTCATTGCGCGGGCCCCCCAACCCGGCAGATTACGCGCTTCTTCGACGCTCCTCAATCCGGACACTCAGCTGCGAACTTCTACCGCGAGGTCTTTCCTCCGGGCCTCTATGCTTTGGAGATTCTACTGCGGGCTATACGATTGCCTATATCTTTCGCCTGCCCGACCCCATGGCTCGCGGGAAACGGCGTAGCTACGCTCTTGTGGCATTGGCAGGCAAAGACGCCGGAAGAGCATTTCGGGCCTGTCCTGCGATCTGGCGCACGTTCGGTCGAATTGCGGCGGGAATAGTTCACTCGGCAGAGAAATACCAGGAAGAAGAAAAGCGCCGCGATGAACAGAACAACGGGTCAAATCGACGCGGGAGTAGACAGTACACACCGGTCTCCTCTTTTCTCACGGGACGCGCCATTGACCCGGATGGGCAGTCCCGCCGACCTGGCCAGGTCCGGGCACGCAACCTTTCGGAGATTGTGGGAAACCAATACATCTTTGCTGAGATACATGCAAACTTTGTTGCGCTCTTACAGCAGCTGGGCACGATGTTTGGGACCGCCTCTATCTCGGAGGAACGGTTTGTTTGCAGTACGGTACGAGAAGAAGGTGCCAATTCTTCACGACAGTCTGCTTTGATTGCTAGCGGCAAGGAAAAGTCGAAGGATAAGCTTTCGCAACAATACGAGGACAGCGATTTGGGCATGTCCACTCTCGATATTTCTTCGGGACCCAAACCGATTCCCATCGCACCGCGCCGACCAGTGATCGCTTAGCCTGTGAGCCACACTTGATATACGACATTTCTCCTATTGGCTGCACCATCGGATTCGGCCAATTTTCACATCTTAACTTACCTAATGCGGCACAATTCAACCGTTGTCCGCGGTTCAGATCTGCATCACCGAATGCAGTCAGCAATCTCATGTGATACTTCCCTCACATGATCCACATTTTTTTCGGCGTTTACTTCTGGTTCATGGACAAGGCTCGATATAGACTACGGCGTGTTTTCAGGAAGGAGGCGGAGTTACGGCACATTACAGAATACATGCCTTCTGAGTTTCTGTTCTTCAAGCGTGGGTAGACGAGCGATCTGGGTTTTGTTCTATTCCGCCTCACCCTTTCAATTCTCTCCGACCCCGATTCGGACTGTTTAACTACGACCTTTTTTAATCACGAGGAGCGGATGGCATGGACGGACGCTTGTTTTCATGAGTGAATGTCATTACGAGGCAACGAAGGATGCACTTGTGAGGCATTTGGCATGCATGGATGTATGTACTATTATAGGAAACTTACTCCATACTGGGGGCTTAATCAAGACTGTAACTTAGGGATTCGACCGCGTGTCATCATCAGTAGTTCTAGACCCCGAGCGCCCCTGATAAGATAGGAAGATATGGAGGCGCTATCTATCACCATCGCCTCCACCAGCACCAAGGTCCCAGATCCTAGTCCAGATACTAGCTCGAAGTAAGATAAAGATCCCTAGACAAATCCGGAGTAGAAAAAAAAACCATAAATTAATCCTATCGTCCTCTTATCGGATCGCGATCCCACTTAAACCTTATACGGACGTTTGCGCTTGTCTGATCCCCCATGTATGACGCCATTCCATCCCACCCACCCCCTTCTTTCCTTATCTTTATCTACACAACGAATAGTATGATTTGCTTGTCGTATGACTCTTAGATATGATATGATATGATCTGCATGAGATTTAGGTATGCACGTCACTACTGGGTTAGCTGCTTACTTTATTATTCACTGGGTGCTAGGTGATTGGTTAGGTGGAGGTGGGGGGAGGAGTGCTGTGTAACATTGGGGATCGGATTGGGATGTGGAGAGGGGTTAATAGTAGTGTATATATAGTATTGAATGTATGTATGTGTGTGTGTGTGTATGTTATGGTATGTTTTGTATGTTATGGGGATGGTATTGGGTGTTTGGCTTGGAGTGGGAGTTGGAGATGGGGTTGAAAGGGGAGAGGTGTGATGGGTAGGCAGGTTGTTATAGTGGCTAGAGTTAAGTGGGTGTTGTATCTCTCTCTCTCTCTTCATAAAGAATATCCAAGTGAAATATGTACTCAGTCGAGATGTAATCAACAAAAGAAGAAACGTCATGTCCAATTCATACAAGAAGTCAACAGAGATGGAGAAGAAGTAAAACACCCGAATCTCAAGCTTCACACCGCGGTATCAACAGGTTATTAAGACGAAAAACAGGAATAGATCAGATCATCATCCTGCGACCATTGAGCAGATATCCATTCCCACACCGCGCCCCCTTCCGGCAAACCCGTTCCCAAAAAAGAAGTCATAACATGCATACGTGCTGATCAAATCATCGCCCTGTGATGTAGTCTCTGTTTTCAATTGTCACACTCTTGGTCATGTGGTTGACCTTGTAGACGCCGACCAGTCGAGCGGCAAGTTCGAACTATGGATGGTTAGTGGTCGGCAAGTAGTATCAGGACGAGATGGGCTTACCATGTTGTTTCTCAAAGAAATCACGATGAACTGGGCGTTCTTGGTTCTCTCCTTGATGTATGAAGCCACAATCGAAACCTAGGCACATTAGTCAATCAATCTTGGTGACCAAAAGTCTGGCAGCACTCACGTTTCGGAAGTCCAGGGCAGCATCAATTTCGTCCATCACGTACAAGGGGGTCGGCTTGTAGTGGTGCAGAGCGAACACAAGCGCCAAACTGGAGAGCGTCTTTTCACCACCAGAAAGATTGCCAATGTTCTTCCAGCTCTTCTTCGGGGGCATGACAGAGAAAAGGATACCTTCAGAGAAGGGGTCCAGGGAGTCAACCAATTCCAGCTCGGCATTACCTCCCATAGTGATCATCTGGTACATCTCCTTCAGGCGAAGCGAGATAATGCCGAATCCTTCCATGAAGCCATTCAGACGCGCCGACCGGAGGCCATCAAGGCGGGCCTTTGCGCCATCGCGAGATCCCAAGGCAGTGGCCAGGTCGGCCGAGCGTGCTTCGTGCTCGGTCGTTCTGCGACGGTACTCCTCGATGACACTGAGATCAACTGATGCATTCTGGCTCTTCTCTTCGAGGGCAGCGATGGCGGCCTTCAAAGACTCCTTGTTCATCTCCAGTAGCTCGTCTTTGGTGAACATTTGGAGCTCCGTGGCTTCTTGCTCTTCACCTAGATCACTAACGTTCTGCAAAGAGAGCTTGGAATACTTCTCTTGCCAGTATCGTCCGCGCTTCTCGTTCTCGCTCAGGGCTTTCTGGTTCTCCTCGAGCTTATTGCGCATTTCAATCTCCGTGGCCCGGGACTCGTTCAACTCTGCCACCTTCTCATCCAATTCACTCTTCATTTTGCCGAGTTCCTCCTTCTTATCGTCGACAGCCTGTCCCAATTCGTGAGCTCGTGGATCTAAATAGCATCATCATATCGCAGTTCCTACCTCTTGCGCCTCGTCCACCTTCTGCTTCCAACCAGATGCATCTTCAGCCTGGCTAGCGACATCCTCGTTGAGCTTCTCAAGCTCCTCCATCACATGCTCGAGCTCTTTCTCCGCGTCACCACGAGCATTCTGATGTTTGGTAATAGCCTTCTCGTTCTTCGACTTTCCAACTTCCGCATTGGAGATTTCCTCAGCAAGAAGACTGATCTGCTCCTTAAGACCGTCGACCTTGGCCTTTTGACCGCGTAGTCTCACACCACCAACTTCCATGATCTTGTTCTGGAGGGTCTGGATCTCTTCCTCGATACCACCTTTCTGTTCACGAAGGTCTTCGATTTCCTCCTCCAGAGAGGCGATCTGTTTCTCAAGAGCCGTGGCTTGAGTGGCATCTGTCTTTGATGGTTTATGCGCGGCGCTCAATTCCTTGACTCGCCGCTGGGCGTCTGCGAGACTTCGATTGGCACTGTCAATCTCAATCATAATCTTTTGGATCTTGGTCTCCATTCGTGGTATCTCTTCAGATCGTTCCCTGATCGCGGCCTCCATCTGCCGTTGCTTCTCCTGGAAGTGCTGGAACTTCCTCTCCATCTCCTCCAGATCCCCCTCAAGCTTAGCCACCTGCTCTCGACTTGTCTCTGCCACTTGTTTCGAGGACATGCCGCCACGCGCAACACGGGTACCACCACCACTCATAGTACCCGACATGTCAATGAGTTGACCGTCAAGTGTCACAACCCTCCACCGTCTGGCTCCATATGCGATGCGATTGGCTTGCTCCAGGTCTTTAGCCACCAAGGTGTTCTGCATCACGCTGTAGAATGCAGGGGCAAACTTAGGGTCCTTCGGCTTGACCAAGTCAAACAGTCGAAAGACCTTCTCCGGAGTCGTGATGGAAGACAAGTCCCGTCGGGGGAGTCGATCCAGAAGAATGAAATTGGCTCTGCCCAGGTTGTTCTTGCGCAAGTAATCGATACACTGCTGACCGACCTCGACGGTATCGACCACCATGTTGTCCAATGCAGGACAGGCGGTTGAGATAGCGACATCATATTTCTCATCAATCATTCCGAGGTTGCCGAGCCGGCCGTGGAAGCCTTCGATGCGGCCCGACTCCTTGAGGCGCATCAGTCCAGAAAGAACACTGCCGCGATTCTGGGTGCTTGCAAGGCTTGCCCTGGCCTCCTCTGCCTTTTGTCGTGCAGTAGAGACGTGGGTTCGAACTTCAGGCTCTCTGTTGGCGTACTTTTTGAGGTCATGCTTCAGCTTGGCGACCTCTTCCTCGAGACTTGTTTTCTGGCCCTTGCGTTCCTCGAGATCGGCATCTTTGGCGGCCAACGCTTCTTCAATTGAAGCCACCTTGGACTGAGCCTCCTCCAACAGGACAGCACCAGCATTGCTCCTCTCCCGGATGATATCAAGTTGACTTTGAGCCACTGCAACGGCCGAGAGCTTCTTGTTAATCTTTTCATCCCAAGGCTCCAAGGACCTCTGTTTCGAGGCGATTTGGTCAGAAAGGCCCTGGGTTTTGCCCTTGAGGCTCTCGCGGATGGAGGACAGCTCTTCCTCCTCTGCCTTCATCTCCTTCTCAAGCTGTGTAGTCTCCTTCGTCTTCTTCTCAATGTCGTCCGCATGCTTTTGCACCAGGCTTTCACATTCAGAGGCAGCAAGACGAGTGCTCTGCATGGTCTTCTCCAGCTTCTTTTGCTTCCCAGTAAGGAACTTCTTCTTCTCTTCGAATTTCACAGATTCCTTATCATACTTGGCCATTTCCTTGGCTAAGGCCTGCATTTCCTTTTCCATGTTTTCGTATTCCCGCATGCCGCGCTTGTAGGCCTTCTCGAGCTCTTTAACACCGGATTCGTTTCCTTCATGCTTCTCTAGCTCGTGGTTCAAAAGCTCTTGCATCTGCAGGATAGCCTCCTCAGTAACTCGGATATTATCAGCGCATTCATCGATGTATATCTGGTAAAGTGCGGACTGTTTCTGAGACAGCTCATTCTCGTCACGGATAAAGGAGAGGGCCTTGTTCTTCTTCTCCTCCAGGGCATTCTTCTCCTTTTCAACGTGCTGGACACGATTGTTTTTCTCAACACAAACGTCATTCAGCGTCTCAAGTTCAGCGGCCGCTTCGTCGATTGGCGTCTTGTACTTTGATGTGCCAATGATATCCTCTAGGTACTCCAGAAGTCCATCTTCGTGCTCATTGGCAGCCTTGGGCTTCATTTGGGCGATCGACTCAACTTCACCCTGGAGAATCAAGAAACGTTTGTGGTCCAGGTCGATACCACGATCGCGGAGCAGGGTAGTCACGGCGGTAAAGTTCGTCTCCTTGCTATTCATGTAGTATTTGCTGCTGTTGTTTCTAAACGCCTTTCGCGAGATGATCAGTTGGGAATCTGGGACTACTTCGTGCCCTCCAGCGGGCAGATCAAACACCTCCTGGAAGTGAACCTCGACTTCACAGTAAGGCAAATTCGGGAAATTGGCCGAATTATGAATCAACGCGGAGACTTTGCCCTGTCGCATTTTGCTGGCTCGAAATCCGAACACAAAGAGAAGGGCGTCGATAACGTTCGACTTTCCAGATCCGTTGGGTCCGACAACCGAGGAGAAGGAGGCATGGAAGGGCCCGACGATCTGCTGTCCTGCGTAACTCTTGAAGTTCATCAAAACCAGTGTTGTGATAATCAAACGACTCTTGGGTTCAGCCGGCTCCTCGGGGCCTGAAGGAGCAAGCAAGCGAGATTTCATCATGATATCCATGGGCTTCTCTAGGACGGTGGCATTCGGGTTGATCATGGGAATCTGGGGCTTCTGATCCTCTTCGGTCTTCGGCGGTGGAGTCTGGTTTACGGATTCGGTGATATCGGCGAGCGGGGGCACACTGCCCCTCTGCGATTGTGGTTGAGACTGCGGCGACACGGAGGGCTCTGGGGTTGGGAGTAAGGACTTTTCCGGGTTGGGTGTGAGGGAAACACAACTCCTGCGGGGGTGGGCCATACTAGTCATTTTCTTTGCCGATTCCATCTTCTGGGTGGGAGACTCGGGCTCTTCCACCGTCGCGACGCTATCCCCTTCCTCGTTCGTATCCGTGTGTTGCGACGCCTCCGACTGTTCTGAGACCCTCGAGCGTCGAGATCTCCGGGTGGTGCGCGCGGCAGGGGGCGCAGCAGTGGGCGTAGTTATCTCGGTCGTGACTCGCCTGCGCGAAGACCTTGTGACAACGCTGGGTTTCTTGGGAACGGGCGTGGCGTCGCCGTCATCGTCTTCATCGTCGTCGTGTTGAGACGGTGTGGGGGTGACATTTCCGGGATCCTCCTCAGACGTCTCTTCGATAGCATAGCTCCGCCGGGCGGCAGAGCGCCTGGTTGGCCTGCCCTTTGCGATGGATGACATTACTCTGGAGAAAGGGTCGTCGCCAAAGATTGCTTCATGAAGGCGAGGTTGAAGCGGGCGCAGATGCAAAGTTGATGGCGGAACTGCCGCCAGAGGAAAGTGGGTTGTTTACATCCCCGCCGAAAGCGGCAAGGCGTTGTTTTTCTGCCACAACATGTGCGTCTTTGGGGCCTCTGGCTCACCGCCCGAATGTGACGGCCGCCGATGCGATTCGTCGGCCCGCGATTAATTACTATCTACTAGTACTCTTTGCGCCAGAGGAAATCAATTCTAATTACACATTTCTAACCGCTGGTCAAAATGGCAGTCTGGGATGACTTTGACACGATCTTTTACTTTAATAAAAACTTCACCTACGATGGCAAAGCCATTGAGCAGATCATTGCCAACCGCCGTGCCTTAGAAAACCAGCTATTCGCCGACAGACTTCTGGGATTACTTGGTGTGAAAGCAGGTAAATGCTCTCCCGTTTGAACCTCGAAGGCACTTTTGACCAGAACCTCATTCCAGTTACTCAACTATACCCTCCCCGCTCGAACGCAGACCTCCGAACTCTGGTCGGCCATATTGTTTCCTCTCCGTTGGACATACATCACAAGCAAGCCTTGATCTACTACATCCTGAAAGACTGCCGTGCCGCTGGCGATGCGGCTTCCCAGTTTTCGCGCCGGTGCCATCTGCCCGAGAAGTACAGGTTTTTCATAGAAGGGCTCTGGAACCTCGATAGGCTCGAATTCAAGGTGCGTGCTGGCAGACTTGCGAATAACCAATTTCTGACTAGAATGTGCGGGTAGCGAGCTGTCGAGTATCTGACCGAGCCTTCTATCATTCCAACTTTCCCGGATGAGATCCTCTACGTTCTTACCCTTCCTCATCTCCCAAAGCACGACGATAGTCTCGTAATGGCATACTACCTCACGGTTGCCCCACCTCTGGCCTCGGAGAAGGTCCAGCGAGCATTCTTCAAGACCCTTTGTCGCGCAAGCATCACGGAAGCCCTTTACTTTACCCGAAAGCACGACGAAAGTCTACGTCGAAGCTACCTCACACAGCTCATCGAGTTTGTCCACACAACAGAAGCTGGCCAACTGCGGAGCTCTCGGGCGATGGAACTGATTGGTCTTCCCTTGGACGATCAAGAAGAGGAATGGTTTGAGCATGCTCTTCTGCACGGGAGCGCAAAGGGCCTCCATGGCTCCAAGGACACCGTCATGATGCGCCGTCTCGCCTGTGGCAAGCTCAGTGGACTTACTACGGACCTCGAGTCCCTCGGCGGGACGAAGATCGACGGGCTGAACTGGGATGTTTTGAAACAGAGCATGACGCACACGCAGTCATCGCACTCTGGTAATTGACAAGCATGATACGAATTCGATAATATGGGAAATGGCTCGGAGAAAGGAGTTATGCATCGGATCCATTGTAATTTCACGAAGCATTGGCATTTAACAGGCGAGGTTGCTTTTGTTGTTCCACTACTAGGCTGAACATATAACCACTAGTATACACTAGCCGTGATCTTTCTTCAATATCTGCTCGAACAGTGAACATACTCATAAAGAAGACTGGACCGAACTGTATAGATAGACCGTATCAATAAGTCAGTAGAAATAAAGGCTGTAAATTACGGTACCTTGGCCGTGCGTCATCCCTGAGGGTCCCGACTATAAGTTCGACAAGACTTGGGTAACTTACGAGGAGTTACTGATTACTAAGATGTTTATGTAGTCCTGCAATTATCTGCCTTCAAGGATTTAAGAGATGATTAAATATATTTTGTATGGAACTTCCTCTCTAAGACTTTTCTGGTACATAAAGACCTATAAGGAGAGTAGAGCTTTATAAGTAGGTCCCTAGATTTGTGGGTTTAGAGATACGAAAAGCATCATTTTATAATGAATGCCATTACTGACTTGGAGAATTGTAGAGCAGGCTGGTAATCTAAATTGAATATAAGTATTACGCTGTAAAATACTTCTTAGCGTGTCAAACATTAGGTGGTTCCCTGCCTGGACCGGGGAAATGTAATGTTACCGGAACAATCCAACCACCCCTGCCAACCGAAGAAACTCTCTTATACACGGCAGATATCGTTGCCCGGGCGTCAAGAGTGCCGTACCTGTCTTCCTAGTGATCAATCAGGCGGGTGGCTCGGCGCTCGACTTCAACCTCCAAGAGCCCTGTCAGACGTTCGACAGGCTGCCCTTCTGCTCTCCGACTGGCTGGCCAGAAACGCGAAATCGACATGGTTGTCTGCGCATACTTCCAGCAAGGCCGGTGCAAATTCGGGAGTGCGTGTACCTGCCTTTTCCGAATTCTACAATATATCACTAGCTTTAATCTGAACAGAAGACTAACAAGGACTCCAGACCGTTGCAAAAATGAGCACCCTAGTCAGACATTGAGCTCCGGAAACCGGTTCGGAGCACTGACTGGCGGAGGAGGTTTCGGAGGTACGTTCAGTGTTGGTCCTGTTGGATATGGCAGCACAACGCAATCGATCTCCCTCTTGTTCCTTTCAATTTCCGCCCTTGTGCATGAAAATCAGGAGAAACGTTGCGTGTCAACTTCGTTGTTTTGCTCTTGCCTCTCTATGTGTTACATGTTCCACATCTTGTTGCCTCTGAAGTAACCATTTGTGTTAATGACATCTTCTGACTTCGTCGCATAGGTCGTGCTGCACAGACACAGAATCGGCAAGCTGCCAAGTAAGTCAATTCTCTCAGGCCGAGCTAGCTCTAACGGATCTCTCTCTCTTGTTCTACCCTCCTGACGCCCCGCAGCTATGGAGTAACGACAGCGGATATTAAAGAAGACCTTACTGCCGGAAAAGGGCGGCCAGAATGGGTCTTTTCCTGCTACGGTCCTGGAAAAAACGCTCCGAGGCAATTGTTTGGCGGCGTTCAACGAGAGCAGAGCTTTGAAGAGCTACGACTGCGGCATTATGAGGCGGCCGCAGCAGGCAACGCGAATCAGGCAGTCCAGGAAGCCCAGGCGCTATATGCAGAGGCTGTGAAACAGATGGATGTCATTTTAAATGATCTCGATGGTGCTGTGAATTATGTTCTCGACGGCATCAACGAACATCCCAATCGCATCGATATTACAGAGGGCAAAACCAGTCCGGCTCCCACCCAAGGGCAGTCTGCTTTCGGCCAGTCTTCGCAACTTTCGCAACCTTCGCCATTTGGACAACCCGCTGCTGCCAGCCCAGCACCAGGTTTCGGTCAGCCTTCAGGGCTAGGCAGTCAACCCTTCGGCAAGCCCTCTGCGTTCGGTCAACCGTCGGCATTCGGCCAGCCCTCTGGCCTGGGACAAGCATCTGGTTTTGGACAACCGAGTACTTTAGGCCAGGGGTCTGCATTTGGACAGCCATCAGGCTTGGGTGGTGGTCAATCTGCATTTGGTAAACCGGCATTTGGCCAGCCTTCGACCGGCCAATCTTCCTTCGGCCAACCATCGTCACTTGGAACCTCGGCGTTCGGGACGTCCGGTACAGCCTCCCCTTTCAGTCAAATCACAGCTCCGAGCCAGCAATCGAGCGGCTTCGGTCAGTCTTCTGGACAAACGACCGCTTCTCCGTTCGGACAGATCGCAAGCCAGCCACCCACTGCGGGTTCAGGGTTCGGACAGCCCTCGACGACACAACCGGCTGGCTTCGGTCAACCTCCACAAACAGCTTCCCCCTTTGGCCAACCGCAACCACCTTCGAACCCATTTGGCCAGCAAGCCACGGCCCCGAGTCCCTTTGGAGCTCCAAGCCAGCCAGCTGCTCCTTCAGCATTTGGACAGCCACCCAGTGCATTCTCACAGCCGGCGCAACCGACGTCTGATCCTGCCTCTACATCAGCTGCTAAGGCAGGAACTGGACCTCCCCCAAATATCAAAGTTGACAACACCAACGATCTGAACCCCATCCCACCTCTGACTGGCCAGACCATTCGAGATCCTGTCACGAAGAAACTTTCGGCCTGGAAAGGACAGCCGGTTAAGTACATCAACAACGAGCCCTGTTATCTACACCCTCAAGATCGTCAGACCTACGTTCACATATTCTTTCCCGATGGTCCACCCGATGCGGCGAGCTTACGGGATGTCCAGGGGAAGCCGGATGACTATACGCCCGAGGTGACTGAGCAGTACGAGTTCTTTGTGACAAACGGGTATTTCAAAGACGGCGTGATTCCGAGCGTGCCTCCGAAGACTGAATGGGTGAGCTTCGACTTTTGACAAGCTAGTCTCTCGGAGGACTGTGAAAGAGATGATCATTCGGACACTGTAGTATATATAGCTCTTACTAAGCATTTAACGGACGGGAGGCGTCCAGGCGGGATTTCAACGGGACGGATTAACCAAGGCTACAATTTGATACCATGCACTACGATTTCAGAGAAGAATTCCAAGCAATCCAGCTTTACTGCTTTTTGAACTTTTTCATTTTTATGCCAGGAACTGGCGGGTATCGACGTTGGCCTAGCATGGGCCCTGAAGCAGAACATCTACCACATGGCCAGACGAGCACATCGTCCGCGCCGCCCCTGTCACGGTTCCAGGATGGAACTGTTTAAGCAGCAATGGTGACCTCAACTTCAACACCAGCCTCGATGTTGATGATGATCTGCTTGACGGTCTCGGTGGGGGCGAGGAGGCTATCGCGTCCGTTAGCATTGCCGGTCCGCCTGTCGCGCAGGGAAGGCCAAAACTTACTCGATGAGACGCTTGTGGATGCGCATCTCGTACTTGTCCCAGGTCTTGGAACCCTCACCGTTGGGGGTCTTACGGGTGGAGATGTGAAGGGTCTTGGTGGGAAGACGGACGGGACCCTTGACCTGGAGGGACTTGGAGCGAGCACGGTCGATCAGCTCCGAGCACACCTTCTCGAGGGAGGCGACCTTGCGAGAGGTAAGGGTGATACGGATCTTGTGGACCTTCTGTAGAGGCGGAAAGGGACCTGGTTAGTACTGCTTCCACTGGATGTACGACGTATGCGATGATCTTCGAAGACATCGCCATGTCCTAGGGGTGTCGGTCACATACAGGGCCCTCGCCGAAATCCTTCTCGGGCTTCTGGAAAGACATCTTGAATGTAATTGAACGGTGGGGAGACCGGTGGGATTGAGATGCTGTCGATGAAGTCGATTAGTGGATGTCGGGGGATGGAAAGGAGGTTAAGTCCAAGAAGGGGGGGGGGGAGCATACCGCAAGCGAGGCTGGATGCCAATCAAGACCTGAACTTCGGGGTTCGGTAAGGTGATGATGGCCGTTGAGGGTCTATCTGATATTGCGGACAAATCGTGAATCTTTTTTTCGACGGTGCGCTTAGTGGCTCCTTGTGCGGGTGTCGGCCTTGGCACTCGCCTATCTGGCGCTAGCCCGGTTGAGCAGTGGGTGAGTCAGCATCATCGGGACTTGTCATCTAAACTAAGGCCACCTCCAGATGGGGCTCAGCATCATGCCGGACCCAACCTCAAGTGATACATAATGATTCATAATCCTGGGGTTTGGCTGCCTTCCTGCTTCCTCACCTAACTCACCCATCCATCTTTCACTCGACAACTTCCCCGTACCATGCCGGAACTACCTCCTCTGGCACCCGTCCCTCCCCCGGAGGTGCAGAGCACTGTGCTACCCGCCGAGTGGGAGCTCTATATAGATGCATGGATCTTGCTCCTCGGGGTGCGCATCGAGGCCCCTGATTCACAGTTCATGCAATATGCTTCTGGCGATGAGTCCGCAGTGGCCTTTCTGGCCTCCTTCTATCTTCAGTCTGCAAAATCTGGCTCATCCGGCGTCCATGCTGGACCCAAAGCACGAACATTACGGAAGCTGTGCTTCTTGTTAACGCGACGGTTCCTACTTGAGGCCTCTCCAGCACCGCTTGAACTCCTTGAATGGAACGTCCTGGCCAATATGTGCTGTTGCTATCCCTCAAGCTCCGCCTTGAAGAGACTACTGTCCGATGCCTGGAACAAGCATCAGGATGCGATAACGGCCAGCCTCGAGAAGACCAAAGCCAAGATCATCAGAGAGCTTACCTTGCTCCATCCCAGCAAGTCTACGGCCGTTCTCTCTGACGTCCGACTCTTGACCATCCTGGCATCTGCGCTGCCCGGTTGCGGCCAGGTGCTCATGGCTGGTTCCGACTTCCTGGACACCTTCTCAGATGCGTATCAGGCGCACAAGAGAGAAGACTTCCGTAGCGTCCTCGTCGCGAATGTCTACGTCGGTCTGGCATCGCTGCTCAAAGGCGCAAAGCCAAATCTCTCCTCTCTACTGGACCAGCTATTCAGCCTGAAATCCAGCGCCGGCATCGGCACATCAACGACGAAGAAGGAGCCCACCCTCCTTTCAGACGTCATTTGCAGTACAGATCTCCTAGTCCGCCTAGACAGATACCTCAGCGCTCATCCCCAGAAACGTGGCCAAGACCTCGTCTCCAGTCTGCGGACTTATCAAGAAGAATCCAAGCTCTTCCACCGTCGACATCAAAAACAGAAGAGGCGAGTCGACAAAGGCAAAGGTCGCGCCACTGACCTCCCTCCTGCCGAGGACCTTCACATCCACAGGATGTCCCTGATCACCCAAGTCCAAGACCTCTTCCCCGACCTTGGCTCCGCCTACATCACCCGTCTCCTAGACCACTACAACGACAACCCAGAAACCATAGTGGCCCATCTCCTTGACGACTCCATTCCCCCTGAACTCCAAGACCTAAACAAGTCCGAACCACTCCCCACCACCCCATCAACCCTACCCCATGACCCTCTCCCACCCCGCCCAACACCCCCTTCCATCCTCTCCCCTCAACCCGCAAAAACATCTTCGACAACGACGTCGACCTTGCCGAACTAGCCCTCACCGACCCCCATTCCCTCCACCTCGGCCGCGCCAACGCAGACCTAACTGCCGACGCCGTCCTCGCCGACCGCACCAACCACACAGCCAACAAAGCCGCCATCATGTCCGCCCTCGCAGCCTTCGACTCGGACGAAGACGAACGCGACGACACCTACGACATCGCCGACGTAGGCGGCACCATCGACGCCACCGACGACACAGATCCCCGCACCTCCTCCACCACCACGGACCCCAACGAAACCGAAATGACCCTCTACCGCGCCTACAAATACAACCCCGCCCTCTTCGCCCGCGACTCCACCACCCGCCGCTCTCAACCCCGCGCCTCCCTGAAACGCGAGACCGGCATGACCGACGAAGCCATCGAAGGCTGGGCCGTCATGCTGACCCGCGACCCGAAACGCCTCTCCAAACTCGAAGACAAGATGTCCCTCTCCGCAGGCGGTCCAGACGGAACCCTCAACCAACAGGACTTACCTCCCACAGCGTACCGGAAACCAGGACCCGACGACTCCCAAAGCGATACGGAGGACCAGCACCCCAGCTCAAGGGGCAGAGGAGGGGGTCGTGGTCGTGGTCGAGGCGGGAGACGAGGTGGTGGTGGTGGACGTGGAGGAGGTAACCCTAGTGCAGGCTCTAGCGGCCACCAGCAGAATGGTAATCCTGCTGTTGCGCGCCAGAGAAAGGAGGAAAATAAAGCCAGTCGGGCGAATCATAATCGTCGACAACAGCGAGCGAAGAAGGTGGCTAGGGCTGGGGCATGGTGGGGTAGAGCAGAACAGAGCAGTGAATGTGATGGAATGAGGGGAATCATCCGATGCACTGGATGTAGATAATCATTTTTTGAATATAAAGGATACCAATAATACCTGCATGTATTAGTACGGGTTTTACCATTAGTCATGAGAAGGTTGGTGATTCTCGGGCATGAAACGGTAAGAAATGTAGATGGGTTTCTATACCCGTGTGATACTATATTTCTATCAAAACAAACAAAATGATACACAAAACAGGGCATTATCTCATTAAGGACTGCAGGGTGCAGGGAAGGGGGGCATCATAGGCACATCAAAACTCTCGCCTGCAAGCCCCCGGATAGACTACAGGCTGTGGGGCATGACCATATACATCAATGATCTAGGGATATGTGGCTGGCAAACATGAAAGGGAATTTATCTTACTCGGTCACAGACCCGTAGGCTCATCTATAACCGTCTAGTGGTGGTCCGAGAATACACCGTGCTCGGCGCACGACTTGCGGCATTCCTCAAGGATGCGGACCTGCTTCGCGACGTCCCCGAGTTTGCCAATGACCTCCTTGTTGCCGTCGTAGAAGGTGAAGATGGTGTAGGGAATTCCCGTGTCACGGCAGAAGTCGAGCACCAGTCGCTGGGTACGGCGCAGGTTGTGGCGCGGGATGCGCGGGTAAAGGTGGTGGATGGCTTGGAATTGCAGACCGCCGTGGAAGAAGTCGAGCCATGTCGGGCAGTCGACGTCCATGGTGGTGCGGAGCATTTTTTGCGGGAAGGACTCGTTGACTCCCATGTCGGAAGTGGACATGGCAAAATGGGAGAGCGTGATCTGCACGTGCAGAGGGGAGGTGACCATGTGGGAGATGAAAAGGAAGGTGAGCCGACTGCCCCAGTCTGGAATGGTCCGGTACATCACTCCGTAGCCAAACCAGATCCAGAAGAAGATCTGACCGCCAATCTCGAACCACCGGTGCCACCAGGCGGGGCCCTTCTTGGGTGCTTGGCCGCAGAAGAGGTATTCCCAGCTCAGACGGTATAGGTTGAAGCGACCGAACATTAGGATAGGGTAGTAAAGGTAGTTTTGGAATTTCAGCAAGAAGTTCGCAGCGGCATCGAATGTCATGACACGGTCGTAGTAGGTGCTGCGAAGACTGGTGAGGAAGCGATGGGAGACGGCGAAGAAGGGCATGTGTTCAATATCAGGGTCGTGTTCGGGTGCGTTCGTCACGATATGGTGGACATTGTGGCTGCGTTTCCACCATCCCAGGCTGAGCCCTCCCAGATAGTCGGCTATGATGATGCCGATCACCGTGTCGACATGGAAGTTGTGCGTAATGCCCATATGACCAGCATCATGGGCGCTAAACACAAGCTGATGCCAGAAGCATCCTAGGAAGAATCCCGAAGTCGCGTACCATCCGATTTGAAGAAAGTGATAGGCCAGAGCGGCGAAGAGCGTATACCGGCAACATTCGATAAAGTAGGAAAAATAGCGGCAGTCGTAGAGCCCTTCTGCACGAATCTGCTGGTCCAGCTCGCGGTATCTCTGTTTGATCTTCTCCTGGTTTTCTGGATCTAGGGATGGGTATTTAGCCGTGTCGAAGACTAGTTCCTCCTGGGTCCGGGCATCGAGAAAGAAAGGCTTGGGCTTGAATTCGTCGCTCTCTGTGGTCGAGGCTGAAGTTGTGGAGGACCCGGGCTTTCGTTGACGAGCACCTGACGTAGTATCAACGGCATCGAAGATCGGGGACGGCGGTTGGGATGTTTCCTGCCCGGAGCTTTCTTGCCCAGAGCTCTCCTCATCGGACAAGCAATCCTCGGTATAGGGCCGGAACTTGCCGCCCTGGATCGGGGGGAGAAAGTTCAGCCATGGACCGTCGATGCGACCGATCTGGAAGGACAGCATTCGTTGGCGCGCTTCTTTCGAGTGTAGCCTGCATGAGAGAGACCCCTGGGTCAATGGGTTGTTCCCATCCGGGGAACTAGGGCCAAGGCCACGTACGCATTGATTTCATCCGTGGCATCCTTGCCAACCATATGCCTGATAGACTTGTCACCGCCGGGATGGTAAGGAATCCAAGCGTCGACTTTTAGGACGCGATTGTCGAAGATGATGACATGCTTGCCGTCGGCAATGAGGCCTTCGATATACCGACGGGACAAGAGGGTGTCCTTGCGGGTCGCGGCTAGCGAAGGAGCGGTGACCATGGTAGGAGTACCTGTTGTTGGGGTGGGTGGAGGGAGGAAGGAAGGAAGGGAGTCTAAGGACCAGCTTAGAGCATCATATGGGAGGGGTAGGGAAGTGGTGTGAGGTAGACGGGAGGGGGGAGGGATAGTAAGAGAAAGAAAGAAAGCTGTTGTTGAAGTGATGCGGCTTCCCGGGGGGGATGTTGTGGTGGTATTATTGTAACTAAAAAAAAAAGCGGGGACGCAAAGGTGAAACGTGCCGGCGATCGTCACCCGATCCATCCAGTGTCATTCCACCCACATTCATCATCATCATCAGCCTTCCATTATTATTCCTTCCCCCCCGACTTGCCTCCCTCTTTGAACCGTCTCTTCTGCCCCCAAACCCAGACCTGGCTTTGGTCCGGTCCCTCCGTCCGTTCTGATTGTGTCAGCGTCGTATGATCCAGCATGGCCGCCAACCCAGGAGAGGTATAGTCACCACTCACCACTCACTACTCTCTACTCTCTACCTACTCCTACTCCTACTCCTACTCCCCGGTGTGCGCGGCCACACCAGGCATCGACCTATCCGTCATTCTTCTATCTAGACCCATGGTGTGGATGTTCTGACTCGGTCTGGCTGGCCCTTTCTGACAGGATTCCCTCTCGCCGCTGATCCAAAAATGGCTCGAGTGGGACCAGGTGAGTCCCCTGCATTTGTCATATCTCTCTGGGTCTCTCCACCACCGGCCAGCTGCTAAATGCTAATCCCCCATCCCAGGATCCCACCACCCGCGGGGAAATTGAGCGGCTCCGCGATGCGGGCGAGTTGCCGGAGCTGCAGCTGCGCCTGCAAAAGAGTACGTGTGGGCTCGAGACTTGCTTCTTCTGATCTCCTCGTACCAATCTAGGCTCTGATTGCTCCCCTGCCTGTCATGTCTAATCGCACCCTGCAGGAATCCAGTTTGGAACCGCCGGTCTCCGGGGTCGGATGGCAGCAGGCTTCTCTTGCATGAACTCCTTGACCGTCATCCAGGCTTCCCAAGGCCTGGCCATGTACCTGAAGAACCACCACGCCGACATTGCGTCCTATGGTGTCGTCATTGGTCATGATGCTCGCTACAATTCCGCCAAGTTTGCTGCCCTGGCCGCCAATGCTTTCATCTCACAGAAGATCCCGGTCTGGTTCTATTCCGAGCCTTCTGTTACTCCAACGGTGCCTTTCGGTGTAACCCAACTGCATGCCGCTGCAGGCATCATGGTTACGGCAAGCCATGTAAGGCTCCCCGCCAGACATTCGAAACTCCCGTAGCTAATACCTCTGGCAGAATCCGGCACAAGATAATGGTAGGTCGACATGGTTTGCTCCTTGACAACCAGACCGGCTCACTGACAGGAATGGTTTATAGGTTACAAAGTGTCTGGTTACGCATTTCCAGCCCGTTTTGATTATCACTAACATGCTCCAGCTATTTCAAAAATGGCGCTCAGATCAATTCCCCCATGGATGCGGAGATAGCCCGATCCATCGAGGAGAATCAGGTCCCTTGGCCTAACGCATGGAAGGATCTGCAGCCGAGTGAATACCTGCGCGCGAAATCTTACGACAATCTCCTGCCGCACTACAACACGGCAGTGTGGCAATACGCTGTGAGTATATCTGCAATCTGCTTGAGCAACAGGGCTAACTGTTAGACAGACATACACTGTCCGGGAATGGAAGCAGCCACAGCCTTTTGTGTATACTCCTCTGCACGGTGTCGGAGGCCTGGTATTCCCTAGCTTGTGCCGTTCAGTTGGTATCAATGATTTCACGGTTGTCGCAGAGCAAGAGAAACCGGATCCGGACTTCCCCACGGTGGCTTTTCCCAATCCTGAAGAAGCAGGGGCACTCGATCTCGCGATGCAGACGGCAGATCGGGAGGGCAAGGATCTCATCATAGCACATGACCCAGATGCAGATCGCTTCGCTGCTGCTGAGAAAGTGAAGTATGTTTTCGCTGCCCCTAACTACAGATCCTACGCTAATACGACTCTGTTGTAGCGGATCATGGTTCAACTTTACCGGAAATCATCTCGGAGTGCTTCTAGCATCACACCTATTCGATTCGCTGGAGACTATCGACAGCGATACACGAATCGCCGTGCTGAACTCGGCCGTCTCTACGTGCATGCTAGAGAAAATGGCAAAGGCCAAGGGCATGCATTACGAAGAAGCCTTGACCGGCTTTAAGTGGATGGGCAACATAGCGCGCAGACTGGAGGAGCTGGGATACTATGTCCCGTTTGCTTTCGAAGAAGCTCTTGGCTACATGTTCCCGGAGGTGTGCTATGACAAGGACGGCATTTCCGCCGCTATGGTTTTCTTGCTGGCCGAAGCCAAATGGAAGGCACAAGGACTCACCCCATATATGAAGCTTCAGCAACTTTTCAAGGAACATGGACACCACGAGACTCTCAATACCTACGTGCGTTCGTCAAGCATTGATCTCACAATGAGCCTGTTCCGGAAAATTAGGTCTGGGCCTTTCAGCGCTGGAAAGTCCTTCGGTGCATTTAAGATTCTGAGGTGGCGAGACCTGACGGAGGGTTATGATTCCGGAACAGACGACCACCGCCCGACGCTCCCAATTGACAAGAGCAGCCAGATGCTGACACTATGGCTGGATCGGGGTGTTAGATTCACCATCCGTGGCTCAGGCACAGAACCTAAAGTCAAGAGTAAGTTGCAACACAACGGATTTCAGCCAACTGCTAACGATGTATGTTAGTCTATATTGAAAGCAGCGGGTCTTCGCGAGACCAGGCCGTCGAGGCTGTCCGTGATACATTCCTGACTGTCCTAAAAGAATGGGTTGAGCCTTTTGCCCCATCAATGACCTACAGCAAGCAACAAATTACCTCCTCTGGCACTATCTTCCAGGTGGAGTGAGCAGCCAGTGATAGTGGTGATGTGCTTGGGCGATCTTTATGTTCACGAATGACCATAGAACACAGGGGACATGACTCCCTCTGTGTTGCCATTTCAGCAATACTTGCATGAATACGACGCAATGAATCCACTGTGACTTTTTTTCAGCCAGTACCACGGCCGTAGTAGGCCATGCAGAATATGCCTCTTGCCAGAGGTCTAGGCATTGAGCTAGGATGAGCTAGGAGGACAACCTACATGCCAGCAAACTCCGTATAGCAGCGCAAGTTAGGCCGAGCTGAGTCCCAGCCTGCTTACCATACGCAACATCACACACGTACAAGTCCGTAGTAATTCTTCGGTGCTATCCTTGCGACCCGCAACTTGCTCCTACCCAGCACAATCCACAACCAATTGCTACTTGCAGTACATAATAGGCATATACCACCTTCTCGACGTGTCTTTCATCAATAAGCCTACGGCCTCTTCTCCAAAGCCACATCCTGTCTATCCAGCTCAAAGAAAAGGCAACACCCCCATTTGACTTCTACAATTTCCAAGACTCCAATATGGCAGCGAGGCCCTCATCAATGTGTACAATCCCATGTGATTCTTTTCTCTCTTTGAAAAATCGAGAAATACCATACCATACCTTCAATGGAAAAGAGTAGAGTGACGGGGCAAGCATTCCTTGCGAAAATTGATCCCCAGGGCGCTCGATTGAATAGATCATTTATTCCTGTACTTAGGACCATCCCTCATGGATGTGTGCATGCAGTGTATGTCGGTAGTCAAGCCAGAACAATAAGATAGATGAAAGATGGTGGGTTAGGATTCCCTGGGAGTGTTTTTGGCTTATTTAGGCACACTTGGAGTTACATCTCAACAAGATCCGATATGGTGTAGTGGCTAACATCGCCGTCTCTCACACGGCAGCCGGGGGTTCGATTCCCCCTATCGGAGATTAATTCCTTCTTCATTTTTTATTTATTTTTGTTTATTTAGATCATTTATATCAATAGTGTGCAGGGGTTTACAGGAGTGATGTTGTGATGATTTTTTTGTCATTATGTCTATCGAGTTAAGGGTTTAATCAAGACTATTGATTCGTAAATCTGGATACACAACCAACATAGGAAATATAATGATGTCAATGCTACACGGGATTGGCTAGCGAGGCTAGACTAGAGGAAAGATACAGGATGGCGTGGTTCATGGCAGGGAGCTTAGAAGTGGATGGCCTTGGAGTAGGTGGCCATGGCAGCCTCCTTGAAGGCCTCAGCCAGGGTGGGGTGAGCGTGGCAGGTGCGGGCAATGTCCTCGCAGGAGGCACCGTACTCGACAGCCAGGGTGGCCTCGGCGATCATCTCGCCGGCGTTGGGGCCAACGATGTGGACACCGAGGATACGGTCGGTCTCAGCATCGGCGATGAACTTGACCTGACCCTCAGTCTCGAGGTTGGTCTTGGCACGGGAGTTGGCGCTGAAGGGGAAGGTTCCGACGCGGTACTTGACGCCGGCGGCCTTGACCTCCTGCTCGTTCTGGCCAACCCAGGCGACTTCGGGGTGGGTGTACATGACGCTGGGGATGCAGCCGTAGTTGACGTGGCCGTAGCCCTTCTTGATGTACTCGACGGCAGCAACGGCCTCCTCCTCGGCCTTGTGGGCAAGCATGGGTCCGAAAGTGCAGTCACCGATCACACGGATGTGGGGGATCTTGGTGCGGTACTCCTGGTCGATGACCAGACGGCCGCGGTCGTCCTTCTCAATGCCGACGTTCTCCAGGGCAAGGCCCTCGGTGTAGGGGCGGCGACCGATGGCGACGAGGACAACATCAGCGTCGAGGGTCTCCTCCTTACCGCCCTTAGCGGACTCGACATTTAGGGAGACAGTAGCACCGCTGTCGTCACCCTTCATCACCTTGGTGCCGGTCTTGAACTTGATACCCTGCTTGGCGAGGATCTTCTGGGCCTGCTTGGCGATGTCGGCATCCATACCGGGACCACCAATCTGGTTCAGGAACTCAACAACGGTGACCTCGGAGCCGAGGCGGGACCAGACGGAGGCCTGTAAGAGTAAAATAGTGAGCAAGGGCTTTCAAAACAGCATAGCCGGAACTTGTTCCACCAAGTATACGTACCATTTCCAGACCGATGATACCACCACCGATGACGATCATCTTCTTGGGGACCTCCTTCAGAGAGAGAGCACCAGTGCTGGTGATAATTCTCTTCTCATCAATGTTCAGGCCGGGGAAGGGAGTAGCCTCACTACCGGTGGCAATGAGGATGTTCTTGCCGCGCAGAGTCTGCTCACCACCCTCAAGGAGGTTGACCTTGACGGTGTTCTGGTCGACGAAGGCACCAGTACCCTTGAAGTAGTCGACACCGTTCTTCTTGAACAAGAACTCGATACCCTTGGTCAGGCCCTCGACGGAGGTGTCCTTGGCCGCCATCATCTGCTCGAGGTTGAGCTTAACATCACCGACCTCGATACCGCGCTTTTTCGTGTCGTGGAGGATCTGGTGGTAGAGGTGGGAGTTGTTCAGCAGGGATTTCGAGGGGATACAGCCGACGTTCAGGCAAGTACCACCCAGACGGCCACGCTTCTCGATACATGCGGTCTGTCGGAATGCAGCAGTTAGCGGACTAGTCCAGCCGGACCACTTCGGGGACTGATATAGATCGCACCTTCAGGCCCTCCTGACCGGCCTTGATGGCAGCAACGTATCCAGCGACACCACCACCAATGATGACAAGATCGTGTTCGCCTATGCATAATCCAGCTGATGGTTAGCCAGGGCCGTTTCTCGGGAGCGCAGGCACCGCCCGCGACAGGGCGGTTCGCACAACGGGGACGTCACCAACCTGATTCAGAGGCATAGCCACGTTGTGAGCGTCCGAAGACGGCGAGAGAGGGAACAGCGACAAAGTTGGAGGGGACGGCCTTGGGACCGGCAGAGCGGAGGACAGCCCGCGGCGTCGCCCGCGGCAAAAGACTCCGGAACATGGTAAAAAGGAGGAGAAAAGGCCAAGGAAAAAGTCGGAGGAGTTAGAGATGACAGCAGACAACCAGTCCTCCCAGTGAACAAGCAACGGAGGAGAGGGGAGGGGGCAATTGCGGGTGGAAGGAGACGGGCTCAGGTGGTTAGAGGATGATAGGGAAAAACGATGTTGGGACAAGAAGCTTTCTGGAGGTTCGCCAGCAAAAGCTGGCGGCCCGGTATCGATACTGTATCCCTCGCGTATGTAATCATCCGCCCCAGCGACCGTCGGGTCAATTCGGCTAACCTTTGCCATGTTGCCGGCCTCCTGTTGAACCGGATTTCCGCTACAGGCACTGTCTCCTCAATCCCCAGGGGTTTCTCCAGGATCAGACTTCCGGTGCTTTGTCCGTGTGGCTCGATGCAGAGCGTGAGAGGCCGTGCCGGTGGTGAGTCCGCCTGGATACCGGTCAGTGTTACGGCCCAAAATACCTCATAGAACCACCCGAACGGGTAAGGAACCAGACTCTCACCCGTTTCCAGTCACTAGAAATAATAAAGGGAACCACTGCAGCACCCCCTCCAGTGAGACCTGCATCCTGTGCTCTCCGGCACCTCAAATGAGCAAACTTACCAGCCTCGCTAGTACCCGCGGGTAACTGGCCAAGCACCTGGCGTCATCAAGGCTATTGTCGGCATTATTTTATGTCACGCCCCTCCGCTCTTGGACCTGTACCGCACCTAGTAAAAGGTCATCAATGGTCTTGGACCGGAGGTTATTGGACTGGACGGGCGGGCGAGCTGAGTGGCTCGGAATCAATCTAAGCCAATCTGTTTCGGTGTGTTGGGTGTGTCCATGGTGTGACTCGGGTGAGCTTTGACGGACATGACGTGGGTAGTATTGGTAGAGCACGATCTTTCGGAGCATGGACGTCCGTGGCTTTAAACTAGGCTTGAGAAAGGTCACTCGCGTGGAGGTGGTGGACTTTATCATCCAGACTACAGTTATTGGACCGCTTCGGTTCATTGGGCGTGCTTCCTAATTGCAGACTTGGGCAGTTGGTTCCTTGAGAAGTTTGATGCCAGTAGGGCCTGATAGGATAGATGTTAGAGTTTGGGGATCGTATGCTGGGTTTGTAGATAGTTTTATCCTCGGCAGCCATCTGATACTGTGCAGATCCGGAAATATATTGTTTCGCCCAAGGTTCTATCCGAGATCAAGAACCGATGAGGCGGGGACCACCCTGGAGACTCAGCCAAGACAGTACTGATAGTAGTAGTCCAAGGGAGTTGGCAGAGAGATATAATATATGTCAGTAATCAGCAGTAACTAACTTCTAGTGACTGTTATATACTCTAAATAATTATCAAATTTTAATTGTGACGGTTTAGCGGGGCGTCAGAAATAACTCCCATTCGCGGCTTCTGCGGCCTTATGTCTCCCGCTTGATCTATACTATAAGCCCGGCACCTCTCCCTCGAAAGGCGACGCATTTTCTCTTTAGTCTGCCTCAGCTGGAGCACTACCCAATAAATTGCCTCCGAGCCATGGAGCTCAATTTTCCATCCCGGCTTTTACATGATGAGCTTTGAAATTCCTGAAGCGAAGGGGTGACTTGCACATCTATTGTCGATGAATGAATTCCAAGAGGTGATTGTCAGCAGAAGGGGATGGGTATAAGATTTATTGAATGATCGGAAGAAACAGAAGAAGGAACAGAAGACGAAATGAAAGATGAGACGGAAGAAGAAAATAGGTGATGGAAGACAAGGTAGAAGAAAGTGAAGTAAAACAAGATGTGTATAGAGTCATGAAACTGGGCTTTCTTTCACTCTTACTTCTCTCTTATTATCCCCGAATCTTCTACCTTCATCTGTTTTCTCTTTCTCTTCCCCTTCTCTATCATCTGGGCACTCTCTCTCTCTTCTCTATATCTGTTCCTATTCCTATCTAATTCAGCATCTCATCCTAGTCGTCTTACGCCCATTCCTCTCGAGAAAGTCGCGAGACCAGGGCTCAACACGCAATGATTGAGCTCTCGGCACAACATCCCAAGCCCCTGCCTTGTGACCTGGCCGTCCACTCCAGAGAGCGTTTGTGCTTTGGATCCAACTCCACAACCTTGTCCTAGTGTCATAATACTCTTTCTGACTCAGGAACTGGCTCTTTGGATATATCACGCAATAATCCACCCGCAGCATGTCTATGGGTCACTTTTGCCTTTATAGCAGTGAACCATGTATTGATATCACTGCCATGGAACATAAGCCAAGATGGTTTGCTGCGCAGCGGTTCTTGACGCTCGAAGGAGAGCATGGGCTGTAATAACTCGCCCGCCTGGTCTCTCTCGCAAGCAAATTCGAAGAAGTTCTGTCTCCTCACAAGTACCTGCCGTCTGTTCTATTCTGGAGCTTACTGTTAGGTACACATTGAACGTGCCGGAATTGCCCGAAGAGGGATGTCGGAGAAGGTCCGCCGCAGCGTCTCCGGCTTCCCTCTTTCGCGCCGTGTTCCCCCACCCGCCTAACCTGCTAACCAACATCCCCCGGACAATCCCCACAATCCACTCCATCCACTCCATCCACTCCCTCTCATGGCCCAATTCGTGACTACTGATGGGCCTGGACCCCTCCCAACCCCAAGGCACGGCTGCCAATCGTTCAATCTTATCGCTGGTTTTCCGTGCCCCGCCAATTTCACTGCCGACTGGAATCCTCACCACACAATGAGTGATTTCTCCAGGTGCTAGCCCCAGACGTGGCCTTTCGAGCAGCCAGGCCTGTCTTGATCAAAGGATTCTGTCATTTCCCATGTACCATCGATATAACACGGCAGAGTGCTGCATTTCTCCCAACTTCGGGCATTGGACCACAATCCTTCGGGCTGCAGCTCGGTAGGATAGTCGCTGGCCGGATAACCGATTTGGACTCGTCTGCGCCCCGGTCTGGGGTCATTTCCCACCCCTCCCCCCAGACTTTCTCGTGCGGGCCCCGTGTTCAAATGGTGTCCTTGCTTCGGGTGGAACCGAGGCCTTGGTGTAGCTGTTTGATTTCCTCCCACCCGGGATGTAACCATATTCGACTGCTCGGGCTGGACCACGGCCCTACGCCGTGGCTTTACTTCCTGGAAATGGTCGATCGTTAGGCGCAAATTGAAGCGGTGCCACTTACAGCTCTGTCTATTTAACCAACGTGTAACCCCACTATCTTAACTAGGTTTCTTGTCCTATGGTTATATATCCAGTGGTTAGTCCGTCAGTCTGCCCGAAGTATCTCAGGCAAAGAAGAGGTCCCGCCTATATACGTCTGTCCCTATACTACAAGCACCTATCCTAGTATAGTCACCATGAGTGATTTAATACCGTCGTGGAATATTGTCCACAAACTAGAGAAGCGCAATCTTCTCATTGCAATCAACTGTATCGCAGGCTTGTCGATCCTGTTCTTCGGATACGACCAGGGAATGATGTCGGGGGTGAACAACTCCAAGAACTATATCGACCTTATGGGCTTCGGCTACACCAAGATGGTAGACGGAGAGCTTACTCCAGTTGTCACAGACAGTCTGCTACAAGGAGGGATTGTGTCCGTCTACTACCTGGGCACATTGTGCGGCGCGCTGGTTGGTGGCTGGATTGGTGATAAGATTGGTCGAATCAGGACCATCGCCTCAGGCGCTGTCTGGGCGGTCTTGGGGGCTTCCTTGCAGTGTGCAGCACAAAACCATAACTGGATGATCTGTTGTGAGTGACCCAGAACGCTAACCAGGTCATCCCACTAACGTATCCACTGCAGCACGTTTCATAAACGGCATTGGAACGGGCATTCTGAATGCTATCGTGCCGGTCTGGGCTACGGAGACTGCTGAACACACCTCCCGTGGAAAGTTTATTGCAATTGAATTCACCCTGAATATCTTCGGTGTCGTGGTTGCCTACTGGCTGGAGTTGTACGTTTTCGACCCCTTTGTCAGAGTTTCTCTAATCAGTTCAGTGGACTGTCCTTTATCGATGGTGGCAAATCTGCATTCCGCTGGCGGTTTCCTATCGCGTTCCAGATCATCTTCTTGCTTCTCCTGTTCGCTTCGGTCTGGTTCTTCCCCGAGTCGCCACGTTGGCTGGTCAAAGTAGGTCGTGAGCAAGAAGCGCGTTATATCCTTGGCCGTCTTCGAGGGAGTAGTGGTCACGATGCAGTCCGCGCCGAGGCTGAATTCCGGGACATTCAAAGCGTTGCAGAGATGGAACGGACGGTGAACTACAACACTTCCTATCTGTCCATGCTTTTCGGCTACAAAACCGGCAAATTACATCTTGGGCGGCGTGTACAACTTGTCATTTGGCTACAGATTATGCAGGAATGGGTTGGTATTGCGGGTGTCACTGTCTGTATGTTGACCTCCATAACGAAACTGCTGGGCCGACCTAACGGGGACAGATGCGCCGACCATCTTCAGTATCGCCGGTTTCGATTCCATGAAGAGTCAATGGCTTAGCGGGCTGAACAACGTCTTCTACATGGTGAGTACTCCTTTTGTTCCATGAAAACCTCCGGTCCCTCTTGTGCACTGCCTCTCAACGACCGGCTGCTCCATCGGACTCCTGTCCCACAGTCCTCCGCCACTTCATGCGTTGGACCAGTTCTGCATTCTTGTTATTTAGGTGGTACAGTCACCCGCATCTGAAGCCCCGTTGGTTGCGAACCTTTCCTGCATATGGGTCGTTATCTTCATCTCCGTCTGCCTTCAATGCTATCCCCATCGAAAATTCTCGAGCACATTCCCTTGCTTTTTATCTTTCCCCAGCCCAGCCCAGCCTCAGCCGTCCTCGCACTAACGACACAGTTCGCTACGCTCGTATGTGTCTTCACCCTCGACCGTATCGGCCGTCGGTGGACCCTATACTGGGGAGCCGTCGGCCAAGGAATCGCCATGTTTCTAGCCGGAGGATTCTCCCGGCTGGCAATCAATGCTCGAGACTCGGGTGATGCTGCGCGCGCCAGTTCATTCGGAGCCGCCGCCGCCGCAATGATATTCATCTTCACTTCAGTCTTCGGGGCGACATGGCTAACAGGTACGTTCTACCCTGTTTTGCCTGACTGACCCTCACTAACATATACACGTGCAGTGCCATGGATTTATCCCGCCGAGATCTACCCACTGGCCGTGCGAGCCCGCGGAAACGCCTGGGGGGTTGTTGGCTGGAGTATCGGTAACGGATGGCTGGTGAGTTGATCCTTCCACCTTTTAACCCTCCAAACAAACAAGCTAACCAGTTAGACCCTACTATGCCCTGTAATGTTCAGCGCGATCGGCGAGAAAACTCTATATGTTTTTGCAGCCAGCAACGTCATCACAATCCCGATGGTGTGGGCGCTGTACCCAGAGAGTAACCAGCGGACCTTGGAGGACATGGATCTACTCTTCGCATCGGATAGCCCATGGGTATGGGACGCCGAGAAAACGTTCCGGCAATTGAAGGCCGAGAATCCTGGATACGTGGAGACGGCAGCTCGGAAGGGGAGTGTAGTGGTTGAGCATGTACAGGATGTATAGATGAGACGGCTCAGCCTTGACCGATCATACATCATCTAGAGTGCATATCACATAAGTTAAACGACTTGATGCCTATATTTGAACTAGCATGTAATACACAACGTCAAAGCATGTGAGCCCTCCTACCATGTAGAGCATGAATCTCCAACATATCCACTGAGATCTGCCCTAATGTCCCAGATCAATTCGATGTAATATTCAATTTATAGACCACATACTACAAACCTTATCACACAACTACTGGGGTTATAGCTCAGTGGTAGAGCGCTCGCTTTGCATTCCTACAGCTAAATTGCGAGAGGTCGAGGGTTCGATCCCCTCTGACTCCATTTTTTGGCCCATACAAGAATGGTACCACCTATATACACTTTTTTGTATACTTGGTTGGAACTATGTAAAATACGTAGTAGTTTATCTTTTACCTCTGGTTAAAGTAGAGCAATATGGATAGATACAAAGGAGGTGTGATAAATACTTAATGCACGGGTGGCTGGAAGGGATGAATGAGTGAATGCCCTATGTTCCCGGCCTCACAGAAAATGCCTCACCTACAACGAACGGTATCGGGATGCTAATTATGGATATAGGTCATAGATATAACCGTATCAACATCCCGGCCTAAGACCAAGGTTATCTGCACATCGCAGATTGTAGTCGAGACTAGCAGATTTTGGTCTGGGTGTTTCCCTCCCTTCTCTGGCTTCGTCTAAAGGATAGATGAGTGCGGTGTGGTCGAGGAGGGTATTATGTTGGGTATAAGACGAAGAAATCCGGTAAATGAACGCAGGATGTTGAATAAAAGGAGATATTCTATCGTTGGAACGGAAATATAAACAAGTGGGTGGTAGATACCGAAGAAGCTGGGTGATATACTCTGCTACTAGTAGTTGGTCTACCTAATGTGATAGTCAGTTATGGGAAACTTTACCAGGTGAGTCGGTCTTTCACTTTGAGATGAAAAGAGAAAAGAAAGACAAGACCCACCACACTGGAATGGAACAGAAGAACACAGACAAGGGATCATTCAATGCTTGATGACTCGTCAGGTTCTCACTCTATTTAAGATGGCAGGTTAACAAGCTCAAGCTCAACCTCACACTCACCTATGTTCTCAGAAACACCCTCTCTCCCTCCTCCTCCTCCCTCCTCCCCTTTTCCACGAACAGATACACCCGAGCGAAAAGCAAGACGTTCTAAATCTTGATAACATGGATTACTTCAGTGCCCTTCCCCTGGAATTAAATGTTCTTATCCTCGAGAATGTGGATGACTGGGTTAGTCTCGAACATCTGATCCAGACCTGCCCAACGGTGGCTGCACTCTTCGAGCCGGGCCACGACGATCCAAACACAGCAGCGAATCCTATGGCTCTGGACATCGTCAAGTGCGTCCTAGCCAATGATCCCATCATGAGCCACAAGCTGGACCGTCTTTTTTGGCTCTGTGCCAACCTTCGCCACTCCCCCACATACATCAAAAACGACACCATCGCCAGATTCGTGAGCAACGACAATGAAGATCGAACCGAATCCTATGAGTGTACGATGACTCGAACCGAGCTACGGGAAATGATACGCGTGGCTGCGAATATCCGCCGATTAGCCTGCGCGTGTTTGACATCCTTTGTTAGATGTCTGCAAGATAACCAGCCCCGATGCTCAAGCCGAGATATGAGAATTGAAACCCAACCCACGCGGCATCACTTGTTGTTGTTGCACGCCGACCCGCCCTCGTGGATAGAGGAGTATCGGGTCTACCGCGCTCTATGGAGGTTGCAACTGCACACCGACCTCATCGGAGCTGGGGTTTGGCCGCCGGATGATTCTGGCCACCTGATGGATCAGTTCATGAGCGCTTGGAGCTGTAGCAAAGAAGTGACAGCGGGTAGGGAGATGCGATCTGTGTCCGAGTGTCTGGTGAAGTTGTACGGGAAGAGCCGGACGGATATTCCATGTTCGAAGAATCAGGGCTCGTCCGAATTGATCACTTGCATGCCCGACACGTTCGTGGCCGATGTCAACTTGTGGGTGTGGAGTCTTCCAGCCCAGCCTAATGATCTGACTCAGTTCTGGGGCCCGGGGCCTGGACGGGGAGGACGGTGCAACATAGTGCATTGGTTCTCGCAACTGAGGGAACGGTTTCATATATCTGAGTTTTACTTGGAAAATGATACCGTAGTGGACTTGGCATTATGGGCAATGGGAATGTGGATCTGGAGTGACCAGCGGCTGCGTGAGGCGAGACTCTGGCGAACAGAGGTTGATCCAGCTGAGGGGTGGGTGGGAGTTATAGGGGGATGGAAAACGGGGGTTAAAAATAAAAGTTGGAGTCAGAGGGGATCGAACCCTCGACCTCTCGCATTTTAGCTGTAGGAATGCAAAGCGAGCGCTCTACCACTGAGCTATAACCCCAGTTTGATGAGATTTTTGATTACATAATGTTACATATAGAGGAGAGGGGATCACTTGGCTGTAGGTGATGGCTTAGTCTGGTGTTGTGGTTGGGGTGACTATTGCTGTTGAGTGTGGGGTTGGCTTAATCGCTTCTTGGTACACTTGTGGGGGCCATGGGGGAACTATATTTGTGGTTTCCGTTGTTTCTATGAAATACAATGGCATCTAAAAGCGTTTCTTTAGAATGTCTATCCACGGGATGACTAGAACAGTTGGAGTGTGTCAATATTGAGAATCTATTTCTATAAGGTGGGTTGAAATTATTATCTTGCTCCTTTCACTGAAATATGGCACTCGAATTCATATGGAGTTAGCGGGCTGGAATCCCACAATGTATTGTTGTTCTTCCAGCCTAGTCTATCCCTGATGCCAGCATTTAGACACATCATGGTATTAACTGGAGAGCGTCGCTGCTCATCTGTGATTTGGCCTATTCAGACTATCACGGCTCGGTATTAGAAAACGAACCCACGCCGAACAGAGTGCGTATGGTGTTTCTTTGAACATGCTAAGTGATCCCAGGTGAAGCATAATCACGTCTCTTCAAGCTAGTTAATAACAGATGACAAGAATACTCGAAAGATAAACTCACCAGTAGGAGAAGCTGATTTCATCGAGCCTTCTTCCCTCAAGACATTCCCACCAACAACTTCGAGGGACCAATATTGGTGTAACCCCCGGATTCAGACCATGAACACATCTTTGGAATGATGGTCTTGATAAGTGAATGATTAGAAAGCTGCCAGTAGATCATTTCAATCCAAAGTTGGCTCTGGACTTGGATGGCTTGGCCCGACAGTATCTAGCCATAGTTAGCAGGAACTCAGGCAAGTCTCGTTGGATCACACTAACCCACGCCAACACGCACAAACCGGTATGTATTGACTGAGTGGCCATGAATAGCCATAACTCCCGTTAGACCTGCGTCCGTATTACCACCCAGGCCACCGCTGAAGCCTGGGAAAGCGTCAATTCGATGGCAACTATCACTACCACAACCAAGCAGCTATACAGCTGTAAAGCCCATCGCCATCGTTGGTCTGAGGAGACTTTTATTCCAAAACATCAATGTTGTTTGATAGGTAAGATATTTTGTAGATGGTAGGTTCCTTGTCTGCCGTATGGCTCTACAGAGGAGAACTCGGTTCGTACTCCTCTATGTTATAGCCCTCCTCCATTATGGGTGATAAACAGGGCTCCCTGAAACCAAACCGGGACTGGGCTCCCTCTCGTCCATAGCTGAGGTCTTCGTCCATGTCCTCCGGCTCCCAATGGGAACTTGCAGATCCCCCCGTAGTGGCCAAGGGGGTTTGGGAGTTAGCATAGGGCTGTCTCGCACCGACCACGCGCTCTCGCAGGTCATTGATGCGATCAACCGTGTGTTGGAGTTCACTTTCAAATTCGTCGCAGAAACCCTCGTATCTTCGTGGATCGGGCAGATTTTCACATGCCTGTTGGATTTGTGCTGTGGCCTCGTCTAGCAAGAGCAGCTGCTCTTCGAACTGGCTTGTGACCTGTTCCTGGAATACTTCCCAGATTGTTCCGACCATGCGGGCCCGCTTAGGAGGAAGTGCTATACTGGATCTTTGTTTTTCTTCAAGGATCTGACCCTCCAGGAGCTCGGAGTGAATGCTCAGCCGTAATGATAGAAGTTTGATGCGATCTGTCAGCCAGGACGCCTCTTCTTTGACGGTCCCAAGCAGCCTCAATATATCTTCTCTCACCTGGTCTCCGTTATAATTGAAAAATGAGTCCTGGGTGATTAAGGTTTCTTCCTCGAGGGCCGCATCACTTTGCACTTCCTTCTCCTCCACGAGACGGATAGTATAAACAACTGGGTCCTGGGCGTCGCATTCATGCTCATAGACGTCGTTTTCAGATATTTCAGGCCGTTTCTGGTCCGCGATAATCAACGTGAATGCGAGGCACATACACGAGACGACAAGAATGATGCGCCGCGTAGCTGACTCATAGGCAAGAAGCAGGTTATTAGCGATACATGAGACGACGAGAGTAATACGCCGCGTAGCTGACTCATAAGCAAGAAGCAGGTTATTAGCGATACACGAGAGCCACTGCGAAGCTTGTCCAGACAGAGATAAATTAGCTTCACTTGGCTTTTCTTCCGGAGTAACCAGTATATCACTGGCGTCATCATCCTCGATAGCCCCAGCTTTAAGGAGAGCCTCAACGGCCCCTAGCAGCAGCGCAGAGTTGGCTTCTCTGAAAGGCCGCTTATCACGCCAAGGATATGGGTTATTTGCGATATGAGAAGCCAAGGGCGAGAAAATAGGATCATCGAGGTAGGAAAGGGTGTAGTTTGGAAATGGAGCTAGCTCTGGCTCACGGTAAAGTAAGAGCCCAGGCGAAGACAATGGATAGAGGATGCCAATAAGGGCTGTCAGGAGTGACAGAAGAGCGGTAGCACACGGAGTCATGATTAACAGAGCTTCGAAAAGATGTCAACGACGATGAAGATGATGAGGAGGATAACCAATAGGTTGTGGAAGAAGAGGGGAGAAGAGAGAGGAAGCAGAAAGAAGAGGGAGCTGGCTGGAAGGGCAGGCGGAAAGGATATATGTGGCTGGGGGGGAATCCCGGCACTTGCCTTTACTTGCCTTCACCTGAGGAGGAACTCTCCTTTGCATGATATTCACGGCCAAGTCCATGATACGGCTTGGGTGAATGTTTCGACCGCGTTCAATGCTTACGAATGTATTTTATTCATCTCAATAGACTATCGGGTCCAAGGGTATCATCATCATGTCCAGTCACTGCAAATGCGACTCCAAATCCAAGACAACTATCAAGCCGCCTGTTCGACCAGGTACTTTCGACAAGCATCTTTCAGCTTGTTGATCCGCCGCTGGGTATGCACAAACACCTCTCGGTACATATCCAGACTCTCCTGCACCACTTGCTGTCGAGTCCGCAAGCCAGCGCAGATCTCCCGCATGCGGAGCTCCATTTCCTTACGGAGGAACGGCTTGCTCAGAGAAGGGCTATCGGGCATACCAGCAAAGACATTATCGTATCCTTCCACCAAAGCAATGCCCAGCCGAGTGGGAATCAGCTCTTTGACTGCGTTCCGACCGCTTCCGCGCGAGTGAACAGCAACGTACTGTCGCTCTTTGATCTTGGCAATGTGCTCGGCCATGGTAGCATCCGTGCCGATTCCATTGGCGTCCATCAGACCAATCAGCTCCGGTTCGGTCAGATAGTTCGGGGGCGTGGTCTTTCCATCGAAGATCTTGGCTTCAGTTGGTTCGAACAGCTCGCCCATCTGGAAGTTTGGGAGCTGCTGACTGCTCTCCCATTTGTCGTAGACGTAGACGTCCAGGTAGTTTCGTTCGAGAACCAGGAGGCCCTTGGCGTGGAAAAACTCGTCGCCGTATTGGATTTCGATTTCGGTCGATTGACCTTTGGCATCTTCGGAGCAGCAGGCCAGGAAGCGTCGGACGACGAACTCGTAGACTTTCTTCTCATCGGCGGTGAGAGCGGTGGGTGCGACCCAACAGATGGGATGTATGGGTGGATGGGCTTGATCGTTGTGTCGACCTGCTCGGGGGGTCTTGAATGCGCCGTCCAGGAGACTGCAAACATTAGTGACTGCAGGAAAGGGAAACCTGGGGGGTGCGTACTGCCGAGCATATTGACCCCAGTTTCCGTCTGGTAGCTGCTTTTCGACTAGCTTCTTCAAATCGATTCCTTTATCAAATTGGTCTGTTTCGGTACGGGGGTAACTGATAAACCCCTTTGTGTAGAGGGCTTCTGCGACCTGGATAGTGTGAGCCGTTGCTCAGATACATCGCAAAGACTACACGCCCTACCTTCATGATTGTTTGACTGTCCATGCGGAGGTATCTACTTCCCATCATTTGCAGGTCCACCGTCGTCAACGGCAGAGGCCTCCATTTGCTGGTGGGCTTCTGGCTGACCTTGGTGACCTTGGCTTTCTTTGCCACCAGGCACCGTTCCAGCATCACCGTCACCGCTGCCCTGTCGAAAAGATGGACGCGTTTCCAAAGAAAATTGACCTTGATGTCATCCCGTGAATGCATGACCTTGATGCCCCAAAACGTTTCGGGTTTGAAGTTCTTCACTCGAAGGTAGCGATCAACTACGAAGCCGAGTGTCGGGAATTGACAGGATCCTGTTCGATGGTTAGAGCAGACACACAGAGTAGCCCATATACATAACTATAGCTCGTACCATAGCTTATGATGGTTTCCTGCAGAGCTGCAGAAAGAGGTTTTAACTGAAGAGTTTGCAAGCGAGTGAACGCCGCACCGATCCGGAGATCGAGTTCAATTCTGGCCGCTACTGCATTTGCTTGGAGGTCATCTAGCTCAATGAGCGTCCGAGCAGCATTGAGCACATGGCTTTATTCTGCAAGTCAACGACCCAGTGAATATGGAAAGGGGGTTGGCACTCACGCTTTCTCCGTGTTGCTGAACCTGGCCCGTTTAACGAGGATGCGAGCGTTTCCTTCCTTTGCTTGCTTGCGGATTTCCGTTCCAATATGCTCACCTTCTCGATCGCAGTCAGTCCAAATGAAAAGGGCTCTGCATCGCTTGGCTTGTTCCTGAATATTGGCCGCAATGGCTACTTTATCCTGACGCCAGATATCAGCAGAGACTTTATACTCGAAGGTGCGTAGGACTATATACTTCGGCCACCGACTCGCGCACTGGAGCTTCAAAAAGCGCGGCTGGTGGGCAGGACAACCAGGTTTTGTATTGACGCTCGAAATCCAGTCCTGTCAAATGGCCAATGACACTGGTCATGGTCACGGAGCAGGTGCCCCAAGGACCTCCAAAATTGAAGTCGAATACATAATTCTTCACATACTGGTTGCCCCGGATGGATATCTACAGCTACTTCAGTATCAATTACTCCCTAGGAAACACTGGCAACTTACTGTTTGAAAGGAGCCACCGGACAAGTGCTGGGCCACAGCTTTGGCGATGGCTGGCTTTTCAGCCACGCACAGCACCCTTTGAACTGGCATGACAGCAGGCCTGAGTTGAGCTGGAAGACTAAAGCAGGCCCATTACAGAGCCTCCTTGGGAAAAGCTACCGGAGAGGGATTTAATGAACATTGCCGCGTTGCGTATTGCAGTAACTAGTACCTACTTGCCTCGAACGCGAAAAAGACGCGAGTCACGGGGATGGTGCCTTGGTGCCTTGCCATCTTTATGCCTGAGGCAGCAACACCACCGTTGCCATAACATTTTGTTGTTTGGGTTCCCGGCGGTTGTTGTTGTTTTCCCAATCCCATCCCACCTTTTCCCACCAGAGCTCTCTCTCCACTCACATGCGAGAGCTTTCCCATCACCCCAGCAGCAACTGACTCCAGTCCAGCTTACCAAGATGGCGCTACCACTCCCTGACGTCAAGTCCGTCGCCGACTGTGCATCCTTCGGCCACACTGTCCTACCCTTCCTGTCGCAAATCACAGCGCTTCCCGAGCGACTGCAGCTGGCGGCGGCGGCCAAGGATGTCGACATCCTCAAGGACATCTATCTCTCCACCAACCCTTTTATCACGGCCCTTGGCTTCAGTTTATTCCTCTCCATCATCCTCCTGATCGCCTCGGAGATCAACCGGAACTACTCCCAGGTTGACCGGTTCTGGAGCATCCTCCCATCCGTGTACAATGTGCACTTTGCTGTCTGGGCACGCTTGTCGGGTCTCCGGACCCAGAGTTTGGATATCATCGCCGCCATCATCTTGATTTGGAGTGTAAGCCACCCTGATCATCTACCAATTAGTTGCATGTGTACTAATCCGTGCAGGTTCGTTTGACGTTCAACTACTGGCGCCGAGGTGGCTACTCCATCGGCTCGGAGGACTACCGCTGGCAGATCGTGCGGTCCAAGGTCAACAACCGATTTGCCTTCTTCCTATTCAATATCCTCTTTATCAGCCTAGCACAGTCTTTGCTGCTGCTTTTCATCACGGCCCCGACCTACAACTTCCTCCTTCTCTCCCGCTTGTCGGATCAGAAGTCCTTTGAGCTCCCTGACCTCATCTTCTCCCGTGTCGCCTTCTTCTTCATCATCATTGAATACTTTGCCGACCAGCAGCAATGGAACTTCCAGACCGCCAAACATAGCTACCAGAAGACGGCGCGGATCCCTGACCAGTACAAGGGGCAGTTCGACCCTGAGGATCTGGAGCGCGGATTCGTCGTCAGTGGATTATGGTCCCTTTCTCGCCACCCGAACTTCCTCTCCGAGCAGCTCATCTGGCTCACCCTGTATCTCTGGAACTGCTACCGCACCGAATCCTACGTCCAGTGGACCGGCATTGGCGTCTTGGGTTACCTGCTCATCTTCCAGGGCAGCACTCGTCTCACCGAGTCGATCAGCGCCAGCAAGTACCCCGAATACCGCGAGTATCAGGCTCGCGTGGGACGGTTTGTCCCCCGTCTGTCGGTCAAGCCTAAGTACAAGCGCAGCGGCAAGAAGAAGGCTCGCCAGGCTGTCACCGAGATTGACAATGGCCAGCAGATCGTTCAGGAGGCGGACAAGAAGAGCCAGTGATGTAAGGGTGCGCCTAATGAATTAGGCCGATATTAGCCTTTCTACTCGGTTGTGGGTGTTCATTATATTCTTTATCTGGGGTTTCTTTTTCTGCTTTAAGTTACTTGGAGTACATATTTTGGTGTTGGATTCTCGGAAAACATATATCATCTAGCTTTTTGCATATACCTTTATCATCTTCACTCTTGGATATCCTTGTCAAATCTATGAAAAGTTTGGCCATTGGAGAAGCACACCCCAGTTGGGCGGTCTTTTGTCTTGCGTTCATGTTAGCCAGGTCTATTACATTTAGTTTAATGTGGTGTGAAGAGCCAAGCCAGTAACGAAGCTTTAACCTGAAGGAACGTGATCTGAACCTCCTGCATCTATGTGTTACGATAGGGAGGCGCTACAGCCACACCAGCATCTTACAACCGCCGCTATAACCACACAAATCTCATCCCACGCCTGGTTTCATTACTACCAGACCTTCACCGCTCAGGACACACTATGCTCGAGGCCTTATATTCATGCCCAAGGTGTTGAATGTATGCCCAAGACCCTGAATCCATGCCTGAGGCTGTAATATCATGCCTCAGGCTACTGTATAGTCTCATGAGCGATTTACAGGATACTTTTTCTAGCAGGGCTTATAAACTTGGATCAGATATTGTATAAGCTATCTTGGAAAAAAGTAAACAAGAATTTACACAGACTTCCATGGCTCCACTACAGTGATTTTCCTAAAGCAGTAGGTCCTACGTTACACCTCATCCCCGATGACGATATTGTACCTCAGCCTCAAGAATGCAAACAGAAACTGCCAGGTTTGCAGGCATGACAACACCCCTCGATTTGAGGGTTTTGTAGAAGAGCTAGTCAAGTGCTATCTATACTGGACTAGCTAGGGTTTTAACGGAATCGACTTCCTATTACTAATCGATACCTTACTCTGTTATCTTGAAACCGAAGTTGGAGGGCCCATGACGTAGGCCACCTACTTCTAGTAAATCATCCAAACAATAATGCCTACATACGAGGAAGAAATAGAATAGGATCTAGTCAAATGCCATTGAACAATTCCACTACCGTCTAGTTATCAGAAACCCCAATAAGAATAAGACTACCTACTATACAGATACAATACACAGAGAAGGCTTTCTTGAAGAAGGAAAGCGCATGAGGAGAGGAGAAGAAGGGATGGCTGGGGGCAAAGAGGAGAGGGGGAAGGGAAAGGGAACGCAAGAACAAGGTCCTATTTATAATAACAACCTTGCAAAGGAAAACGAAGCATGAAAGAGTCCGGAAAGCAGCAGAGGGAAATTGTTGGAAAGGAGATGCTCCGTGTGTTCACAATAAAGACAAAACCCAAGCGAGAAACGATATATGATATGACATGCACCCCCCGCCCCATCCTTCGTCAGCCGTGATGTTCCTGCTCGAGAGAAAAGAATGCAGAGTCCAAAAATGCATCATCTATGGGGTAATAGGGGTGGAGTCGCGGCCATCGTTGCCTCCGGGTTGCGTAGGCTCCGGGGGAGCGATGGTGCCACGGCCGTCAAAGTACTTGGCGAACTCGTTGGATTCGGGCCACTCTCTGGGACCGAGAAGACGGATCATGTCATCACGGCTGAGGACCTCCTTGGACAAAAGTTCCTCGGCCACGATGCCGACTTCCTTCTTCTTCTTGGTCAGGAGATCGTGGCACTGCTTGTAGGCCTGGTCGATGATTCGGCGGACTTCGGCGTCGATATCCCGGGCCGTGTCTTCGGAGAAGGGCTTGTGCATCTGGCTCTTCGGGTCCTCCTCGTAGTAAATGTAGCGCAGCTTGGACGACATGCCCCACTTCGTCACCATGGCGGTGGCCATCTGGGTGACCTTGTTGAAATCATCACTAGCTCCGCTGGTGACGGTATCGAAATGCAGCTCCTCGCTGACACGTCCTCCCAGGGTCATGGCCATGCGGTCCATGAGCTGGTTCGCATTCAACAAGTAGGTGTCGCCGTTGGCCGGCAGGTATTGGGCGTAACCCAGGGCCCCTTGGCCACGGGGGATGATAGAAACCTTGAGGAGAGGATCAGCCCAACGGAAGTACCAGCCGCAGATAGCATGGCCGGCCTCGTGGTAGGCGACTGTGCGCTTCTCCTCGGGCGAAAGCACAAGGGATTTCTTTTCCAGACCACCAATCACACGTTCGATGGCTTGCTCGAAGTGCTTCATGGTGACATGATCGGCGTTTTCACGGGCCGCTGTATAACAGTTAGTCAAACATTCCTAGAGTACCTCTTCTGCATAGGAGAGAGTTAACTTACCAACCAAAGCCGCTTCGTTGACGCAGTTTGCGATATCAGCACCAGCGAATCCGGGGGTCAAAGCCGAAAGTCTTCCTTGAAGGTATTCCAGGTCCTCCTTCGTCACAATCTTCTTCAAATGAACGGCGAAAATCTGCTTGCGGCCATCCATGGTGGGCCTGTCAATAGAGATATGCCGATCAAAACGTCCGGGACGCATCAAAGCCTGATCTAGAACGTCGGGTCTGTTGGTACCAGCCAATACCACCACTTGTTCGGAAGTGTTGAAGCCGTCCATCTCGGTAAGAATCTGATTCAAGGTGCTCTCACGCTCATCATTGCCGCCGTAGTTCGACTTGGATCTCGATTTACCAATGGCATCAATTTCATCGATGAAGATAATGCACGGCGTGGCCTTCCGCGCGTTGGCGAACAGATCACGAACTCGAGAGGGACCGACACCCACGAACATCTCGACAAACTCCGATCCACTGACGCTGAAGAAAGGCACGCCAGATTCACCAGCTGTAGCCTTTGCGAGCAACGTCTTACCGGTACCGGGAGGACCCGAGAGAATGGCGCCACGGGGGATTTTGGCACCAAGCTTCTGGAATCGTTCCGGGCTCTTGAGGAAGCTGACGAATTCCATGATCTCCACCTTGGCTTCGTCCATTCCAGCCACGTCGGAGAACTTGATCTTGATATCGGTCTCTTGGTTGAAGCGCTTGGCACGGCTCTTACCAATGCCGAAAATCCCACCCTGGCCACCGCCGCTACCTGCACGTCTAGACAGGAAGTATACACCTGCGAGGAGAAGCACCGTGGGGCCGAAGCTTACAAACGTAGCTGCCCAGGGAAGTTCTCCCTGATACAAAACGGGAATCCGTTCAGTACTGGGGACTCCAAGTTCCTCCTGAGCTGCATCCAGTTTCCGCTCAAAGCCGTCAACGGATCCGATGGTGAAATAGTAGAAGAAGCCAGGGTAAGCAGCGGGCGATTCGGGGTAGACTTGAGACACCGCATCACGGTGAAGCTCCACCCGAACCCGGGAGTTGTTGAGGACAACCAGCCTCTCAACCAAGCCTCTCTCGAGGAAGTTCGATCTAAACTCCTGCCACGTAATCTCGTTGGTGTTTTCGCTGGGAAAGATGCTGCGGTAGACATAGTAACTGACAAGCACGCCGGCCCAAAGATATAAGTTGTCGAATTTGAAAGAGAACATTTCTTGAGGCTCTGGCGGTTTGTTGCCGGACTGCTTTTTGTCTTTCCGTTGTTGTTTTAGCCGTTCTTCCTGTCGCGCTCGTGACTCTTCGTTTGGTTCCTTCTGTGTCTCCTCTTTCTTGAACGCCTCCTCTTTATTAACCGCCTCCTCCTTCTTAGACGCCTCCTCCTTCTTAGACGCCTCCTCCTTCTTAGACGCCTCCTCTGTCGTAGGTGCCTCCTTTCCCTCTTCCGATTGGTTCTCTTTCTTCAACCTCTCCTGCTCGAATTTGTGTGCGTGAACGGCGAAAGCATCGAGCAAACGAGATAGTTCACGTGTCAGCATCATATAAGTCATGACAGATGCAGGGCGCCTAGTTTTGATATGCGTATCAATGAAATCTTTCACTGGCGTGGGAATTCCATGTGCCAACATCACCGTTCGCGCGTCCTCAATCATCAAATGTTGCGAAGCGGGCGCCCGTTCCTTCAAGTGCGCGATGAACTGATCGAGCTGTTCTTGATCTTCCTTGTTGAGCACAGACTCCTCCTCCGCCTTCGCCTTTCCGCCATTGTTCCCGGATCCGGTTCCTGAACTTGCCGTCTTCTTGTTGGCATTGCCATTCGGGGGTTTCGGGCCACCGGAGCGCTGCGTAGCATACGTTCTGGCTCGGTGTGAAAGGATAAGAGTTGAAAGTCTTGACTGTGGACCGTGTGCAGAGAGCGGTCCTGCGCGGTAGATGCAGTCTGTAGCTCTCCTTGAGTATCGAGCAAGATTGCCTGGCCGGCGGAGCATGGAGGAGGCCATGGTCGAGGAAGATGAGCCCGGAGGCTAAGGTAAAGCGGGGAGTTCTAAAATCTCAATGGCAAGTCGAGGCTATTGCAGCCATAGAGGCACCGTTGGAATAAGAGGTGGCGGGGAAGATGAAAGCTCTTGAGGGAGCTGATGTCGCCTGTAAGTCGTTCGCTCACTCCCACGCTTCCCGCCTTCGATTTTCCTCGTTCCGTTCGCCGGCTGAGTCATCCGCCCACCGCCGCCCACCGGCCAGAACCCCAAGGAAGTCGGTGGACTTGATCATCAGCGAGGTTGTTCATGATTTAACATCATTTACTAGTGATGTACAGTGATTTACAGTGTAGATGCTTTCAGTGGGGACGAGACTTGATCCTACTACATACTCTTCCAGAGCATAAAAAGGGAACAACCACCTCATGCGTCCAGTTAGTACAGTCAGGGCCCCCGGTGTTAATTCGACCGGTACTCGGCCAGAAAAAGGGTGTAGAGCAAGTCTTTGTATGATTAAGTCAATATGATACCTGCAAAGAAACGAATTTGGACATGAAAGTTCATCGCAGAGACCACTGGATACTTTTGGATAGGAAAAGCTTGAAACACAGAACAAACCCAACTCCATCATAACCTCAAGGTATCGAACCCGACCAGACAGCCGGAGAGAAAGAACCGTAAGAAACGCATACCCTTTAATCGACATCCATCTCCTCCTGGGTGGTTCCATCCACCAGCATCCGGGTCTTCTTCTGTCTGAGCCGCTCCTCGCCGTGCAGTCTGCTTGCCTTGGTCGTCTCGGATACCAATGGCTGTCCCTCTTCCCGCTCGCGGAGCTCCTTGCGGATGAGGTGCTCGCCCTCCATGACCACCTTGCGATCCTCCTCGCGCTTGCGGTCCCGCGCAAGCTTGCCTGCCAGTCGGCGCTTCGTGAAGACCCGCTCTCTGCGCTGCCGAATTTCCTCCACTCTCTCCATCGCCTTGATCGTAGCCGCAACCAGGTTTCTGTCGTACTTGACGGGGACGTTTCTCTTCTTGGCGAACTGGGACAGCACCAGCGACGAGTCGACAATCATCTCCTTGCCCTTGGCAGCGCGGCCGGCCTTGGTCCACTTCACACGTCTCGGTTGCCGCTTAGCCTTGAAGTTCTGATGGGTGGTAGGAGTTAGCCTAAACCTGATAAGACCGGCGGGGCAATACTTATCATTTACTTCTGCAGAATCTGAACGCCTTGGCATCGTTTCTGACGAACTGGATACCCTTACTAGGGTAAACAGGCCTGGAGCAAAAGTGGCACGTTTCAACTCTATCAGGCAAGTTAGTCAAAAGTCCTTGCCGGTGGACATTTTCGCCCGGCAGAGGAAGATCTCATATGCTCACCTCATGTTGGGCTAATTCTTGAAGTGTGTGAGCCCAAAAGTGGCGGGTAATAAAGTACTTAGAACACCGAAAGATGAGGTCTGAAGCCGCAAAGAACTCCTCGATCCCACTGTCGTGTCGAGAAGATCTCCGATGATCAGGACAGGAACCGCATCAAAAATTGAAGCGTGGAGCAGCCGGCGCTAAACCAGAACGGGGAATGCGGCGCCGCTCCGATTTTTTATCTGGACTTCCGCTTTTCCCCAACGTCACTCCTTCGATATCCCTTCTGCTCTCGTGTCCTGACCCTCTCCACCCACTTCTGAGTTAGTCGCTCGACTGCTTCACAATGTCTACTCTTGCTATCGGTCTCGGTGTCGCTACTGCGGCCTTTCTGGTGAGCTGAGAATCCGGGGACTATATCCGCCACATGGATGCCCGAAGGCTAATAGTTCCCTTTCCTCTACTAGGGTCGCGCCGGTCTTGTTGCCTACCGCCGGTCGAAAGGAGGTGTGAACGCCATGGGAAAGGCTTTCTACAAGGGGTCAGTTGCATTCCGGTTCTCGAGGACACAGTTCCATACCGCTACAGAGTATTAACTAGCATACAGTGGCTTTGAGCAGCGTATGACTCGTCGTGAAGCCTCCTTGATCTTGGAACTCCCGTAAGTTCAGTCTGATATACATTGCGTGTTCTTCGGTATCTAATGAAGCAACAGGGAGCGTACCATGACCAAGGACAAGATCCGCAAGAAGCACCGTCAGCTCATGCTTCTCAACCACCCCGATCGTGGTGGCAGCCCGTATCTGGCTACCAAGATCAACGAGGCCAAGGAGTTCCTCGACAAACACACTTAAGTCTCTTCCGACACGGATCCTCCACTAACGACTGTTCGGGGCGTTTGTGGATTGGAAGAGGAAACACGGACATGCACAGGATACTTTTAAGTATCTCTTATTGTACAAGAGAGTTTCTTCTTTGGGTGCATAGCGAGGCGTTGGTCGGATTTTTCGAAGATGAAAGATATGTCTTCGTGCTCCCTACGGGGGGCTTTTGTATTATCACTATATCCTGATGAGATCGCCGCTCTTGAATATACAACTACACGTCTATCACATGATAGTGGCACGCTTTGAGCAAGGGCCTTTGAGAGCTGTGGAGCAGTCGAAAGTATATCGGCTAAAAAAAGATATTCGGTTGCTCCGCCGTGCCATATAAAGTATGACAGCACTAGAGTTGGTTCAGGACCTCGTCCCTGTTGTTCCTCTTGTGATTAAACGGCGACTTGCTGTGTAGGTTATGGCTCTGTATAGCGTGTTGCAGTAACAGTAGCTAAGCGCGCATTGCGCCAGAGAATCCTGAGAATCTAGGTAGGGTCAGTAGTCTGTACTCCATAGAGGTCCAATAATCACCCCTGAATTCTTAGTATATCTAAGTTGGTAGCCTAAATCACGGACGATATGGTAAGCACGTCAAAGAACCCCACCGACAAAGAAAGAAACATGCACCCCAGGGTTACCTACAGGGTAAGAAAGCTAGCGGCCGGGATTGCTAAAGTCCGAAAGTCCGACGGGCAGGCGTGCCAAGGCCAGACCGGCCGGGACGGAGAGACGCCATCCGCCACCACGGGTTTTTCATTCGTCTACAACGGAGCCCGGTCGTAGCGGATTCCGTGTTGGCCCAGTCACTGGAGCAGAAGAGCAAGGCCTTCGCTGTCTAGATAGGGTCTAGCTGAGGATCCTATCGCGACAGGGGCAGTCAGAAGCTTCGGAAACCAGACTATTGCACTTTGCAGTCCTGAATGTTAATTAAAACATCTCAAAAGTCAAACCCTCTCGGGGATATTTGAGGCTAGAGACGATCTTGGCGACCTTAAGTCCGTCAGTTGCAGTCTCCGACAATCTTGATACAGAATACTACTTAGTACTTTTCCCTTAGGGCAGGCCAAAGGCAGCAGCCGTTTACGTGACCATCGAACCTTCGTTAGCTTACTTCGCTCGATGACTCCCCGACTCGCATCCCAAGCTGGACGGTCGTACTCATATTTTCTTTTGCATGCCCCATGATCCATTGCTTTGAGAGCTGTCCATTCCTTCTTTTAACCCCTCCCTAAGGCTTTGACATCATCTGCGACGTTTCTTTTACACCCCGTCCCTTCCTTATCGTCTTAGACTCGCCACGTGCCTCTATCGGGGAAAGATTGGATTGAGTAAGCCACACTTCATCCATTATTCCATCATTTCTCTTTCCCCCCTTTGGCCTCTTTTTTAGAAGCCTTTCCCCACCGGTTACAGGCTCTAACCCGCCTCACCCTAGTCATTCCTTATCGGAATCTCGATCTTCGGCCTTCATACCCCCCAAACGGCCGCTACACCGCATCTGACGTTGACGTCTTCGGGGACGAACCCCGCATCGCCCAGCACGCTCAAAGCATACCCGCTTGGACTGGAACTCCACTCTGTCGCTGGCGAGCTCGTCGGACCCTTACTCGTCACCGTATTGTCGCTCCGTCACAATGGATGGCATCGGAGACGCGCCCGATGGGATGGGCTTCGACATGCCCATCCTCATGAATCAGCAGCAGCAATTTTTTGGTGCCTATGGACCTGACGGTTCGCCGATGGCTTCCGCTCAACAGAATATGTCTTACCAGGATGAACCGTCAATGGGCGCGGGAGAAGACAGCAATGATGCCAAGAGACGAAGAATCGCAAGGGTGAGTGGATTGTGATGCGCATGCTGGCGGGGCCTTAAACTCAGTGCGCTGATCGTTCTCCGCATAGGCCTGCGATATGTGCCGAAAAAAGAAAATCAAGTGCGATGGGAAAATGCCGAAGTGCTCGCATTGCATCAACTACAAGACAGATTGTATATTCACTCAGGTCGAGAAGAAACGGAATCCTCCCAAAGGGTATGCGTGTTTGCACTGTGGAGTCAATGTCTGCATGCTGATAGATCTCTTGCTGCTTAGTGCCAAATATATCGAGGGCCTGGAAAATCGGCTCGGAAGGATGGAGTCGCTGCTTCGTCTCTCTGGCCTCTTGTCCGAGGACGATGGCGGAAAGACCGATTTGGGGACACTGGAAAAGCGTCTGGCTGATCGATCGTTGGCAAATGGTGCGCTAAATGGTCCTAGAAGTCCGAACAAGTTCAATGTTCCCCAGCCCAACGCCCAATCTCAACAGACTTCATCATCGTCGCACCACTCGACTCCCCATGTTGATTCGCACTCTAGTCCACGCACGGCAGCTACGTCGCCGGAGTCTCAGAAGGATTCAGAACCTGAGGTGGAGGGTTTGTCGGATATGATGTGCTCACTGGTCACGAACAATTGCGGGGAAACGCGATATATTGGTGGGTGCTTTCGACTATCTATCGCATGAATTGGGGGACTAATGATTGACAGGGTCCTCCTCGGGCTTCTCTATTTTCTCTCCCAAGGGTATCCAGTGGGTCAATGAGAAGACGGGCGACACTTCGTTCCAGGACATGATATCTTCTGCCTATATTGACGACAACAAGTGGATGTATTGGAAGCCGGAGATTTTCAGCGATATCTTTGCTCGTCGCGTCTTCAAGCCATTGCCCCCTAAGGAGGAGGCCATTTCTCTCTTCCGAGACTTCTTTGCCAACTTCAACTGTATGTTCCCGCTTTTTCATGAACCGACCTTCATGCACTTGGTGGAGCGCCAGTATTCTCGAGATCCGTATGAAGGCTCCGGTTGGTGGGCTAGTATCAATGTTGTCCTGGCCATCTCGCACAGAATCCGAGTTATGAATAACTTGGTTCCCCAAGAAGATGATAAGAAGGCGTGGCTGTACTTGAAGAACGCCATGGCTGTTTTGACTGAGCTTACTATGCGGAATACGGATCTGCTAAGCGTTCAGGCGCTGCTAGGCATGGTGAGTGGTTTAACCCTCAAAATACATTTGACATGGCCAAGCTCATTGTTTCGTAGTCACTGTTCTTGCAGGGAACACCTAACCCTCAGCCGTCCTTCTTCCTAGTTGCGGCCGCCATCAGACTCTCCCACAGCATTGGTCTCCACAAACGAGGCTCGGGCTTTGGCTTGAATCCGGTGGAGGTGGAACAACGGAAGAGGGTGTTTTGGATTGCCTATCTTCTCGATAAGGAGTAAGTTGGGCCACAATGGTCTGATCGTCGGTCGTTCTAATGCAATGATAGTATCTGTCTCCGTTCCGGTCGTCCACCTGTTCAAGATGACGATGACATGAACGTCGAATTACCGAGTGATGACCCCCCGGACAATATTGGCAATGTCCCATTGTCGGACGGGGGCAAGTTCAACTTGTTCCGATCCATGTGTCGCTTTGCCATTATCGAGAGCCGGGTGTACAAACGACTTTACTCTGCCAAAGCATCGAAACAGTCGGATGGTGAGCTCTTGAACACCATCGGAGATCTCGATAAGGAACTCGAAGAATGGAAGGACAGCATTCCTCTGGAGTTCCGGCCCGAAAATGAAATCAAAGCAACTTACACACCGCTCATACTGCACGTCGTTGTTCTCCATTTTGCGTACTACAATTGCTTGACTACAATCCACCGAATGTCTGTTCACCATGGCTATTGGACGAGCCGATTATCCAATTACGCAATTCAGGGTCTGAATGCGAGACCGTTGAACCCCCGAGTGTTCATGTCTGCAGTTCTCTGCGTAACTGCAGCGCGAGCGTCCATCAACCTAATTAAATATATACCGCAAGGCGACTTCGCCTGTGTCTGGTGAGTCGTGACTGACTAGACTACTCTGAAAAGACCTATCTAACAAAGAATAGGTTAATACTTTACTATCCAGTCTCCTCTCTAGTCACATTGTTTGCTAATATCCTGCAAAACCCCAATGATGCCCGGGCTCGCTCCGACGTCAAGTTGATGAATGTGGTAGTCAATTTCTTGTCTACTCTTGTGTCCGACGAGTCGAATGGAAGTGTCAAGCGCATGCTCGCTCTCTGTGGCGAGTTTGAACGAATCGCCCAAGTAGTCCTCGACAAAGCCGAGAGGGACTCGCACTCCAAGAAGAAGCGCAAGGCTGCTCCTGATGAACCAAGAAATGTACAACGGCGTACTTCGGAAGACAACCATTCACCTACTACTACACCGGCCGCGAAGCCAGCAGATTCAGCAGCGCCGCAACCACCTACGGCGGCTCCCTTCTCTTCGCCATCGTTCTCTAATAAGCCAAACCAGCCCACTCCCAACATGCCTAATGAGACCCGAAACTTCACACCCGGCCAGCCGCTATCCGGAGCGAATGGCTTTACTGCGAACCTTCAGGACAGCATGCACGGCATGCCAGGACTTGGACCCGACTTTGACATGCTCAGCCCGAATAACCTGGAAAGTGTCAATTTCAGCGACCAAGCAGCCTTCACAACCAGTCCCGACACCCCCTTGGCACCCTTCCAACAGCCTTTCGTCCCGCAGGATCTGTGGCAGATGCCAATGACCATTGAATGGGACTGGGCAGACATGTCGAACAACTTTCCAGTGTTTGGTGACGCCGGCGCACCCCCGAACGGATCATAAATGACGAAACAAAGCACATTGATCGGCGAACAGGAAACATACGAAGGGTACATTCTCAGTCCATATTCTTTAGCGGAGTCCCGGGGTTTAGCAGCACATACCTTGTTTCTGTGATCATATTCTAATCTTCTTTCCTGTCGAATATCTTGGCGTTCACAAAAGTCTCGGACATATTCACTCTTCACGCCACTCCACCATCATCTCTCCCATATCTACCATTTCATCCCCCCTCATTTCTTATACTTCTGGCTTTCTTGACCCGTGGCAGGATTCTTTTATTCTGGGGAAGAACCCAATATGTTTGTGTTTGGCGTCGGTTGGCGAATATATACATGGTGTAATACCTTTTCCTCAATGTACATTCTCAACTGTGGTTAGTTGTGGCTGGCTCCTAATGGTAGCAGAATATCCCACCTTTTATATTGATGTCCATCCCCTCCCAAACGCAACACAATCACTTAAACTCCTCAGGCCCCTTCAAACTCTCATAACCATGAACCCTCCGATCCACCAACGCATTCACTCTCCAACGATCCTGCGTCCCCTTTCTCTTCTGACAACACCTCGGCACAGCCAATACCTTCTTCCCCACAAACTCCCTCGGATCCACCTCAAACAAAAGCCACTCATTCGCATAAACGCCCCCATCATCCTCAACCTCAATGATATTAACCTGCAATACCTCCGGATTAAACCCTTCTTCCACCGGAACAAGATAATCAAAAGTCACCCCGTAGTAATCAATCACCCTGATTCAATTTACACAGATTAGCCACCAACCCACTGCCATCACTCCCCTCCCCCTGGCACTTTATAAAAACAGTACTCACCGATCCGGAAACTTCCCAACCACCCACCCCAAATACTCATCCCTGACTACCGCATCCCCCGGATGAAAATCCCGCCCGTAGATGGTTTTATACACTAACCGCGCTAACTCTGGTCCCGCTGGTTGCGGGAATGGTATCTCACCTCCAAGGTAGTCAGGGTCTAGATGCCAGGGGATCATACTATCTGGGGGGGAAAAGCCTCTGGATGGCGATTAGAGGGCCCTCGATTTGGATCCGGAGTGGTTGGTTAGGTGCTGGGAGGTGGTGTTTGTGTGCGGGGGTGTGGATGCACGGTGGGATGTAGAGGGGGAGGGACATTTTTTTTTTTTTTTCAAGTTGTGGATTTGATTTGGTTGGGGTTGGGGTTGGTGGTGGAGGTGGTAGGTAGGTAGGGTGTAAGTAAGTAGTAGTATAGTATTGCAAGTTGGGTAAGTAGGTTAGGTTGGAGGTTGCGGGGTGGGTATATAGGGAGGACCATTCAGAAGATGTAAATAAGGTGTTTGATTGAAGGTCCTTTATAGAATCCGGTTTGGTTTTAAATATTGGCACTCTCATTTAGGGTCTCATGTAAGTTCCAATGTTATTTAATCCAGATGTTACGAGACTTTACGTAGACACCTTTTCAATGAGTTACAACATGTCGATAAGGAGCTTTGCAACTAGGTCGCAGGCCACAGTATATGATGATAGTTGATCTTCGTCAGTCGGATATAGGACATGGCTTCACCCTCACGGACACCTCCGTATCCTAAAGTGAATAATGCAAGATCATGAATCGGCTAGGCACCGAACGAAATAGTCAAAAGAGGAAGACAAAAACACATGACGTGGTACGAGATGCAACGACTAATAGGTACAGTAGTTCAAACAAATGAAATAGGTATAAACGGACATTGTGGTCGGCGGACCCATTCGGTACCGCCGAGGTATACAATCCTGGGAAACTGGCATACATGCAAAGGGGGTGTTCCAACTCCAGTCAACACAACTAGTCAAAGAATATCGGCATTTACAAAAGTCGCGCAAGCTCGTACATGTCATCAAGCGATGGCTGCAATACAGCGTCTGGCCTGCGATGGGCGGACCAGAATGAAGAGGTTGAAGCTACAAAAGAGAGGAAGATCTACTCTTCCATTCGACCGAAGACGCCGTCATCGTCATCGTCTGCCTGTGCCGGACGGCTTCCGAAGTCGACGTCAGCATTGCGATGCTGCCGCTTGGCACGGTCGGTATTGCCGGTTCTTACTTCTCGCTCGTCGGACACCTTGTAAGACAAGGAGGGGTTATATGACAGCGAGAGGAAGATGTTCGGGGTCGTGCTTGAGGAAGCCGCATCGGTTGCATCGGATCTCGACTGATCCAGGCTACGGCCTTGGTTGTCGGCAGAGCTGCCTTGATCCAGGAAACGCGTCGGAAGTGGAGGCACCGGGGGCACGCTGGGAGACATGGGCACTGGCCCCATGCGCGGAGTCCCAAAGTTGCAGAGGCCGATGGCGGCAGCCAGATCCGCCTCATCGTCTTCGTGCAGCTTAGCTTCGGCCGTTGATGGGCGGGTGTCGATGCTGGAGTGACGGAAATGCGAAAATGCTGGTGACGCCCATGGGGCACTCCCGGTGAAGGAGCTCGAGGGACCGGACTGATAAGAATGAGAGAAGTGGGCCGACAAGTTGCCAACGCTGTATCGCTTGTCCATCGGTGCGGGCTCGATCGACATATCTTCATCGTCGTCATCATCATCCTCATCCATCGGAGGCGGGGTAGTCTCCGCAGAGCTGAGGCCGTCTCGGAGCTCCGACGATGCATCTGGTGACGCGGAAGAAAGATCCGACTCGGCTTCTCCATTCTCTTCCGGCTCGTCTTGAGTCATGGTGACGAGAACGGAGGCCGCCTCCAGCAATTGGACCTGCTGGTGCTTGGAGATCAAAAGCTTCGAGGTAATTGCCCACGCAGGGTTATGTTCCCACCTAAGTTCCATAAAACGTCAACCCACGGCGTCCCAGCACAAGAGAGAAGAGAGGAGGTGAACAAGGGGAGCTGGATGACCACGAGGGCGACCTTGCACAGAGCCGACATGGCGCATTGCTCCGGACCGAGCCAGACGGCAGGATGGCATGGGGGGAGGATACACACATATGCTTGGACAAGCAACTGCCATGCTTATACCCTTTCCCGCAACGATCACAGCGAAGGTCTGCCATGGCACGCTTCCCTTCGCCTCTGACCAGGTGCGATCCTTCGCTGGCCCGTCTGTTTCGGTTCTTGGTGCTAACCGGCTTGGAATTCGGGTTACTGGCATCTGCAGTTGTTTGGCCTGTGGATGATCCATCGTGGGGTTGGTTGGGCGATGGCTTGCGAGCGACCGGCGGTTCTTGGCTAGGACTGTTGATGCTTCGTGACAGATAGGAGCCGAAACCGGAGGGGGCTCCGACCGAGCTAGACTCTAGGCCCTTCCGGCTTCCCCGCCGGTGCGAAGGCATAGTTATTCCTGTTGGATCTTCGGGAACCTCTTTCATCGACGCCGCGACCGCCGCCGCGGCTGCGTTTGCGGCAGCCGCAGTGGTGACGCTCTTCCGGCGAGTGACCCGGAAATTGGAGTTGACCGCACCGAGCGAGATCGAGTGAGAGTGGTGGCGGGAATTGGATTGGGGGAGAGGGCGGGAAAGGGACAATTCCTGGGAAATTGTATGAGAGCGTTAGCCTGACCCACTGGGGAAGGGGGGTGATTCGCCTCACTATCATGAAGGTAGGGGGAAGGGAATAAGATGTTACCTTGAATGAAGCCATTTTGAGTACGTGGACTCTCAGGCCAGCGATTCCGCGAGAGCCCTTTGTTGAGCGTGGTGGTTAAACAACCGATGATCGGATTTAGTGCTAATAGACAGCGGGTGGTGGAGAGGTGAAGCCGAAGAAAAGCAGAGGAGAAAGAAAAAGGAAAGAAGAAAGTCGTCGGACGGTGGAAAGCTAGTTTAACTGGTAGGCGAATCCCAGGGATACGAGCGGGCGACCAGGTACCTGCGAGGCTAAGGGAAAAAGGTTCAGGGCCAAAGCAATCAATCAACCACGGAGCAATTGAGGGTGAGTCAATGGGCCGAGATAGTAGATAAAGGGGAGGGCAAGACAAGTCAATCAATTCAATCAATCAATGAATGAAGGAAAGAAAGGGGAGAAGGATACTATGGGTGTGGAGAGAGGGAGGTAGGGAGGGGGCTGAGGAGGGAAGAAGGACAGAGGGAGAAGTAGCAGCGAGCAGTGAGCAGCGAGAAAGAGGAGAAAGAGGAGTCGAAAGAAAGTCAGTCAGTCCGTCGGTACTAGTGAGTTGTGGTCGTGAGGGAGCGAAAGCACGCTGCAGGGCGATGGAGAGACTCAAGAACATTTGATGGACGGATTGGATGGCAGCACGAGGCAGTCTGGCTGGGACGGGCGCGCAATTGTCATTGGCAGAGAAGAGCCCATTACATTACAACTCTTACAACTCTTACAATAGTTACAGCAGTTACAGCAGTGATTACTTACCAGCTTACCACTCCCCGATCAGTTTAGTCGCCAGTAATACCGATGTTACAGACTTGGCTCATTTTCTGATTAATGACGAGATAAATTTGATTCGCATCGAATTTCCAATAATAATAATATCATAATCTGGGACGGCTCCTGGACTTTATCTTTTGCGGGGGTCGCCATTTTCATTTTGGCCCTTTTTGGGTTCGCTAGTCCAGTCCAGGAGTTGGCTTCAGCAATGCGGGGGTTCGGGCGATCAGACACTCACTACTGACTGGAAGCGCTCCATTTCATTTCGCCATTCATCCCTCCGTCAGCTTCGGGCAAATAACATCTCGGCCATGCCAAAAAATACGCCGCTCAGGTGCAGTCGAACTGACCATCTCTCGAAACATACATGCAGCTGGCCCTCTCTTCAAAGGATCAGATTTCCTTCAGACTTTTCCGCTATCCTGGTCAGGGCTTGCCCTTGTTCCTGACTAACCGGCCAGCAAGGCGAACAACCAGGCAAGTGATGTGAGTCCCCACTTGCATCGGGGTTCCGAGAAGTGGACTGGATGGACGGGAGGCCCAGGTTTGGTGCCCGGGTAAACTGGATGGGAGAAAAATAAATCATCATCATCATCATCATAATAAACAAATGGAAGAAGAAGAAAGAAAAAAAAAAAGTGGCCCACGAAGTGGATAATGTCGGGGAGAGCTCATGGAATGTTTCAATTTCTTGCTTTTCCGGTGTTGATTCTATTTCTAGGATATTTGGCAGAAGGCCAGTCGTTCCCAGTCCGTCGTCACCTGTTGGACTGATCAGCCGTTCAGCAGCAGCCCACCTTGCCCTTGTATGAATCATGACAATCCCAACTTTTTTTTTTTTTTTGGTCTTTGTCTTTCTTTATTTAACGTTCCAAAGAATGGATAGGTAAGACAGTCTAGAAAAATAAAAAGTGATCTAAGAAGGTATAATGGCCGTCCGTAACAAAAGAAAAAGAAAAGAAAAGAAAAAAAAAAGTCCCTCTTACCACCAAGATGTTACAATTCATGTGGTACAATGAATGACTTCTTCCTTCCAGCCAAAAATCACTCAACGCTGATCGGGGGCGCCCGCCCGTGGCCGTGACGATACGGTATTACGCAGGAATCGGCCTACAATGGACCGGTCTAGGGCCTGCGGGTGGGGGGATGATGTCATCTGGGATGACCGTACCGTACGGGTGATTGGCAGAGGGGCCGGGGAACTGCCAGCCGGGTTGGAGTCCGGTACGGTAAGTTGGAGGGCGTATGATATGATGGTGACACGGCCTTATCTTGGACCCCCTCCACGACCCCCCAGCCAACTTACCTACCCAGGCCTAGCACCGTCAGGAGGCCCAAATCACTTGATAGCGACCGCCGTCCATCTTACAAATAGGAATGTGCCTGGCGTCCACCGGGTTATCAGAAGCCAGCTTGTTCCTGGCGCTTGTCTTCGCGCTTGTACGGTGTACCCGATCTCCCATCGTGACGGCCCAGCTGCCAGCTGCCTTTGAGAATGACTTCCGTTGTCCGCAGCGCGCCCTTGCGGTTTCAGCACTATTGGCTGCCTTTGGTCTGGCATGATGACTACCCTAGATGGTCTCCGACCATAGAATCGCCCTTATTCTCCATAGCAAGGTCAAGGTGCCCTGGTCAGTGGCAACGCGGAGGTTGACGCGTTGTTGCTTGACGGACGAGCCATGTCAACAACTCAACATGAGTTGCATGAGCCGATCAATCACTACTGACTTGGCTCTCACAGCGCATTCAGCGACCGGGCCCGGTTCGCATTAACTCGATCCTTCGAAGCACATTGGAGGCGGAACCAGGTTGCCAACGATTCGGATCGAGAGGAGCGACCACTCATGATGGGGTGGCATGTGCCTTACTGCGACTGTGGCTATGGACAAACATACATCGAGTTGACGGGTCGAACGGCTGCTACCCAGTTGACTCGACTGCAGATGGGCGAGCAGATGGGCGAGCAGATGGATTGGAGATTATACTGGATGAGAAACAGTTCCTCCGTCCATGGCCAGAACGAGCAGGCGATATACAGTATAGACCCAACTTGGTATTCATCTAGCATATGACCGCTCAATGAGAGTGTCTCAGGCTTTCTGTAGGTATGATGTAGGTTTCTAATACCGAAGATCACAGACCTAGGAAAATCCAGGGAACGTGGGCCGACATGTCCGAGACATACACATGTAGTCGGGAGTAGATCCGACCGATGCAGACGTGCAAATGGCGATACTTTCTGCAGTAACGGTACCACGAGCGTTGGTCAGGTACAGTAAAGTAAGGTAAGCATCAAGTCAGGATCGGCCTGTCGATCGGCCTGATGATTTGCGGTGATTCGATCCAACTGACAAGTGAGTTCCTACTTAGTCCACAGTCCGCGCCAGGCTATGCGACGGTTGCTTTACACGGGTGCTTCCTTGCAGTTCGTTTAGATTATGGAAGCATCATAAAGACCTTTGAGCATCCATCGACATTATCAAGCTGTTTCCGTGGTGCTCAGCTTGGATAGCTAGCGAAGTAGCTACACCGTAACTCTTACTATGTAGGTATGTCTACCGCACCTGAAGATAAGCTTCAAGAATTCTCCGGACGGGCGAATAGCTTAATCCAATCATATACTGACTCGAGTCCTTCCAGAGCACCTAGAGCCACCAGCCTAAGCCCTAGACACACCCTCACCATAACCCCAACATCATGAATTTCTCCAGGGTCCCAAGGATGGTTGTATACTTCAGCCAGGAACCGGGACTCCGATTGGCGGTGGTGGCGGTGGTGGCGGTGGGTACGCCATTTAATTTCCCTCGGAGGGCCTGTCCCGATCTATAGAACCACCTCAAACATCCGTTTCTTCTCGCAACCCACCACAGATAACCCCGGGGGAGGGAAAAATTCAGACAAGACAAGACCAAGATGCTTCACGCACGCCTTCGCCCTGTTCCTCGTCGTCATCTCCTCCCCCTCTCCTCTTCCCCCTCCGCCCCGCGGCCCGATTTTGTCGACCCTGACGAGGAAGCCGACTCGGATGAAGATTCCGAAGACCTCTTCGCCGCATTCCTTCCGCACCTTTTTCCCGATGACGCCCCCTCTTTCCACGGCGACCCTGGCCAGCATCTCCTGTACTCGTCTCCGCGCTATGGCGATCTCGAGATCATGGTTCCCTCGTACCCGGCCCAGAGCCGCTCCTCCGATCACCCGGTGAACCAGGTCGAAGAGGGACGGAAGCTCTTCGCCCATTTTCTCTGGAGTGCGGGCATGGTCGTTGCAGAGGGGGTGGAGAAGGCAGATGAATTGGAATCGCGCGGCCAATTGAGTAAAACGGATGAGGTTGCCATGTGGAGCGTGAGAGGAGAGAAGGTATTGGAATTAGGCGCTGGTTGGTTCCTCATTATGCTCAAATCATTCTGCTTGAATAGAACAACTGACGAGAGCTTCTAGGTGCCGCTTTACCATCCGTCATTTGTGCACTTGCCAAAGCATCTACCGTCACTGCCACCGACCATCCCTCTTCCCCGGCCCTGTCTGGAGCAATCGGGTTCAACATGACGCACAATCTGCGGACCCCCAAGACCCCAACCTCTACGAATGTGACCATCCAGCCGCATGAATGGGGTACTTTGGAGGCCGACCCCTGGGCGGTCCAAAACAAGGGCTGCTTTACCCGCATCATCGCGGCAGACTGTTACTGGATGCGCTCGCAGCATGAGAACCTCGTGCGTACGATGCGCTGGTTCCTGGCCTCTGGAGGACGAGTTTGGGTTGTGGCCTCGTTTCATACCGGACGGGCGATCGTGGCGGGCTTCTTCGAGACGGCATTGCAGCTGGGACTGGAGATTGAGCGGATCTACGAGCGGGATTTGAGCTCGGCCCAGGACGACGGAAGCGAGGTGCGTCGCGAATGGATGCCTGAGCGGGAGGGCGAGGGACCGGAGAATAGGAAACGGTGGTGTGTAGTTGCGCTTTTGAAGAGACATGGAGAGGAGGCCGTCAAGGAAGATACTCTGGTGTCTGTTCACGAGGTGTGGTGATTCACATTGCATACTTGCATACATTACAAACATAGCATACATAGATAGCGAGACAGTTATAGACTTAACCACCATACTACTTGTACTATAAGGAATAGTATCTTTGAACCTGATACAGCCCGATTATAATAATGGTCTATTTGCATTTATAGTAATCTAGACCAACACCTCCAGAAACCATCCATACCCTCCATCTATACCATCTCATTCATTACACAGAGCCATGCCTAGAAACGCCACCTGCATGCCCAACCAACCAAAAGCAACCACCAACCCATTGATCTATTTGATATCTTCTATTCTAAATCCAACCCAACCCAGCCCACATCTAAGCTTCCTTCTCCCCCTCCACTCTCTGAAAACACACCGTACAAACCCCCTGACCTTCTCTCCCCCCGAATCTAAATCGAGGATACTCAACCCGACCCCAAACCACCAACCGATCTCCCTCACCACCACCACCACCACTGGTGCAAGTAGAAGAAGAAGTAAACCAATTAACCAACTCCTCCTCCGTCCAATTACAACTCGTAACCACCACAAACCCTCCCTTTCGAACCAACCCCCTCACAATCCCAGGGTACCGTTCACACACGCGCCGTTGGATCTTCCTCCCCGACGCAGCCATATCCTTATCCTCCCCCTCGCCTTCCACAACAACCTCATCCGACAACGACACTGCATCAAACGTCCCCTTATCAAGCACAATATCAAACCCGCCTTTGTCGTACGGGAACCAATCCAACTTCTTCTCCTTCTCCTTCTCCCCTTGGCCATCAGTGGTGGTGGTGATAACATCCCCATGATGCAAAATATCCCACTCCTCGAACCGGATATTCGTATCTTTCCCACCACCACTACCACCCTCCTCCCCCTTCTCCCCATCCCCATTCCCATCCTCAGATCCAGATCCATCCTCCTCCGAATCCGACAAATACGCCGAATGAATCCTCAACCTCTGCAACTCTCTCGCCAACTCCACACTCCGAATCGAATAATCCACCCCCACCATATCACCCCTGAACCCGCCTCGTTTGCGTAATAGCGCTAACATGCTACCATTACCCGTCCCTAGGTCCAGAATACTCGGTTGGCTTGCCTCATCCCCCTCCCCATCCCCCTCCCCATCCCCATTCCAATCCCCATTCACCCCCCCAGAAGAAGGGATAGTATTCGCAGGCGAAAGCGGAAACTCCTCATCGGTCAAAAACTGAAGGACTTTATCAGGGGCGTTATGTTCCGAGAACCATGATGTGCCCGGGTCGGAGTCATCGTCGATATCATCTGTTTCTGAGTCGGAGTTGGTGTCGGTGTCTTCGTTCTTGGTAGTATTCGTGGTGGGTTTGGCGTTGGTGGGGTTATGTTTCGTGGAAATGTGAGAGAGGGTTCGGGCGTAGAATGTTTCCCAGCTTTGTTTTGGAATATATGTATTAGTTCACTGCAGTGGTTCATTATTGAATTTGGTGGAGGATGGGTAGATTTCTTCTTCCTCTTCTTCATCTATCTCCCCCTCTTCCATGAAGAAAAAGGAGGGGTATCATGGTGGGGTAAAGATAAAACTTCAACTCCGTCTTCACAGGAAAACTCACTAATCCTTCGTGCCCAGTTCACTGGGCGACAGATGCGCTGGATGATGGCTGTCGTCGGCCATGGTTTCTGGGTGTTGAGTATCCTTGGTCCGGAGGCAAAGTTGGCTTGCTGGAAGTTGTGGAAAGTTTTCGAGGTCCCCGAAATCCGAATTCCGGAGCCCGCATGACGTTGGAACGAACTGGAGCCGCACGTGGCGGGCTGCCATTGTATCTAGTACCTGATTCTCAAACTCCTCGAATGCTATAGTAGATAACAAATAGGTCTAGAACTATCAGATTTATTATGTACAATACATGTGATAGGGTGATTAATCTACGCAAAGAATAATAGTAGAGATATCTGCACGCGCAGTATCGAGGATATAGCATCATTTACTTAAAAGGCAACTTGCAGTAAATCACTCTTATTCAATCAACTAGCCCAGGGTATTTCGCAGCTGAAATGCTTGAGAAATGACAGAAAGAGTGGACGAACACGAGAAAAACCCGTGCACAAAGCACATAAAATAATATTACAAGTTACCAGGCACGGATCATCGCCGCCTTTATCATGTTTTTAACACCCAGGACGCCGGTTGACCAGAAAGCATGCAATGTCGGATGCAACATGGACCGCTGGTTGACCAAGGGAAGGGAATTGCACAGGGCAACATGTATGAATGAATGGAATAACGACCGTAAGCCCGCTTTGGTCATCAAGTCATCAACGAATGAATGAGAGAAGGAAGATCACCACAGTGAAAGGAAAGTAAAGAATGTAGATCGAGGAGATCACGAAAAAAGGCCGAAGAGATGGGACGAGGTTGATACAAGTCAACCTCAAGGTGGTGTGTGTATATGGTCATGGAATCATTTCTCGGACGTGCAAGCCCATTCTCAAGACACAAAAAGGTCTTAGACAGGGCAGAATTACAGAAACTCATCAATATTCCTCATAATCAGGCGCTCAGTCCCGGGAGGCGGGGACCGCGGGTCTGCGACTCGCGACCCGAAGCGCAGCCCATGGGGGCCATCGTCGAGGCAATCGGCAATGGACCGCGAAAGAGGCGCGGCCATGAACCCAGTGGTCCTCGGTGAGAAAAGGGAGTTCGCTCCCTCGGCAGCGTCCTGCACGAAAATGTCGGTTTTGGCCAAAGAATATGGCCCGCCTTCGGGGCGCCATGAAGGGGCGGCAGGTTCGGGGGGTAGAGTCCGACCGTTTGACCCCATCTGGTAGGAGGCCTGCCGAAAAGGTAGAGGTCGTGGAGACAGACTACGCTTGTGAGACAGGGTTTGGGAGAAGCCCAGATTCTCGATCGAGATGGGCGTGGTCTGGTTTGTGGAAGGCGCCGAAAGAGAGCTCAGGGATGCCTGCGACAGGCCATTCGATGAGCATTGCTCGGCATCCGAGCAGCCACTCGTGTAACCCGGAGTGCTGGCTTCCGAAGCATCCGTCCTTCCGGTGTGTGGTGGCTGGGGTTCAGAGCTCCTGCGTGCTCCCCCAACAAACCACTCCTCCGGGGCAGCTTTCGAGAGGCTGCCCCGGAGTAGTCGAGAACGGAAGTCGGTCAGCTGGTAAATCAAGCTCATGTTAGGGCTCACCCAGCGACTGCGCTCCTTGACCATCTCGTATACCGAGTTAAAATCTAATTCTCGGTTTTTGTAGAGACCATATGCGATAACCAACGAGGCCGAACGACTGGCACCGAGCTGGCAATGCACTAGGACCTTCTTCCCTTCGGAGATCCGGGACTCAATAAGCTCGCAAAGTGGGAAGAGATCATCCAGGATTTCCGAGTTATGATCCCAGCCGACGTGGACATATTCCGGTCCAGACGAGTCGTTTTGAGGGGTGGCAGGCGAAGACTCGTCGCTGGGAGGGTATTCAAATGCAGACTTGAAGGAGACATCAGACATAGCCGTCCATGGCTCCCCAGTCGACAGTCGGTTCGAACGTGCCAACCCATTGCGCAAGGTGCTCACCACCGTGCCAGTACCACCGCTCGTGTTGGTGAACGGATTCGCCACCTCCTTTGCCACGTTCACGACAACATCAAATCGCGAGGCTTCTGGAGCAGTCGGCTCCAGGTAAAGAAAGACACCGGAGTCATAGATTTGAATGGGTCCGTTCGGGTATCCACGCTCGTTGCGCCGCGTCGACTCTCGTGAGTCTAGATGGTCGTCCTCTTCCGCCAGTTCGTGCAGCACTCCACCAGAAGCGGACTCTTCGTCCGGCACGGTTTGCAGTGGTGAGAGGTTGCTTTCTGAGGTAGCAGACGGTCGTCGCGCGCCATGATGGGTCATCGGTCGGGGTAGTTGCATGCCACCCTTCGGCCCAAATGACGGGGAAAAAACGGATGTGAGAGACGGCGAGGATTCCGTGTGGCGCAAGGCGTGTGGAGTTGGCGGAATCATCTCATCCATGTTGCTGGAAAACGACCGATCGAATCCGGGGGTGCGTATCGTTAAGTTTGCGGGTTTTCGGCGCATGCCCTTTGGGGGCACGTGGATCGGTGAAGGCGGGGCAGAAAGATGATGTTGGGAAGTAGATTCGACAACGGATGCTGTTGCGATGGGCGGGCGTGAGCCTTGGGACGGTAGAGGCATCCTCAAGGAGAGATTCTTGAGGTTTCTTGCGCGCCGGCCGGGCGAGTCGGGTCGCGCGACATTTGGCGTATCCGTCGACGGATTGGGGATGGCGGCCGGAGCCGCAGAGTGCGGAGGACACTCGGGCTTGTGTGCGAGTGGCATGAAGGTGGGATATGATAAAGGCATCGACGACGGAGATTCAGGCGAAGAACTCGGAGATGTGTCCACGGCCGAAGGAGGATCAAACGTGGAGATGGTGGTGGTCGGCGATGAATCAGTGGAGGCTGATGTCATCGACGATATGCTTTCACGGTGCTTAAAGGGAAGTGGGCGACGCGATGTATTGACGGTGACATTGGTTGGAACCCTAAGAGGTTTGATGATTGCAGTTCGCTCCTCCTTGTCGGAAAATTCGGGCGACCTCCCAAATACAGACATAAAAGAAGGAAACGAGTCCGGGAGTGTCGGTGAGCTGGTTTGAACAGGCATCATGAAGCCTGAGGTTGATGAGGTACACCTGCGTTTGAAAGGGGACACCCTCTCAGAATCGCAGCTGTTGTAGATGGCTGGCGCAAAAAGTGTAGCACAACTAGAATTGCAGCCAGACCGGGGAAGACAAGACAGTGTCGCACTTGCTACCAGCGCAAATGACCTTTTGGACAGAGGACAATCAGCTTCCATGTTTCAGCTTATGTTGACCTTCGATGGTAGAAGCAAGCACGGGCTGCAAGGAGGGTGAAACCAGAATGACGATCGGCCAGTTTGAGAAATGAAATCAACAGAGCTATTGGAGTCCGTGAGAGAACCAGAGGAGAAAATAAGAAGAATAAGAGAATAGACAAGGCGAGGCGAAAGCAATTCAGAGGAATCCCAACAAGGTCCTAGACCGGGAACATACCAAGGAATGCCGCAAAAGAACTGTTGCCTCTTTTGAGATGTGTCAGTGATGCGGAGGCGAAGGATTGTTATTGATAGACCTCAACGGGCAGCAACAGCGGCGACATGGGTAGGAAACGGAAGCGAAAAGTCAAAATCAGATCAAGGAGAGAATGTCAAGGACGAAAGACAGAGATAAGCTGAGGACAAGGGTGTCCGAGTTGTTGGACAGAGGGTACAATGCGACTGGGAGGAAATAGCCGCCCAATGATTGTGTGGGCAGTCGTTCCTCCGGGGAATGACGAAAGAATCAAGTGTGGGAATCTCGGTCACAGGGAAGCAGAGAGTAGTAGGAAGGGTGCAAAGAACGACTGCCCACCCACCCATAGGAAAGAAACAGGCAGGTCGATAAGCAGGTCCCTGGAGAGGAGGGGAAGGGGGAGGGGGTGTCCAAAAAAAAAAAAAAAAAAAAGAAAGGAAAAGAAAAAGAACTAGAAGAGGGGAGAGAGGCAAGAGGACGGAGAAGGTGGTGGTGGAGGGGGGAAGGGAAAGAGAATAGAGCGAGTCGAGCCAGAAGGGAAGGAACGAGAGAGAGAGAGAGATTGGTAGAGGTACGAGGTAGGGCACTCTAGGTCGGGTCCACGGTCGCGGCGGTTCCCCAAAAGCCAGAGCCCGTCTCAGATGGCAGGCACCGTAGCGGCGTAGTGACCGTGTGAAGCACCAGCAGCACCAGCAGCAGTAGCAGGACTAGCGGCGGCAGTCACAGCAACGGCAGCAAATAATAATGGGCTGGAGCACTAAGAATAACCACCGGACGTGACTGCCAGACTGCAACAGCAGTAGTTCGTTTGGAACGGGAAGGGAAAGGGCGGAGGCCCTGATTGGGACCGGCCGGCCGCGTTGCTGTCAAGCAGCCAACCAGCGCCTTTAACGCCGTGCTGTGGGGAAAGACAGCCCCGGTCACCCAGATGCAGTGGGCCAATCAGCACCCCCAGAAGCAGAACATCCAGCGCCTGCAGCTCTAAATTTAGCCGCCCGGGTTGGTGTGGAAGGCTGGAATGTGCATCATGGGCGCCAAAAGCACGCAAATCAGATGCCAGATTCATCCCAACACTGGCATGTCAGTCCCCATCCCAGGATTCTCCTCCATGCTCTCCTCCCTCCCCAACCTGGCTGGGACAAGCAACCCATCAAGTTGGCCCCATCGCCCGGGGGATGAAGGGAACGGAAGGAGTTGGACGGAAAACTGGGAAGTGATGGTCCAGTGGGTAAGGTTCTGATACGACAACAGGGGGTGCAGGAATCATATGGTGATCAAGAAGCCACCCGGAAGCAAAGACACCCTGGGTGTCGTCTCTCATAATTCCATACGGTGTCCCGTTGCATTTATGATGGCAGGCTTCTCTCTCTCCCAATCCCCATTCTTTCTGCTCTGGTTCGGCCCTTCCCTTTCGAGGTCTTCCATTTTGGGTCCCTCTCCATGGGAGAGTCAGGTGCAAGGTGGAAAAAAGAAATGAAAGAAAAAAGAAAAGAAAAATTGAAAGGTCCCCACATCCGGGTGCCACTGGGAAGTCGGTCCAGGAACAAACCAACAGAGGCAGTGAGGCACGATGGGGAACTAGTGCCGAGGGACCCAGAGATGACATAAAGGCAACATGAAAAGGAAAGCAACGACGTAATTCAAACGACATGCAGAATAATAACGAAATCATATACACACCTGTAAAGCTCTTCCACTTGCTTCGAGGATACCTCCTTTCAGTTGCGATAGGACTGAAGGTGGCTCTTATGACCAGTTTGTTGGAAAAAATCTGAACCACTGCGGTACAGACTCTAGAAATGATTTTTCATCCACACACCGCGACAGTTGCACCAGCAGCCAACAATTGCAAAGCTCGCAACGACTTTAGCCCTGGGCGTATAAGGAGTGGACAATAGGTCAAATAAGAAAGGATCAGAAGAAAAGAAAGGTTTAAGAAGACTTCCAGAAGTCACCGAAGAAAAGAAAACTGCCTGCTTAACCCACGAGGAGGTTAATAATAATCAGACAGACCCAGCAGGATACGTATCCAAGCAACCTTCTGCACACAAAAAACAATACTGTATCGGGGGTGTCCGACCCGCTTGTGTGTGCACGGTTCCCGCAGAAGGGTTGTTTGCTGGATGCTTAATCAAAGGGTTTTTTGGTCAAGCCGGCTTGAGGGAAAACAACAACAAAAGCACGGGCAACCCCCTCCGAAAAAAACAAGACGAGAAAAGACTGCAAAGAATCAGAAGGGAAGCGATTTGAGGGGCATGAATCACTTTTTTACTAGATGCGGATGGCGATTCAGCAGGGACCTCTCTCTGGCATCGGGCCTATGAGAAGAGGTAAACGGCTCTGAGGGTCGCAGGCAAAGGTGAAACGCAAAGGCTGACTGACTGGGGCTAAGTTGGACCGATCCACCATCGCAGAACAAGCCCCTGGAAACGGTGGACCGTCCGTTATTGGCAGTGGGGACGAGGAGAAACCGCGGCACGGTTGGTGCTTAGTACTCCGCAGCGCTCGAGAGTCAGGTTCTGGTTCCTGGACGGGGGATGATTTGTTATTTTCAGCAATCGGGGGAGCAGAAAAGAGTCTGGGAGAGGTTTCGCCGCCCACCTGGCTGTTTCAACCGGCGCTGAACCACCGAATTTCAGTATCAGCTATCCAGCTATCACGCTCTCACCCAAGGATGCAGCCCCGACCTCAAACCTCGTCATGGGCCAGTGCAGCTGAAACACACAGGCAGAGAGGGCGCGCGCTAAGTCAAACCAATGGGATGGAGGTGGAGGGGTTCAGCCCGGGTTGAAACACGCCATCCCAATGGTAGGCCACTAGTCCGCCTCCGGATGGGGCGTCCAGTCACGTGTGTCCCCGTCGGCCGTCACACGCCCGGAGAGCGCCCATCAACAAGCAGATCCTTACGAGTTGACGTGATCCAATGCCGCCCAGTGACGGTCTCCACGATGGGATTGCGGCATACAGAGCAGGGTCGGCCAAGTGAGGTCGGCCCTGGCGCGTTGGTTTCCCTGATATGCGCTGCATTGCGTCGTTAATTTACAGGATCCTACTACGGCTGACCGAACACGACTGGGCCACACGCTTACTGCTGCTCAAAAATAGAACCAGCAATAGTGCGACCCTGTCAGTATTATTACCTACTACCTATCTATCTATCTACTCAACCTTCACCCCTCCCGTGCTCGATCGACCTAGTCAATATCTATCCTATGAGCATGCTCCAATTATCCTCTTAACTGATGTCACGAATTAATAGCCCTTTGATGAAACTTGACCCTCCTGCGTCCGATCCCACGTGGCAGCAACGTCTATCTGAGACTATGGGGTCAGGGCTCTACTCTGGTTAGAGCCATAGAACTTGGACCGCCCGTTCGGCATCACGTCGGTGATTGCTGTGGGGTGGTTTTGATTAGGAGGTACGTGGGCGAATTCCCCCCTTTGGCCACTATCTATCGGTATTCTATCAATGTTGACTAATCGGCTGAGCACCTAGTCATTAATTCTAGGCAGCATGATATCTAGAAAAAAAATAGTGGAATGGATCATTTGGACGCTGGAGCTCCTTATAATCATGATCTACTGCCGATGACTGACAGAACAGACCCTAAACCAGCAGCTAGACCGGCTAATATGAAACAGGTCTCTCAGATAGATTGTTTCGACATTATAGCCTCATGGCTTCCCAAGTGAATCATCTGGCGTTTTGACCCCAATCCTGTTGGACGTTTTACCCCAACTAACAAGCTCTGTTCAGGTGCTTGCAGCCTTGCTCAACCAGGTGGGTTGGAGACCGGGTGTTGCTGTTTCGAGCTCACCTAGCAACGAGCTCTTGTACGGAAAGTGCCGAATTATCCATAGATCCTGAGCACAACATGAGACACAGAGCAGCGTGCCTTGCCGCTAGCAGTCTATGTCTGCACGGGCTGTTCCGCTCCATTGCAGCATCGCTACCATCCTGTCATCGTCAGCTAGTGTCATGATGTCCTGACGCCTGATAAAGCTACACTGGCTATCGATCCATCTCGATTTGAGATATGACACACAAGTGAGATACCCTAGCCTCCACAGGCTTAGGTTCAGATAAGAACTCGGCACTCTAGGGACTCATTGTCGAATAGAGGCAAATACACCGCGCAGATCTCATACGTGAATGGGTCTCACACGGGGTTATGTGGTAGAGCTGATGTTTTGTCTTGTTAGCTCGGGGATGAGATGCCTCTACGACCAATTTTGTAGCACGGTCGCAGGCCCGATCGTAGATCTGAAGGATTCGGCCGCGGAAGTCTTTATCTGCTATCGCTCTTTGACATCTGGCCCCTAGGTAGGCTAGAACGGGGTCTATGGATGACCTGGTTCTAGTCCGATGGAGGCGTACTCCGTACATAAATGCGAGTCATTTAAATTCGCTCGGGCCTTTACATTGCTTCGGTCCCAGTACAACCGAGACCGTTCTGATCTGATCAAGCAGACAGTCACGAGAGATATTCCGCGCCTACCATCCAGTCGTAATTGTGGTTGCCATTGTGATCATGTTGAAAGACTACCAATCTTATGGTGTATATCAAGGGTC